GTGGAAGCCTATGGTGAGCATGCTCCATCGGAACGTACATGTGAACGGTGGTTTTCACGGTTCAAAAGTGGTGATTTTAGCACGGAAGACAAGGAACGTCCCGGCCAGCCAAAAAAGTTTGAAGATACGGAATTGGAGGCATTGCTCGATGAAGATTCGAGTCAAACTCAAGATGAGCTTGCCAGAGCATTGAATGTTGACCGAAGCACTGTTGGATATCGTTTAAGGGCCCTTGGTTTCATTCGCAAGTTGTCAAATTGGGTACCACATGAATTGACGTTGGCGCAAGTTGAAAGACGTTTGGTGACTTGCGAAATGCTGCTCGCAAGGCACAAAAAAAGAGGTTTTCTGTATCGAATTGTCACTGGTGACGAAAAATGGATTCATTACGATAACCCCAAGCGCAAAGCATCGTATGTTAAGCCCGGCCAACCAGCAACATCACAGCCAAAACAAGAAATTCACGGCGACAAGGTAATGCTGTCTATTTGGTGGGATGAGGAGGGAGTGGTGTATTATGAGCTGCTGAGAAGTGGTCAAACCATCGATGGGCCTTTCTACCGACAATAATTGATACGTTTGAAACAAGCAATCAAAGAAAAACGCACGAAATGGGAGACCAGAAAAGAGACATTGATTTTCCTACATGACAATGCTCGGCCACACATTGAGAAATCGGTCAAAAACTACTTGGAAAATAGCGGATGGGAAGTTTTGGCTCACGCCCCGTATAGCCCAGACCTGGCTCCTTCCGACTACCATTTGTTTCGATCGATGCAAAACCATATGGACGGAGAGCGGTTCTCTTCAGTTGAAGAAATCCAAAATTGGCTCGATGCATTTATAGCCACAAAAGATGAGGAATTTTTTAAGGCAGGCTTCCGTCAATTGCCCACATTGTGGCAGAAGGTCATCGCTTCCGATGGACAATATTTTGATTGAAATGTAATTTCATTTTGGTATTCAAATAAATGTTTGAAAATTTAAAAAAATCGACAAAACTAATTCCCAGACCCAATATTATTAGACAGATTACTGAAAATATGATGGGTCTTCGATGTACAAACAGGCAACATTTCATAGTGATATTTTGGTGAAAAGCTTGAGCAACAATAATGGATCACACGTGAACCAAGCTCATTGCAGCTAATCTTCAGTGACCCAAGAATACCGTAATGGCGTAACACTGTCTGTATGACGACATACGACAGAGCACTGTTTTCAGAAACCAGTGACATTCCATCATTTTTGAATTTTATTTTTAAACTACTCCTTTCCCTGTGGTTGGTATCGGTTAAAAAAACTAATAATCAGATCAAAGTTTTTACCACCATTTGTTGAGCTCTGTGACTCAGTAGCAAAAATAAAAAAGCGAAGGATCCAAGTGTTGAACAAATTTTGCCATATCATATGTACAGTCTTGGAAACCGAACTAGGACCAGCAGTGAAATTTCAGTCAGTTTTTCCCCAATAATTCTGTTATTTTGCAAATAGATATTCAAATAAAAAAAATATTCTAAATTGTTCAATAGTCGTTGTGATAGAAAAAAGAAAAAAACTGAAACTTCATTGCCGGTCCCAATTCGATTTGCATAAATGTACAATATGCTGTCATTGACCACCAAAACGAATATACCTCCAAATAATTGAATTTATATAATCTCATCTCATCAAAAATGAATAGAAATGAAAAAAAAACTATTTAATTTGAAAATAATACAAGAAGCCCGAAAGTGATTCTAACTAACTCACCCAACACCATTTTTCCAAATCTACAATAATTGGTTGCCTATGAAGCTATTGTGGTTAAATTAAAAGAAAGCACATTTGTTAGTTGTTTTAGTTTAGCATACGTAAATCCTTGAAGCCCTTTTAAAATCGTAGCCAATATGCATTTGAATATAATAAAGAGTGTCAGTTTTAATGCAAAATGAAGAACATACTATGTAGCAATATCTTTCATCTTCATCGGCATTTTTTACAGGTGCAATATTACTTTGCTGCGACTTACATTAGTCATAATCAAGTTAGTATTAGTATTTTATAATTTAATAATTAATTGTTGAGAAAAAACTAAAAATAATCGATGACAAATTTATTTGAGACGAAATTAATTGCGTCCTTTAATTCGGATCGACAAAGAATAGACGCGAATTACAGATACGTAACATGAGTCGTCGCTCAACGGAAATACAACACATGAACCTAATGATTTTTTAAAGTTTAGATCAATGCTTCCGGGTGCAACTAATAACTGTCCCAAAGTTATAGAGCATCATTTCTCATCCCTTAGGAGCAGTGTTTGGTTGAGATAACCAGATAAGATAGATAAGATATTGGATGCATGATCAAAATTACGAAGACATCGTCGTAATGGGGGTCTTTTCCACACGACCACATCGTGTAAGAAAAGTATTGGGATCGCAACAGATTTTTTGACCCACTAAAAATCTTTTTTTTTTTCGATTTTTGAACGCCGAAAATCGCGAAATCTAGCGTTATTTTAGGGTCGTAGGGTAGGTGTGTGGTACACTGTACGCTGTACGCAAAAAATAAGAATTGCGATCGCCCCAGATTTTTTGACCCACTAAAAATCAGTTTTTTTTCGATTTTTCAACGCCGGAAATCGCAAAATCTACCGTCATTCTAGGGTCGTAGGGTGGGTGCGTGATACACTATACGCTGTACGCAAAAAACACGGTAAAAATTTTGCTATTTCACAATGTATAAAAAAACAGAGTATTGAAATCGCTCTGATATTAAGGTCTGATTAAAAAATGATTCTTTCCTAATTTCAATGCATGGAGAATTGGATTTAATTGGAAATTATATGTTTGGGAGTGTAAAAAAGTTAACCTAAGGGATGTAAGGCATCTTATCTTATCTTTATCTTTTCTTCATATTTTTCCAATTATCTATTCTCAAATTTTAGATAAATTTTAAGATGAATGAAGGCTCCATAAGTAGAACAGGTCCAAACAAATTTGGACATAACTTCCCCATCGAAAAAATTTTGATTAGAGAAAAAATGTCCAAAAATCAAAAGAAATTATATATATGTATAAGAATATTCGACTTTAACATTGTATTCTAAATCACCGTGACAATTGGGTTTTTGGTGAAAAAATAAACTGATTTTTGTATACAAAACCGAGAAGTTATGATGTGCCAATTCTACACGGAATCAGAGAAGAGTTGTAATGTGAGGTCACCGAATTGGCTGAAAATCGTCTTAGAGTCTTGTTTTCGATAGAAAATCAGAAAATCAAAATCTTAAGGCTGTAACTGGCCCACATTTCTGAGTGCACCTAGTGTGAATTTTGCAAAAAATTGAAAAAATAAAAAAAAAGAGTTTTCGCCAACTGAAATTTAACTAAGAAGTAGTTAACACATTTTCAAACACATGGTATCATTGGAAAGGGATTCGATGGGGCTACAAAAATTGCGAAGTAACCTAGCCTCTTTGACCCTTTTGGGGCCCCTGTTGTAATAGGTTCAAAGTATGAAAAGTGAAAAAAATCAAATTGAGGTATGATTTTTTGTCGATTGCGTTAAAAGATCTCTCTATGAAGAAAAGTCGGTTTCAGACCAAATTTATAGTTAAACCGATGTGCAAATAGTCATATTTTCATGTATTTTGGCAAAAAATAGCAGTTTTCTCAGATCAACACATCGTAGGAGGCGATGTTCACCATTTTACCCTCAAAAACGCTGAAAATAGACATATGATTTACTTGCCGAGGCAAAATACACAAAATCGGCAGGGATTCACACGGAATTTTATTTTTTTATCTGAAGCTGCGTGACAAAATTTTTACGTCAATTTGAATTTTTTCACTTTTTATACTTTGAACCTATTACAACAGAGTCCCCAACAGGGTCAAAGAGGCTAGGTTACTTCGCGTTTTTTATAGCCCCATAGATTCTTTTTCCAACGGTACCAGTGGTTTGAAAATGTGTTAACTACTTCCTAGTTAGATTTCAGTTGGCGCAAACTTTTTTTTTCAATTTTTTCAATTTTTTGTAAAATTCACACTAGGCGCATTCTGAAATGTGGGCCAGTTACAGCCATAAGATTTTGATTTTCTCATTTTCTATCGAAAACAAGACTCCAAGCTGATTTTCAGCAAATTCGGTGACCCTACATTACAATTCTCTGATTTCGTGTGGAATTGCCGAGTTATGAAATTATACATTTGTTGTTTTCAAAATTATGATTAAAAATTTATTTGATGCACTTTGTGCTGCCTAGAATCGTTTCGAACTCCTCGGAGGGAAACGTGAATTGACGGCCAATTGTCGACTTATTCAAATTCATACAAATATTCAGTGTAAATTTCGATTATCAAAAAAACTGATGTCATAGCCTTCAAAAGGCTATTATCTGACGTGAAACTCAGAAAAAGATAAGATAATCTTATCTTTTCCGACAAAAGATAGATAATTATCTCGACATTATCTAGATAAAATTGAATAGAAAAGATATTATCTCGAAACTATCTAGATGAATTTGATTTATCTCAACCGAACATTGCTTAGGAAACAGTGAAAGACCTGTGTATTTAATTTTTTTTTTCATATATTTACACGAAGATAAAAATACACAGGGCCTTGAGAGACTGAAAATATTTTCCGCAGAAAATGTTGATCAGTGTGACTGCGCCTTTATCAGATGCGTGGAAAAAGGGAAGAATTATTTAAAATTCAAACTGTTCTTGTTAAATTTCAGATGAGCGATTCATGTTTAGGAAACAACAACCAATGTACTATTGTTTGTATAAAACCACATCTGGAATCCCGCTTTTATTCGAGTCGACAATCAATATAACTTCACTATTGAATTAGTTTTTACTCTTGAAAAATATTACTATTTTAAAAATGATACGAACTATTTTTGTTAGCTTCATCGAACGTATATCAAATTCAAATAACACAGTGGAACAATTTTCAAAAAGTTCGATAGAACAAGACCTTGACTATAAGGGCGTGAAAGTACTCCTATGCCATAGTAAAACATCCATTGGGTTTGGCTAGTTTGGCATCGGTTTAGATTGCATACGCCTGTGTAATTTTTTTGTTCTGTATGATTTTTGCTTTTTTGACGTCATCACTTTTTGGTCAATAACTTATCCAAAGTTGGAGATATCGTTTTACTTTTTGAGCCAAAGTTGTAGCTGAGAGTCCAATGAATAAATTTTATGAACGTTTTATACATGAAAAATCCCATCTGGTAAATGCTATGGAGCAAAATGTCGGAAAAATGTCCGATTTTTTTAATTTTTCAACCATAAGTCGCAGCTTATCCAATTTTTCTGGCCATTATTTGACACTTTTAATAATTGAACAACTTTGCTCAAAATACTGACCCAGAAAAATCATGTTCTATCTACCTTTTTGGCTCAAAATCACTCTTCGGTACCAAAAATGGTCATTTTATTGAAAATTTTGGCCTTTGACCCACTTTGTAAGTTGACCCACTCCGTCGATTTTGTATTTTGATCGACAAATCGTCAATTTGCTAGTCTCAATCGATTTAGAAACGTTAAAAACCAATATAAAAGTAGTTCCCAAGGGTGAATACGCTTCTTAAACGGCTCGGATCGGCTCATAAAAAAATTTGGCAAAAAAAAAATAATTTTTATAAAAACTAAATTTTTTCGGACCATCATCAAGTAGACAATTTCAAAGATATCAGCAAAGCGAGTATAAGCTTTCTTTACTAGTTTTTCGTGTATTTTCATAATCCGAAGTCATTTCACACACATCATTACATGGCGAAATTCTTTCCGTGCATATTGAAATGTCAATATACAAGAATCATTAAATTTTAATGATTTTCCAATCGTTTTCGGATTTGAAAAACACGAAAAAATCGATGAAATATGAAAAAATAGAGAATATGTATTTTTTTACTATTTCTATATTTTTCTTCATTTTTTCATTATTTTTCGTAGTTGTAAAGGCCGAAAACGATTGAAAATTCAATGAAGTTCATATATTGAGTGTTTATACTGCATGTTTTTCTAAAAAAAAATAGGGTGGGTCAACTTACAAAGAAAAAATTTTGTTGCCAAAAATCAGACCTCTTAGAAAATTGACCAAAATTTTTGGTTTTTACAACCAAAACTAATGAATTTCCTGATCAAATTGTAGCTTTTTCGGCTCTCTTTCCAATGGTATATCAAGTGTGCATTTATCTTCATTCCATAAAAAGTTATGACTAAAATGATTAGTGCGGGTCAACCTACACATAATTCCCCTACATGCGAATATCTGTATATCTTTCCATATTTTTCGCATAGATTTTCAATGAAGTGTCTCTGCGGATAATGTGAACTTGTTTTTAAGCTATTCATTTTAGTAATTTTTGAGCGTTTGCATTTACTAGATGGAATTTTTCATGTGTAAAATGTTCATAATATTTATTCATTGGACTCTCAGCTACAACTTTAGCCCAAAAAGTAAAACGATATCTCCAACTTTGGATAAGTTATTGACCAAAAAGTGATGATGTCAAAAAACCAACAATCATATAAAACAAAAAAATTACACAGGCGTATACAACCTAAACCGACGCCAAGCTAGCCAAACCCAATGAGGGTTTTACTATGGCATAGGAGTACTTTCACGCCTCTATAGTCAAGGCTTTGTTCTACAACTACTGTTCCACTGTGTAATTGCTTACTTGGAAGTAAAGAATTATGGTCCATATAAGGCCCAGCACGACAGGTGGTCTCCCATCCACCAAATCAGCTGGATTTATGTTGACTAGCTTGATCCGTTTACTTGCTAAGAACTGTAAAGCCGTGTTCGCATTACTAAGGAAATGGGGCCGTCTCAATACTCTGCCTTTCTCCATGGGCAGTTTTTCACCAGACAACACTTCCAATAACGCCAGTAATTTAGTGCCATCTCGTAGATCGTGAATCAAATCGTCGATTCGAAGTGGTGGAATACGCTGAAAATTCAATAAACATGTAGATATGTGGTGCTTGATGATCTATACTACATATATAACGGGGATACCTTAGATAAATATGAATTGATCCAGTTCACAAATGTTTTCTTCTGAACGCGCTCTTGTTCCTCTGTAACAGAAAATTTATATGTGTATTTCGTAAAGTATTTGGATAAATATTTTATTTGGTTCGATATTCAATGAATTTTACGAAATGTGTTTCTTTGACGAAGACATTTCTATGGAATAAAATTTCTTCTGAAAGTATGACATTGCAAATTCTAGAGATGGTTCATCGTTTACCACAAGTGTATGGAAATGTGAATCGGTATATACTGAAACGTATACCTTTGCGTTTAACACGTTGAGCGCATGCGTCAGCTACTACTTTTATGACAGCGAACGCAAAGTTATATCAATGTATATATACCGTTCTGTACAGAGTACAGTAAATACAACGAATTGATATACATATACTCCATCTCTGGCAAATTCTATACAATGTATTTGTTCCGAAGCTTCACAAAATAGAGAGCTTAAATTCATCTTCTACCTCTCGCAAAACAGCGAGCACGTGATTTTATTTTTGAAAAAAGCATGTATTTTTAATAGAGTTTGAGAGAATGCATGTGCGCCAAATAAATATTGTAAAAGCAATTTGAAGTTTTTGACTCAAAGTCAACTTATGACTAAAGACCGTAAGTTTTTCTTCTTTAGTTCATTGCAATTGTTTAGTCTAGACGTAAAAATGTATGTAGAATTTGCGTTGATATCGATACATTTTTCGGCTCTGGCCCAAGGGCTAGGCACGAGTATCTGATAAGCACTAGTGTTTTCTAGTACTTTTAGTGAAATTTGACAGTTTGTCAAATACCATAGCTGAATAGTTTTTCTAGTACCAAATTTGTGTCTACCCCCTAGGCTCTGTCATTTATTTCAACACTCTTATTTTGTGTGTAATTTTTTGTTTTTTAAAGCATGCATTTTATCAAATATACAATTTTCGAGATTTCAAAAATAAAAATGTAAAGTTTTTCACATTTTGCTTTGGTCACATTCGTCAGTAATTGGTTATCTATATAAACAATAATAAGCTAGTATTATATATCGATGCCTGGAAAAAGTCTGAAATAACATGCATCGTTTTACATCCCATTATTTTTCATCAATTCTGATTCAGCCGATTAAATTGAAATATAAATTACATATACATTTCAACCATTTTTTCTATTTTATAAGGTAACTTTTTAAATACAACATTTTGATTTCATCCACAATATGTGTAGAATACAATTAATAGTCTGAACAAATGTTGAAATAAGTAAGTTAAATAGTGCAAATATTCAGAGGAAGAAATCAAAATAAACAGACTTTGAAATACAACATCAGAATATTTCATTCTAATTCCAAGAAACCACATTCAGAATATCTATCGCGTTTTAATGTTCATCTGTTTCGACTATTTTTGTTCGGTCTTTTGTTATTGTGAACGAATTAATGGGTAATGATATCATTTAGGACTAACAAGCAGCGAGACAATAAAAATGTATTACATAATAATTGAATCGGTAAGAATAATCTTGACTTGCCAAATTGAGTGAAAATAAGTGTTAAACATAGAGTTTTTTTATATGAACTTTACAACAACAACTCCATATAAAAAAAACTCTATGTTTTTCATTTATTTTCACTCAATTTGGCAGGTCAAGATTATTCTTACCGATTCAATTGTTCACGACCTTGACCACTGGTCATAATAAATATTAGCATAAACTACTGTGTTGTTTGTTATCTCATGTTATTTTCGATTCATGACATCACCATTGTTACATAGGCTTGAATTGAATGTTTTTCATCAAAATATAGAGATATGTTATAGGTTGTGCATGCGTTTTGTATTGGCGTTGTACCGATATTGACAAAATATTGTATTTTTTACCAAACTAAGAAAAATCTGCGACTATGCCTATAGAAATATTTTATACTTTGTAAAAATGATTTATAGTATTTATTAGGTCAATATTTTCTTCATAGAAATGAGTAAAAACATTTTCGATGCATAATAATTGGAAATATCAGTGACCGTTTTTTCTCGACAAAATGGACATTATATGCTTATCTACCCTACAGCAAAATCTCTTGAATGCCTTTATAAAAGGGGCTGAAGGATTTTTTTTGCTAGTTGTAAACTCAATGAATGCAGTGGAATATCGTAAAATACCCGAATACGAGCTAACGCTGCAATCATACAAATAATTTCAAATGCCTGCTGTCATATTCAACGCAAGACTTCCAACTATTTATTGAACAAACCGAAGTTGTTAGTTCCAAACTCAAATTTTGAATATACACATCACGCATAGGTATAGAACGGCATATTTAAATCATTCGTAGAAAAAATCGAATCACTATGCTTTCTGTTCGTTGTCACCCTAAACCGAATGTGTTTTCTATAAATATAAATGTACGAAATAGTGCGCTTTCTGATGCCACACAATGTCCTGGTACGAAAATAAATGCCTGGCAAATGTACAATAATCTAATATGTAAATGACTAAAGTACACACGCACTATGGATTCACCGTTGACTACGGATTATGTTTGGAAAAATAGGCTTATTGAATAAATTTTGAATTCATGTCATGAGAAAATGCAATTAATGGGTGATAAACCTGCTTGAAGTGATTTTCCATATTTTAAAACATGTTAAAAACCGTATTGAAGTGTATTGATGTGGATCATTGCATTCGTAGGTATGATGTCATGGATCGGCGTTTTTGACACCGTATTTAGATGGTTAGATGTGTTTGTGTCATATAAATTCTCCTTCAAAATCTGTATGGTGCAAATAAGAGTAAAGTCGTCTCTCAAGGTTAAAATAATTCATCCGAAAATTTAGTCACTTACGTACGTTCATTGGTTCCATGTGAGCTAGATTTGGCAGAAATGAACTCACACATATATGATGGATAAATGAATGAATGAAATGGCCCTCACGCACACACATACATGCGTACCCATGTATTTGTGCGTCTTCGAACACATTGTAAAACGTAATGCGTAATTCATCAGAATACCGAACAGCTGACCACAGTGGTTCTGTTTGTTATGAACATGTTTGGAAAATCGATACTTTGGATATTGCGTTCATTTAAATCTTTAAATTTTGCCTAATTTTCAATTAAATATTAGGAAAAAATCTTCTGAATTTATGAGTACTTTTTATCATTTGAATAGAAACATATTTTGAAACTTGAATTCCCTTGAAAATATGCTTCAAATTCAAACGCATATTGAGTGTGGTCTTCATCACGAATGTGAAGAGCGTTATTTCTAACACAAAAGTGTAAGAAATCTCAACTGGATTTGCAGTAAAAAAAAAATATTTAAAATGCTGTATCTGCCGAAATTTGGCCGACCGTCATTCATTACAAAATTAAGACACAATATAACCGGTTTTCAAGTTCATTCCAGTCAAAAACAACCAAGGCAATATTTATGGACATGTGAGCTCATCGGATTCGTTAGGAGTAACCGACGTTGCGTTTTTTGCCGCCCGACATTTCGTAATTTTAGCTGTGAATATGTTTTTAATTACACTACATTTCGAACGAATGTATCTGTTTGGTAACGAAAAAATTCTTTTTTCTTCACTTTAGATAGTACGCTTTTTATTAGGGAACTTGGCAGAAAACGTTTATGCCGTTATAATTTCTTTTTCGCTTCTTTGTTCTTCTTTATCTTCTCCTTTTCGCAAAATTCGTTCACTTATCTTTTTACACATTTCGATAAAATTGTATAATTATGGTGCATAGTATTGAGTAAATACCTCGAATTTGTCGTATGTGGTTGTCGTATTGCGAATTACTTCGCTTAAAGTCCATTTTGTTTGGACGACGATCCACCTGCACAGTTTGTGTCTGATATTCGTTGTACCAATCTGAACTAATACCCTCACTTTCCGAAGAAGTCCTGTACGATTCTAAATGCCGATGATGAACATGTTCGTTGCTATCGGTAACAGGACTAACAACTTGCCGTTTTTCCGTTGATTCTACTGAACTTCGATTTTTATTATTTTCGATGCCAATCAAATGGGGTGGTGGTTCACTGCCAGCACGTTCAAGAGAAATTCTTTCACGTAAAGGTGTACGTTGTGCATAAACATTTTCGTCAGACGTAAATACATGTTGGATCGAGTCACTTGACGACGATATTGATATTGTGGTTGGCGTTCCACTACTCGTGAGCCGTACCCGATGTGAATGGTAGGCCGAATCCTCGGTAGGTGAAATTTGTTCGGTTGATGAACTTTTATCTACTAAACAATCGACAGTTCGTTGCACTACCGGTGACTGAACATTTTCCCTTGCGCTTCTTGGAAACGTAGTTTCACGTATGGTTTTGGTTTTCGACACTTTTTCATAGGTTATAACTCGTTGGATTTTTCGAGGTGCTGGAGATACATAATCCACTTCATCAACTGAGGTTCCATGTGCACCACTTTTCCTTTCGATATGGCGAATATCAATTTTGGATTTCGAAGAAGATGCGAAATCCCCAGGTGATGTTGTGGAAGTTTCTCTTAATCGAATTTCTATTCTTGGACTTTGTTCACGTAATTGACGATCACGTTTTTCCTGTAAACTTTTTTCAAACGCATTCACATCCATTGAAAATGAACTACGATCACATTTCCCATATGTTACTGGACTTATGGACGGAGCATCTGATTGCAAGTCACGGCGAATTGTTATTCTACTTTGTTTAGACGGTGTAGATGTCGAAGGTTCAGAGCCACTGGCCCATCGTATCGAACCCACATCTTCACTGTTTGAATCTTTTTTTGATTCCATTTATGAATATTTTTTAGAGATTCAAATTCGTTTTCGTATTCGTATTTATTTCATTTTTAAACCATAGCTAAATGCTAGGTCATCAAATTTATAATTAATCTCTTATATCGATTCAACAAATAAAAACACCAGCATAGCACATTTTATGAGTTCATAACTATCACAAGTTCGATTATTCGATTGATTTTCGCTTCATATATTCAATATGCAATGATAAATTGAATGGTACACGCAAAATGCGTGACAACAAATGTTTTGTTCGCGTTTTTCTGCGCCTTTGTTGTTGTTCTCCTAATACTATGTGAGAATTGAAGTCATGAAAGGTTTAACAGGCATGCGAGCCGGTTCGAAACTACCTTAAAGTGAATATTGTAAAATGCGAGTAGCCACAACTTTTTGCTCATCACTGGAATAAAAACACATGTGATACATACATAATATCTCTATGTACGTAGTTTTGTATCTGTATTGTTCCCAATAAACCAAAACATTGTTCATCACGTGAAATATACATGAGCCCCTCTCACAATTTAAGAGACACTGTGTCAGTGTATTATTTATTATGAAACACGCAAACTCACAAACCAAGGCCACATGTAGCATTTCGCTGAACTGGAGAATGTTGGAGAATAAAAGTGAACTGAAGCTATTTCAATATACATTCATATGAGGAGTGCTTATGAACCGCGAAAATGTTAGTGTGTTCTTTCTATGTGTGAATGAAATTGGTAAATGGGACAAACATTTTTTTTTTCTCTTGTCCAACCAATAAAGCCAAAAGTCAAAAAGTCGATAAAGTGCTTAATAAATATTCAAGTGTTTGAACTAAATTATTGTATGGTCCGGTTTTTCTCAAAGTACATTGCATAAAATTGTGTTAGCTGTTAGATTGCTTTAGTGGCTTTGTGGCTTTGCATACACAATAGCGTAACCATTACGTCATTCTTCTAACGAACAACACACAACAATATACATATGACGAAAAGTAAATAAAAGGTGCACAGCACGTATATACTAGCACTTTGTGTGTCTTAGTGTGTGAAGTATTCGAGAAAACGCGCAATAGTTTCAAGAGGCAAAACGCGAATGCACTACCGAAAATAATTTCGTCTTCATCGTTTGAACAAATGAATTTGATTCAGGTAAGAGTTAAAGTGTCAAGATTCAACAAAGAAAAACCTTTATGTTTAAACATTGAGGTGCGTAAAGTGATTTGAAGTTTAATTCATCGAAAATAACGAATGATGTTTGTCATCCACAAAATAAATTGTTTGAGAGAATAAAAGCGATAAAATGAAAAAAGTGAAATAATATACTGTAAACATGTTTCTTATGTGGAAATTATGTTGGTGCGTTGAAAAACGAAATAAATCGATTGGAAAAGCTGAGCTTCAGAGAGATTTGTTCGACGAAAATAATTGGATTGTTGTGTTTTCCACTTCGTCTAAAAAGTAATATATTTTAAGAACATGAGAACATATGTTGCGCCAATGAAGTACAGTTCTTTGCAGATCAGTTTTAAAATAACTGCATGATATTCATCTTTGTGTCATGTTTGCTTTTAGAACATTGCCGAATTTGCCAGTACGTGTTCGTATTCACTCATCTAGAATGTGTAGAGGCAAACACAACGAATCAAGAGCGAACGAAATGCAAGAGGCGTGTGTTTCTCTCGCGAGAGTAATCGTTGACGAACACACAATTTAAATAAACTATTAACGCATTGGGCGCCAAGTGACTTTCTTTGAAATTAACTAATGCAAATTTACTTACCTTGCAATTTTGCAATCGTCATCATTTCAAATTGCGCTAGTTGTTCATCGACATAATCTTGTGATTGTCTTTCAATAATTTCAGCAGTTGAAAGCGTATTTTCATCACCACCATCGTAAATCACATATGATTGCCCATGCTGTTGTGGTGGCTCTAGAGGGACACCAACATATTCGTAACGTGGTGCTAATTCAAACGGTGACGGTGGTTGCAATGGAACAGTTGGATTGTATAAATATTCGGGTTGAGCAATTGGAACAGTATGTTGCATAGGAACTGGGCTAAATGACGGAGCCCTATAAGGTCTTGGCCCAGGAAATCCCACCGTCAGCGGTGATTGAATAGGCCTATAATAGTGTTGTGATTGCGAACTTGTCATTGGTGTCGGTGATCTGGGATTTTGTAAATGTGAGCCCCTTGTTCCCCGTAAACTTCCACCAAATACTGGTGAATTGGATGCCATTGGATTTAATGTTCCAATCGTGTTTCGAGCTCCGTTGCCTGGCTGAGAAGGATTGAAGGCGGTTGCACTGCAATTGCAAAATATATATATACATATATACCAACTGATATTGTGTATGTGTAATCTTTTGCATGTATTTGAATGTTTTTATTCATACCGATGTGCGTATTGTGGTCCATCATACAAAGGTGGTGTTGGCGACCATGGTGATGGTGGCTGATAATAAATTGGAGAGGGTTGATTGCGACTCCGATATTGATTTTTTTTATGTTCGGACATTGCTCCGATTTTTTTTTTCTCTTGTTCAAATTTATATAGCAATCGTAATCGTTTGGTCGAACATTTCTAATCGCATTTCCTATTCGATTATAAGAACTCTGAAAACCAATCAAACTAAATTATAATGTGTGTGCAATATGTGCGCCTGGTTCTTAGATTCAATTCTGCATTTTAAGAAAAATATCACAAAATAAATCGAATGTGTGTGAAAGCATGTTGTTTAAGTAGCAACCGATCATCCTTTTACCGAATGAACGGGAAAAAGTCTGAAAAAGTCACGGAATTTATTTATAATTATGAATAATTTTTCAACGGATACAAAGGAGATGAAAATTTTAAAAAAAATCTGCGTTCAATGAATATGATTTAAATATATCATCAGATATGAACAGTCATCGATGACCACAAATTGAAGTTGGCAACAAAATGTGAAAACTAAATAACATGTTTGTTCAGCGAACATACATGTAAATCTGGCGAAATAGCACATTGCGCACATTCTATTGACAATTAGTCTAAAAGTTGTTTATTTTCGTGTCAAGTAAGAAATTATAGCACCATAATAATGCTCCAGTTCTATTTTTAATATGTAGAAGCAAAAATGTGCTTTCGATTTAAATTTAAAGATGAGATCAACTGTACTGAAACCAGCCGGCTACATACGCCAGACAGTAACTTCGCTGATGTGATTCAAATGTGCAATGATTCATTTCATTCGGGACTTTGTAAGATAGGAAGGATATATAGGAAATTATTCAAACTCTCGAGAGATGAGTCTCTGAATATTGAGCCGTTGTTATATGAAATATAAAAGAAAGAATGAAATGAAAATGAAAATGAAATCGTTTCTTGACTCTCCATAAAGCGCGAACAAATGAGCAGATCAAATGTGAATCTATTTTTGTTCAAAGCGTGTTACTTACACGACATCGCAAAGGCGATGGACCTACTAGATCGTTTCATTTCTTTTTTTTCAGACAGAAAATCGACAATGATTGTAGATACAAATATAAAAAAGAAAGCGATTCACGTATTCCAAATCGGTTATCTCGCAACCATATTGTATTTTCACAATTTTTCTGAGTCACTTGCACAGGTTTTCAGCATTTACTCATTCACCAATACATGCGGATTAACGTCAGTTTTTCATTTAAAATTTATTCAAAATCTATCATTTTGAATTTTAATGCGATGAGATAATTATGCTAGCTGAATCACCAATTTAAATGAGCTGCATTTTACACGCTAGACTAATATTATGTAATATTATCGTTTCAAACTATTCAAACAACACACCGGAAATATATGAAATTCAACTGTTCAATATATTTGCCAAATAATTCCTTCAGACAAAAACGATGCACTCAAAAACTCAAACATTCGTCGCTTTCAAAAGTAACGATTTTTTCACCTCACCTTTCTATAAATTCAAAACTAATTTTCGGAGTTTTTTTTCGAAATTTTCTCTCGTTTTAAAAACATAGAGAAATGATTACACGACGACGATGCAAAGCAAACTGACAAAGTGAAATTCGTTTCGACGAAAAATGCTTCATTTTCCTATTTCAAATGTATGTGTAGATCTGTTCGTTGCGTTCGAATTTTGCCGTTCGTTAACGATTTTCTATTTTAAGATTCCGACCAGCCGGCTATTTTCGCTTAGCATGTAAAACGAAAATCTGAACTGCATGAAAAGTTGAACGAATCGCAATTTCTGTCTCTATCTGCACCTCTCTCTCTATCTCTCTTCAAAGAATCTCTACCGTCTGACAACGATAATGGTGGTCTCTGTATCGGCGAACTCCTTATACTTATGTATTTCAGAAATGGTTTTGATGTGTGCTACCGTGTTATATTAAATACAGTAATGCACGAAACATACACGGAAATGCGAGATCATTTGTCACGAAAAGTGGGACTTGATTCATTTTGTAATAATTGATTTATTCGCATGGCATCGGCATGTGAAAGACGGTTGGAGAAAAATGTGTAGGCTAATGACACGGCTGAACTTGTTGATTCTAACGTTCAAGTTGAATGTTTAAAGCACATATGGTGATCTTCATTGAGTAAACTTGAACAACATACTTTTTATGTGATTTGAATGTGACTACATTTACAGTTTTTTCTCATGCCACCTGTAATATCCGAATACATTCAGTTGACGTTGCCTACGTTTCTTTACGTTTAATTGTGGCTTGAATGAAATACAAACGTGTTAACGTCACATTTATATATTTGTTATGTATTAAGTATTATGCATTGTGATTTCGATTGTTAAATTGGTTAATTTTTTTCTCTTGTTTTTTCCGTTCCTTTCTTAGTTTTTCCGCTCCGTGCTTCCAAGTGATAAATTAATCGAAGTGCATTTCGGGTAAATACCGCAAATAGTAAACAAGATGAGTCAACCGAATAATCCTATCGCCTACAATGCATGCAATGAGTGGTCAAAATTCAAAGAGAACGATACGAATTTAGCGGAAAAATTAGAACAATTGAATAAAGTACGAGAGAGTATTTTCAGTCAAAGTGGATGGAGCAGCAAAAATGTATGATTCTATTTATTATTAGTATTTAAAGTAACACGCAATGCATTCATATGAATTATTAAATTATCCCATCAATTTTAGGTGAATCAATCGTCAAAGTGGCTCGTCGATCTAGAAAATGATCACAACATCCAAAAATATAATCCTGAGATTGGAACTAATGCCTGGCGTGCCAAACAAGAGACTGAAAATCCATGCTCAATTGTGCCAGATTCAGCCGTATTCAATTTAGAAAATGTGAATCGTCCTGCGGAATGCCAATTTCCTGCGTCCTCTAGTCATATAAATCAATTTGATGCCAATGTTTTCCGTGAATATGAGCATGATACGCAATCCATTGATAAAAGTGATGAGGACCCAAACTTGACTCTCCATTTACGGCTGCAAACCTTGAATATCAACGTTGATGAAAGTAGGGTTCACCCTCGGAATAGTACAAATAATTTTTGCCAAATTGCAAACAAACAACCTCAAATAGACTTAATGTTAAATTAATATTCAAAGTGTTCATCAAAAACAAGATTGTTCCTAACGTTTAGAATCAATAAAAAAAAATCACACATCTGAAATGTAGTTTTTGTTCGACAGATGGCAGCACATAGAAGAGACCGCTTATCGGAAGGGATTAAAAAAGAACTTTGAGAACTGTCATCGCGACAAGCTAGCTGCATCAAAGTCATTGTTGATTTATTTACAATTTGATCAATTGTTTTTCATTTATTGAGTGAATTTTCACACAAAATTATCAAAACAATTTGTGTTAACGAAATATATCAAACGTGTTCGTTGGTTTTCAGTGAATTGCAACACTTCTTCTACAGAAGAGTATCGCTCAAATGAATGCGATTAGCCTTTATGTTTCGGCGTCTCGTTTGCTGTTCAATCAGTCCGATACGGAGAGTCCAAACTATTCGGATCTGTATCGATTGATTCCATATTTACGCCAATCTCTAACGTGTACAGTGTGTGGAAATCTACTAGTTGAGCCATATACAGCGGAGAATTCAATTTGTCAACATCATGTATGTCGCACATGCATTGGAGGGAGGAAAAATTTAAAACCCACATGTTCGTCCTGCAAAAATTATCATAACTACCATGCAAATACTCAGCTACGCATTTTGCTTCAATGCTACAAGAGTTTATGTAATTATATACTTGCCACTCCTAGTGTTTATGGATCCATGCACAAATATGTTCATGTTGATGCATTTTCGAATGGAAATAATGACGCTCACAATTTATCACAACTTATTGATGAGGGTGCACAGTTCCACGATGAATACAAAAGTAATTCGGGTTTACCGAAATCAAAAATTTCCATATTGCCATGCATATTCACAACCACATCGTCGGTGTCAACTAGTCTTGCTAATCAAAGCAGTACCGCAACTGTTATGACCAATAATAAAACGACGTTCAATTCAACAACAACGGTAGAGGCTCCATTAATCCATGCGCCATCAAATCAACTGAACTGTACAACTTCGCTATCATCGTCATCCAAGGCAAAAGATTCCGGATTGCCTGTAATGACAACGGCAAACCTCACTAAATCCACACCAATCAGAACTGTATCGAATGGTACTGCACTTTATTCGGTTCTCTATACCGGAACAGGGAATAAGATTACAATCAAACGAAAAACTGATGACAACCACATATTCACCACCGCCAATACGATGAGCACAAAAGATGTGTTGAATATATTGAGCCGAAATCCCGCAAAAATCACACAGCATCCACAAATTCAACATATTCATACACAAAAACCAATTAAGCCAATAGTACCTCATCCACAATTAATTCAAACTCAACAACAACTACAATCACAGTTGCAGCCACAAGTGTCGGGTCTTGTTACTACTCAGTCATCCAATTTTAAGAAACCAGCAATTAAAACACTCCAGAAGCGTAAAGGATGCCGTTGTGGTAACGCCACTCCAACACCCGGGAAACTAACATGCTGCGGTCAACGATGTCCGTGTTATGTTGAATCAAAAAGTTGCATCGACTGCAAATGTCGTGGTTGCAGAAATCCGCACCGTATCGATGGCCTCAAAGTGCGCAACAATAATTCATTACCGTTTGATTTTATGTGTGAAACAAATGTAAATATGCAATTTTCTTTTCATTCGCCACAGGTTAGGCCACAAATTCCGCTTCCCCAATTGACAACCTGCTTAGTACAAATGAACAATCAAACTTTCGAGAAAAATTATGTCGATATGCCGATAGAATCATTTAATAACAGCAACTTAGAACCAAAAATAAAGCAAGAAATAATGTCGGTTCCGAATATGATCGCAGGAAGTAGTCGGCAAATGTTGTCGTCGACAATGAACTCACAGCTAGAACTCTCCAGAGCAAACGATGCTATCGAGTACATCTCAAACGACCTAGATGATGACAACATTCAGGGTAATTGCGCTTCAATAATTCTTGCGTAGATTAGCCAAAAACTCAATTGATAATTATTTTTTTGACCCTTTCACAATTTCAGTGGTAAATGTGTATACCACGACACACATGCCCGAGATCAGTACAACTTTGCCAACAATTATTATGCAGGATGAAGCGTCTATTCTCAATAATTCAGCGCCGACAGCAGATTTGGCCTTACACTCGTTGCCTTCGGATTCATACTCTCTCATTGGCGAGGATTTAATAAAGCATTCATTTTCGGATGACAGTTCGTCAGGCGATCAGAGTGATGTTGAAATTGATTTATAGACAAGATGCAGTATGCAGTTTGACTTCAACATTCTTTTTTAAAACAATTGTTTTTAATGGAACAACATACATGTATTATGATACATACATGACCAACTTAAAGAAAAGAAAAGAAAATTGTTAGCTTTCTAAGTTTGAATAAAAAAAAGTTCGATTTACATTTAAATTCTTTATTCATTTCAATTTAATTGAAATTTTTAAGTAATACTGATTTATATTTTTGATCTTTGGAATCAGATATACTCTCTAATACATATACATAAGTATTTGCTCACACGATTTCAGCGCAATGCAGTGCAAAAACCTATGAATAGCACTCAAATCGTGTGGACCAGTACTGAAAGGTATTGAAGAATATGAATTTGGTCTTAAGGGATTTTATTTGGCACAAATATAATCGTTATATTTTAAAATGCCTGATATATGTCAATACTATGATATAGTTTGTTCGTTTGCTATAGCGTCTACAAAGTCAGATCTAAAAATATTTATCAGTTGAAAGATACACTTTCGGGCAGTTTTTCTCTGCAATCATCCCATAAGCAGCTTTCGTTCCGACCTTCAATTTCCGTTGTTTTGAATGTTTGTTCCATACGTGAATTGCGATTGAGTCTTTTGTCATTTCCATTGTTTTGTTGTATTTATCTTCGTCGAAAAACATGTACCATTTTGGCCATGGTACTGCATAGAAAGACCTCGGTGGATACACTTTGAATCCTAAACACTGTTCTGTTGTCATTTCCGGTGGCTTGTTTACATGACAAATTGTCTTCAAGACTCTCGTTATGACACCAGGCCCATTGTAGCCCCAATCGTTTCCATTGAAATCCTCATAAAACTCGCGTATACACATTTCACTTATTTCATGTCCAATTCCATCATGGTCAAAGTTAAGTATGCCGGCCGCAACAAAATTTTCTGACTCAGCACCTGCATAATTCGAGGTCATATTTTCAAAAGATCTAAGTACTATCACATCCAGATCGAGATATGTTCCTCCATATTTGTAAAGACTTAAATATCGTAAAAAATCAGATACGTGTGAATTAAGATATTGTGAAAGAAATAGTTCATCGCTCAAGAACCAATCTTCTAGTGGTGTGTTTTCTGCATACGTCCATAAGTTGATATTTCGAAAAAAAATGTTTGCATATGATTGCAATGCTTTTACTATAGGAGGTTGAGCAGTAGTTTCGTTTAAAACTCCAACAGGGGATGCAAACAGCACAAAGATATCCCAGTTTGGATTAAGTAAAGCGGCTGATTCTATGGCACACGCTTGCCTAGCAATAAACGAATAAATTTGGGATGAGTTACTGTGATAGAATATCTTAAGCAAATTGATATACATTTTGATTGGAGATATTACAAAACAACATGACTAAATTTCAGAATAAACAAAATATCGTTAGAGAAAACTAAATAATTTTTAGCCAACTTTGTTTACCTCGCATTCAAATGAATTAGACCATCGTTTGTACATGATGTCTCGTGGAAAAATATGGACTTTCCCGGTGTTGGACGCTTCTTTGACTCAAGCACATCTTCGAAGAAGATTATCGATACTGGGCTATCGCCAACAGAAGTGGTTTTTAGTTGAAAACACTGTTTTGCTTTGCTTACATCTGATATGAAGAACGTCCATATAACTATTGTGACTATCGATCCTAGCGCCAGTGTGAATAACAAAGTTCTGCCAGAGAATGGCCGCAGTCTGATGAACGTATGAACTATTCGCTTCATATCACAACAATGCCTATAATCGATGCTCTCGGAATGTACGAAAGAGATATGTACATGAACAAATTGTGTCTGGAACGATAAAGAAAATAAAATTGAACAATTTTTCTTTGAATTAAATAAGATGTACCTTATACATGTAGAGCTTAACTCTAAGTGACCGTAAATGTCTATGTGAAATAATTGTAATATTGACTGAATCGTAAGTTTTCTATTTTCTATGAAATATTTGTGAAAAGTACGCTAGTGTACTCATCACATAAATTGTTATTCTTTTCAATTACCTGTTCAAATTTTCATTTCCTGTTTCGTTCACCTCCAAAGAGAAAACACAAAAAATGGTGTTTTCCAATGACAATCAACAATTCATTTTAATCGATCACTACCACTTATCGGCAAAACAATTACATACCTCAAAAACAAACGTACGATTGATTAAAAATATGTCCTGCTCATAACTATCTGTCAGCTCTTCGCTGCTGTCAGATGCAGGGCTGATCAATGCAGTGATTGTCTCTTTTTACTTACCTTTCAAATAGTCTTTCGCGTAACGTAGCCGACGTGAAAAACGTTATGTACTGGATTTAAAAATCAAAAAAGGATTTTTCAAATGAAAATTCCCCCTGTTGGAATGATATATCCTTCGCAAATGAAATATCCTTCAATATAAAAAAGAAAACGTTTGTAAAAGCTGTTAGTTAACTTCATATTGAAATATTTAATAAAAAAAATACAAACGGTGTATCAAAGTTTTTACATTGTATAATATGATTTTCGTCATTGTTCATTGAAATTAGTTTTATTTGAAATTTGTTTTGCATATAAAATTATCTTTCATGATGCATGTGTATGCAATGGTGAAAAAACTATGATAAACATATTTAAATCGGTGTAATAGTACCTAAAGTTTATATAAATCTAAAATTGCATTAAGAAATAGCTTTAGAATTTCTATTTCATTTATTCAAATTAGGTTCGTGATTGTTAGTTTCAAGGCCATTTAAGTATGTTTGTGCACAATAATACGCAGATATTTTTTTTTTGTTCTGACATAAGAAAAAAATGTATAATATTCGATATTTTTTGTTTCGCAGATTAAATGCGATTGTAATATTAATGCCATTGGGGTGTCGTCACTACAACTGGCTCTCCTTCCGTGTTGTTGTTGTCGTGGTTATCTTTTCAGTTTCTCCATTCTCCTGTCCATTTGATATTGTAGTGATGATGGATTTGATGACAATTGTGTTTGAGCTGGTTTCGGTTGTCTCGCTGAAACAGAAAAAAAACATTTGTTATAATTATAATAACATGCACAACAATCGTAATCAATCTAAAGGGAGAGTTTTAATTACCCAATTGGTGCTAAATCTTTTAAATTCGATATGTTTATATCGGGGACATCTTTCATTTGTATTGAAGACACTGTGTTGTTTGTTTGAGTGCTCAAAACTGATAGTCGCCCTTTAAAATGGAATAAGTAATAATAAGAATAAACGAAATCTGTTGCGTTTTTTTATTCTCAACTAGTAGCATTAAACTGTTCTAACATACCAACAATTTCCTCGGTTGTGGTTGTGTGCAGTGTTGTTACAGTGGAATTCAAATGATCTCGAACTGAGTCGACAGTGATGTCACCAATCGAGCTGGTAATAGTTACATTCCCTTTGCTGGGTGACACATCTACACCATTTGTTAAGTTTTCTGATATTTTCGCCTGTTCATCCTTTGTCCCAATGGTTGATATGGATTTTGTCTCGGATTTACGGTCATCATCCTCATCATCATCATCGTCATCGTCCTCATTTAATGTGGAATCGTTCAATGGCTCAACTTCGATTACACCTTCTGCGCGTACGCTTTTTGTAGCTGACAGTGAGATGCGCTGCAATTCAGATGACGACATCATATATAAGGCTTCACCAAAATTGGTGAAACACAACGATGTAATACCACTGTAAATATTCGTACAAATACATTTATAAAATTATTAGTATTTAACTCAAACTTGTCTTTTAATACGATACTAAACTATAGGTAACCTTATATCTTCGCGGCGTACTGCTGCAGCATTGATTTGACGCTTCAGTTCAGGGATCGATAATACTAAACAGTCGCCGAGATTTGTCAGACATAGAAGACCAACTTCCGTGTGCATTGCGACATTTGCGTCGATCGAAGTGTTCTGTATGTTGTCGCTGATGACATGATCACTGTTGGAATCTGCCTTAGCAGGAGTTTTCGTTGGACTGTTTGAATGAATCAAACTTGGCGGTATAATGCATGAAAATGTGGCAAATGCCATTTTCCGGACACGAGCTCCTTCATGTGCTGTCAATTTATATTTTGTAACTGGTTTCAGTTGTGGCAACGAAAATACTTTGAACTGCTCTTCCGACGCTATCAATACACGATGCGGAGCAGTTCCAGGCCCTGATAGCTCTAGCGGAACACCGGCATTGTCAAAAATCGATATACCAACAACTGGTGCACGATGTTTCAGTTGAATGGATTTTGCCAGTTGTGCTGTGATCATTTTTCGTTGTTCAGATGGTACATCGTTTACTGATTTCGGTGGAATGTTGAGAACGAATACTGATACGCAGCTAGCATTAGTTGCCGACCATAAGGTTGGTGTCGTCGTATGTACTATAGGAAGAAAGTGTAATATGGGAGAGTAAATGAATGAGCAATTACTTGGAAAATATTCTTAAAAATGCTATACGTACTGTTAGCGATGAACGTTTGTGCAAAAGTAAGGCATCGAACCAAAGAGTTCATTCCATCGTCTACGGGCCGTGCTTCGATTTGACGTTCAATCGGACGGGTCTCAGTGATGGGAGTCTGCGTTGCCCCAGGATTATTTCGCGTTGATCTACCTTTTCTAAGGCGTCGGAATGACTCTCTCAGAGTTTTTTTGAACGATTTTCTACGCGAAAGTGCTTCTCCAGCTCCAGTTAAATCATTCGGATTCAAAGTACACCGATGTAAAACGGGGAAATGATTATTATAGTCGAACAGAACCAAGCCATGGCCGGTACCGGCTGCAACCAAATTCCAATTCGACTGCAATGCTAAGCATGTTATAGCACCGGGTGGTAAGACTTGCAGAATTCCAGACACTTGAAGACCGTCTTCGATTGTTGGAGTTGCTTCGGTGAGTAAGTGTGGCTTCACTTTCAATTTATCATGTCCCTTCCAGATGAAACCATCACGGTCACTAACTAAATTCATTTCAGTAACACGCAATGGACCCTCTTGAGATTTGCCACCCAAATTAGCACACACCTATCAGTAATTAACACAAAAAATATGAATATATGTTTCTTTCTCTATAATTTCGTTCACTATATAGTGTGGTGTTATCGATCTTACAATGTTTCCAGCAGTTCCAGCAACAATGAGTTGTCCCGTTTTCTGGCAAAATGCAATTCTTTTTACGGCAAGGCGTGGATCGTCGGAATATGGATCAAACAAGCCTGCTTTACGGAATGGGGGCTCCGAGTCCTCCAATTTGTCTTGATTATCGTGCAAATCATCAAAATCATCATCATCATTGCCGAAAAGTTGTGCCGTTCTAAAGTGCAAAAGTGGCTCCAAAACAACGCCAGTACAATCCCAAAATTTCACCGAACCATCCTCATGACCGGTCAGCAATATTTCGTATTCTTTTGTTCCCAGGTCTTCGCCCTTTTCCAATAATGTTCCGCCAGTAACTGGCCATTCAATGTCACTGTGCTCAATTTCATTCTGCTTGCCGGCTTCAACGATTTTTTGATAGATTTCGCCACTCACTTGGGATACGAGGTGGTTACAGGTTACGGCAGACGTATGCACCGAGTGCAAATATGGTAATCTTATCGGTTTCAATGCTGAATCAGTTAGATCATAGACACACAATTCTTCTTCCAAAAGCACAACCAGAGCCTCAGCTTGGCTGTCGTTGTCCTCATCAAATGTAACAAAAAAGTCAATAACTTTTGACGTAAAGTCTAAGCAAACTTTCGAACCATCTGTGCAATGTACTGAAACACATTGGCGATCTCCGTACAATGATCGGGGCATACCACCCGAAAAAATGACAATATCATTTTCATTCCGTTTGCCTTTTACAAGTTTGTTGATTAACTTGCAAGGATCGGGGCCGTACGGTACAAATGCATGATCTTTCGGCGGATTAGAATCATCAATTGCCCAAGTGGCATAGGAACCATCTTCATGATACCATGTGAAATGTTTGCTGTCAGCGTCAACGTATAAACCCACCGTTTGTCCATGTCCCGACGCAATAAATGAGCGAACAACAGTGTTCGATTCCAAATCCCAGAGCACACACAGTCCACGATTATAGGCAATCAAAATCTGATTATGGTTGTTTGGGAGTTGTTTGATGGATTCAACTGCGCTTAAGCTGTATTTGTACTCCGGTATTCTACATGAAATACGAAAAGAAAGTACAATTTAGATGTGTGAGCAATAGAAGTCAATGATAATTAACCTAACGTACTTATCAAGAATGTTGTCGAGGAAAATGATCGGCTCCTTTATTAAAAAGTTTTTCAAATTCAATTGGTAGACGTTTCCTCCTTCCGTACCAATCCACACAAGATCTTTATCAAGCGAACAACATAGCGAAGACACCTTCTTCAGTTTACCGTCGAACGGTATGCTTCTGATTGGAACTAGGATCGCTCCAGCTGGTTCCCATAAAGTCAATTGATTCGTGGTTGTTACAGATAAAATTCGGCCCGTGTCTGGCACCCACTCAAGTAACTGCACCGTACAATCAGCTGAATTATTCGATTGTGATAGATGCTGGCCATAAAATTCCACACCTGGGCGTCCAAAGATTTTAATCGCTCCCGAATGAGTTCCGATTGCGAACAGCTTACGTAGGGGATCGTAAGCCATTGCCGACGGTTTGTGAGGAAATCCATGTTGCGCAGTCTGGAATTAATGGAAATACCTTTTTTTCAATATGGTACATTCATTGTATGTTATAAAAAAGCAAAAATCATTCACTTCAAAATGCATTAGAAAAGTGAAAATATATTTTTGGCAATTTTGGTTGAATCATTTTTTTTTCGTATAAGTGTTGTATTATTTGTCCCTTGTTATCTTTGCTATCAGCCGAATTGCGTTGAACAAATATTTTCCAAACAAAATGCCACACCTATATGAATACATATTGTAATATTGTACAATGATAAAAAAAAATGGTTGTACAGGTACGGAGGATTTTCTCCTATGAGTAAATTCAAATTAAACCTTATACACACATGTTGTGCACCATAAAAATGTGTTTACCCAAATTGCCAAGTTGATGAAGCAACATGAAATCAAACTGAATTATTCTCTGTTTCGAAGAAAAATCTATTTAATGGGAATTGTGCATAACAACACTAAATATTGGAACAAACATCGAAGCGGTATTCACGCGATAAGATAGATACGAGTTAAACTCATATCTTATCTTAGCTTTAATACACATTTTTATGCATTTAAGGTGTAAAAAATGATATTTCGAAAAGATAAGCTGGAATTCACAACTTTATGCAATACCGTAAATATAAGGTGTTATTGCGTATGAAAATATTCTGTTCATGTGAATATTCCCAATCATAAACAAAGACATTGTATATTATAAATTTCTTTTTAAAATTTGGACTATTGAACTAATAAATAACTTGAGACGAACGTAGTGTTTACCTTTTTGTATGCGAAAAGTTCCTTTTGTAATTTTTGCCTCTCAGCTAAAGGTTGTTGACCTTTTCCGCGGATGAATTTCCACATCTTTCTTTTCGTTTCTTTGCTTGCCAGTTAACTTAACCTTTTGAATGAATAAATTTTATTAATTTAAATCACATATCATAAATTTCAATTGTATTTGACTGTTTTCAGTCAAATGAAAAATATCGAAACGGTCCTATAAAAACACTAAACTGGAAGAATAACGTAGGTTCAATTTGAACGATCTTAATATTATATAAACCAAAATTTATATTTCATTAAAGACCTTGAAGAGAGGCTTCTAACACCATTTCAATTTTTATTATTGTATCTAAATATGTTCACGTGAAAATCAAAATTGGCTAACTAAAGCAATTTAAAAACGGTTCCACTTTGACCCACTAAATGTTGTCAAACAAGTTTCTATGAGTACCTCAAATGATGTTCTCAGAACGCCGAGCAGTGATCGATATTACGGGAAAAAAAAGTTCTGAAAATCTTGTTTATGGATTTATTTCGGCCATTCTCAATAAAATGCACTGTTCTTTGGGTACGGAATTATTTTTGCTCTTTGTCCGTTTTAATAGTTAAATCAACGAACTATTTCATGGTTCAAGTGATCGTAAAACTCACACTAAATATGTTTGCATCGAATTATATTAAAGTAAAAATATCATTTATTTATTGGCACTAATAAACCGCCAAATTTTTCGTTTGCCTCCAAATAAAGTCACAAATATTATTATTGAAATATGTATGCCTTTGATTGTTACGCGATTACATCCGATTCAATACATTATTCTTTTTTTTACGAATAACCGCACCCATTAAGCGAATTTAAAACATATCATATAAACAAAACAGCAGTTGTTCAGCAATACTTCCAAAAGTCTACGATTCCCTAAAATTTTGAGGTTTTTTTTTTAAAAATAAGTGATCGAAAGCAATAAATCCGTATGGTGAAATTACAATAGATATCCAATAAAATTGAACGGACAACATTTATTATAAAAGTTCAGAATACAATGATGTGATCGAGCAGAATGAGCGTCTATTCAATATACAATATATGAATGAGCGGAAAAAAAGAGCCGAAAATACACATACATTTGCATACCCACACTGTAACTTAAAAGCATTTTACACATATTAACAACTTTAAACGCACACAGTGTGGCTTGTACACTTAATTATGTGACTCTCGTTCAGTGTTTATTGAGTAATATTATACATGTATACAATTTTTTTTTTAAATTTCGGCAGTACAGAGTAATTATGGAAGCTGAATTCCGCCTAAGCGTCAGAGAATCTTTACTTCACTTATAAATGTGTATGTTGTACACTTTAAACAACTTGTAGTGAATGGTTTAAAAAACTTTTTTTTTCTTCATTTTTTGGGTATGCGAGAACTTCAGAATGGAATGGAAAATGCCTTTGGACAAACGAAAAGAATGGACAGTGTCATGATATATGCATAAATACTTTAATTTGATTTCATCAAATTGAATGAAAAATGTGGATGAAAAAGATCAGTCCGCGCAGAAAAAACCAATTTGTATTTGAATGGATTTGAAATAAAATGTAGCATATTTATTGAGTCATAGTGGAATACAAATACTTTTCAATACTATGAAATGAGGAGATATATTTGCGCTCTTATGTTCGTTTCGAACTCATTCGACAGGTTTCACATTCGAGAGATTTAGTTTCAATTCAACATTTCGAATGAAGCCGATTGAACTTGTAATAACTATGCAATCATTTGGGGTCGTTGTGTTTTATATGCCTGATCTCATCACAAAAAACCTCTAAACTGACATCCTCGATCAATTAAATATCACTCATGAATTCGCCTGCGACGACGACGACACCATTCATTCATCATGATATGAATTGTTGTTGTTTTTGACTGAGTCACATATATACTCAAAAAAGTGTAACATATTTTCGAAACTATACACCGAAAGATATCTTGAACATACAGAACGGAAACACGAAAATGAAACATATATCGAATGAATTTTATGAAGGCACCAAACAAACAGCCCGGTTAAACAACAAGCAATATTCCTTTACACTCTTGCGATTCACTTTTGAATGGTTAATTTTATTCTCACAGCGTTACATTTGAAAAAAATGGGAAGAAAATATGTCTCACTTTTATTCCCAGAGTCTCCATTCTTTCGTACTTTTCTACTTACTTTGATTGTGATGTTTGAATTTTTTGTGAAGCTGCCGACTTTTGGATAAAATGTTAAACAATCAGTTTTAACCAGTATTTTATTTCTCGAAAAGTATTTCTTGTTGATTTTTAGCTAAGTAAGACACCGAATTTGTACACAGAATACACTTTACTTGTGTACAATTGAAAAAACCAAACATTTCAAACAAATGGTAATGCGTCGAATTAACTTATCTTATAAACAACAAATTCAATGAAACATTTGAAAGAAATAAATAAATTTAAAGACGCTAAACAAAATTAAGACGCGAACAAATAACAAAATAAAAATGTACGCAAAGTAGATATGTATTAACTTTCAAGTTGTCAACCATTCACTACTTGCTTGTTAACAATGATGACCGGTGTTGGCTTGCTAAGCATAATAAAAAGAGACCTGGTGTAGCGTCATCATCGCACACATACACAAAGAGGTTAGTGTATCATTCCTTAGTAGTTGCTAAAACTTTACGAATAAACGGGCTTCATTTGTTACATTTTTTTTTATATTTGAGAATCGATTTAGTTTATTCAGTTTTGCATTTTTTAATCGTGATGAATTTCAAATTAAAATATTATCAAAGAATAAATGTAAATAATCAATGTTTGATTGTAATATAAAATACTCGGTCTCTTTCTTTATGTAGTTCGCATTTGGGGTTCGTTCACAGTTTCACAGTGTTGTCAAACCTGTTCTGGGTTTTGAATGCGGTTGAAAGAATACTTCATCGTTTGTGCTTTCCAACAGTCTAAAATCTATTTTATTGAACTCATTTGAAAATATAAATTAGTACTGGAAGCATATTTTGATAGGATTGATTAAATGATATTGCAGTTGTTGACATAAACTAACTTGAAAACTTAACGACAACAAGAAAAACAAAAGCCAAAAACTATTGATGTTTATGGAATGGGCTCGCTTGACTCGATAAAAGATTGCTTGCTAATATGTTATAAACTAAGAACAGCATTTGTATGATATATTTAAAATAGAATATTTCAAATTCGTTTCATTTGTTAATCTTTGTTTGCGCTATATTGTGCATTTTTTGATTTGCTGTGTAAAATTTCTATAAAGTCGCTGCACTTTTTCGTATTGTTTTCTTTTGTTATGTTATTCAAAGTATATGTTTTATTAAAATAAAAAATCAAAGAAAGAACGATGAAATCAAAACGATAAATCAAAACACATTTTCAACCTCAACCAATGAAAGTTCTATAGTCTAATAGCTTATGATTTCAATTCAATCAATAAATATAAAAGTGATTGACTCGCGACATTTTTGTTCTGAAAATCTTCATAGTCTAGAAAAAGAATTCATCTAATTTTGTGAGTATAACTAAGATAAGAGCGGTGGAATCATTTGATCTAGGAAATAAGTCTAAGAGAGTAAACATTTGTCCTTGCTCGAATTGGCACTGTTGCTACCTCCACAAGGCACTGACTGTTGTTGATTACGTCGATTTCGGTCATGAGATTCATCTAATTCCTGGATTGACCTTGCTAAGGCATGTGCCAATGCTTCATCTTCGCTCATGCCACCCTGTACCGATTGCACATGATTTGATTGAGTTGTTGATTGACGATTCATGGCAGCGTTCCTGTCACATATGGAATAACCCAAATTATCATTACTATAGCAAAATGTTAAGTGTAATATGACATTAATGTAACTTACGCAAGCAAATTGGACCTTGCTGCCTTTGGATTGCATTCATGGTCTGTAATGTGGCGATGTCGGAGACAGAAATTCATCTTGCATTGACCACCTATTAAATTATCGAAAAGAATGTTCTCGAATTGATAAATATAAAGCGGGTAAATAATTTGCAGCAGATTACGTACAATGAACAGGAATCAATTCCTTTTTTTTGCAACCTCGGAATGTGCATTTATTCGTGAATATTTTTGTTTTATCCGATTTGCAATACTGATCTATGTGTTGACCAACGGTCATGTCCGGAGAAATACCACGTGGAGTTGGGACGGGCTCACCGCACAAAGGACACGCTGGCACCTGAACGTCTTTTTTGTGAGCCGATGTGCATTTGTGGTTAACATAACTGAAGTGATCCGAACTGAAATGGAATTGCGAAATATTTCTTTTAAAATATGAACTCACAGAGAAACACAAATGATTTTACCATAATAAATATGGTCGAACAACAATTTATATATACAGGCAAAATGTGTAAATTTCTTAACACAAGTGAATTCAGTTTTGTTCACTAATACTTGTTAAAACGAAATTCGCTTGACATGTTCAATGTTTTTCAATCATTTCGTGTTTGGACACAGTATGATAGCGCCCTTGAAGCATGTGCAATATGCATAATGGCATAATACTGTTTTTGATGTTTCTATTCGACAATTTGATTGAAATCCCGTTGACAGAAAGAAATCCATTTCCTATATATAAACTAGATGTTTTTTCCCACGTTCACTAACACATATTTAACACTAGAACAGTTTTAGTTTTAGACGTATTTTTATTGTTCAACAACAATGGATATTGGTTAAAAGAAACTTACCAGAATATCAGGTGACAAGCATCACAGCTCATCGGCAAAAAATCTAAGAAAAGAATTTGATATTATTTTATATGGTTACACAACGAAATATTCAACGTATTTGTATTTATTGACACCACCAAGTACTGGCTGAATATTCTAGTTTTGCAGGAAAAATGAATCAAACAGGATTCACGAAAAAACCTAGATATTTTTGTTTAAAATATTTAAATTTACAATACCATTTCTCCCCTATATTTGTGTCGATCATTTATGAATAAATTCGTTTCTTGACTTTTAAAGTTATTGCTGTTTCACTAACATGAGGTTTAACATTGAACGAAAATCAATATCTTGTTGATAATTAATTTTCATGTTCATGTTCATGTTCACGTTCACGTGCATGTTTCTATTGGCGCTTTCACTTTCTTCAATTCGTAAAACATTTAACAATGGTAACAATCCATTCAGGATTGATTTGATTTGATTTTGGCATCATAAATAATACAATACCTAATTTGTTGCAGGATTTTTCCGAGCAGTGTTTTCCCAAATGTGGAAACTCCATTGTTTTTATGTTAGAACTCAAGATTGACGTGGTTAAAAATTGTCGGTGCTGATTTTTGCACAATATGTCGTAATTCACTCTTGGAAAGATGTTCAAACGAATCAATGATACACGATTCCCCAACGGGATTCAAGAGGAATATCCGTGTTTATTAACTGAAACGAACTATATCAGGCTATGACTCTGAAAACATCAAGCTGTACAGCTTATATACAAGTTCTGTTTAAAACTAATGGAATGCTTACTCATCAGGCTGTCAAATTTTCCTTCAGCTAAAAGAGTGCAATGTCATTTATAGCAAAATGTGACAATCAAAATGAATTATAGCAGAATTTATGTCAGATGGCGCTGTCCCCGCCCATATACATTTAAAACAAAGTGAAGCATCAAAACGTTTTAATTCTCCTGAAATCACATCAGTTCCAAGAAATTTGTGTAACTCTAATTATTTTTTTTTCATCTTTTCAATTTATCTGAAGACAAATTTGCATGAAAAATTTAAGGTATGATTCAACGGTCAGCCTTTCTTTCTTATGTTAGTCAAATAACTAAATCAACATGCTCATACTCATACTGGAATCCTTATCAGTTGGAGACTGCCAAATGGAAGAAAAAACCGAGTTCTCTCCTTTACATTTGCATTTGTATGATAGCATGCTATAGTAATATAGTCAGAGAAAAACAATGAATTCTCAGCATTTCGAAAAAGTGTGTCATACGAAGTTCATCCTCTCCATTTTTCATTTATTTTAAAAGAAAATTTTAATAAATACAATTAATGATTTGGAAAAGTGAAAACAATTATTTACGATTGATTAAATACTTCAAGTTTGGTTTTGTAAATTGGGAATTCATGTAAATAACACCCATCAGTCTCTAAAATCGGAAGTCTGCTCAAAATTCATAGCAAGCTCTTTCAGAGCAGATAAGGATTGACCTTTGTATTTTGTTGGGAATAGTTCGTGTCAATTTGTGAAATTTTTTGTATTAAATTTGTGATTTCGTCAATATGACGATAATTAAAGGATTAATGCTGCTTTGTTTGATTGCACATATCAACTGTGAATGCAATTCTACTTGTGATGTAAAAGGTACGTTTTTCACTGAGTGATTCCAACGTCATATCTAGTTGAAGTTTAATTCTTTCTTGTGTTCAGATAAATTTGCGAGCAATGCACAAAATAAGAAGATCGCAGAAAGCCAACTATCCGCACAAATTATTGCGCTACTCGAACATTACAAACAAAGAGATCCGTTGGGAATACCCGGTGCTTCAATCCCAGACCCCTTTCCTGTTCCGTATACGTAAGTTCCATATATGTAAGAAAGAGAATGACAATTTTTTCGATGTAATGTAAAATAGCATTCGATACAATTTTCGTTTTGTTCTCGCAAGTAAGCAATCGTTTGGAATGGCCACGCTTACCATGAAGAATACATCAGCTTTTGGTCTATCGAAATTCCGCGTTAAATCGATGTCATTAGATATCAATCAATTGGTGGTAAATAGCACTTCCAAATAAATTTTCATTTGATATTGGTTCCGTATTTATTTGAATGCATTTGTTAACTCGAACAGGTGGAGACAGAAATTCAATTAGACGTTCTTGAATTATTGGGAAATTATACTCTCTCATCGCTGTTTTCATCGGCAAAAGGTCCATTCAATGTAACTCTTACGGATGTTGTGGCGAAAGGAAATGCTTCGGTGGCAGTTGAACGTGATGGAAAAATTAGAACACAAGATATTTCAATGGACTTGAATTTTTCGGGACTGACTACTGACTTCAAAAACTTAGGTGGGACACGAATTCAAAATCAGAATTAATGGCACAGCAACTCATTTAGGATTTACTTTATTGATAGGTTTCATGGGTAGCATATTTCAAACGATTATTAACGGCGCACCAAATCTTGTGTTCGATTCCATGAAACCATTCATGTTAAAGGTATGTTAAAAGAATGATAATCTTTGACAACCATAATCTGTACTTCGGTGGAAGCACGGAACACACAACTCAAGACTCGCAAATAATTCCATCCGCAATCATATATTTATTGCTTGCCAACCTAGATGTGTTTTTTTCAAAATGTTTTTTTTATCAATTTCTTTATTGGTTTTAATTTGAATCACACATCATTAGGAAGTCTATTCAAAATTACGCACCGAAATCGACTCAAAAGTGAAAGATTTAATGGGAGACTACTCTCTACCGAATTCCATTTCGCCATTGGATATGGCACTTGGAGAAGGTCGCCGAAGGGTCCGTGAAATGGGTTTCGACCCATTGATTGTGAGAAATTACAATCACTCAGTTGGCCTGTTTGCCGTGCAATTAAAAAATACATGGATAGGTGGTGTTAGCGGGTTTCATCGTGTCGGAGATTTGGTTCTTTTGCTTGAAAATAATACAGTCACAATCGGTAACTTCGTCCATTTTGAACATTCGAACACATTATAAATAATATGTTGCTGTTACTACAGAATTGAACCTTGGAACGCAGGAAATTAAAGGGTCGAGCGATTGGGAAGTTACGGCTGGCAAAGGTATGATCACGCGTACCGGCCATGTGAGATTTTCCGTTCAATATATCCAAGCGACCTTGATTATGAGCCAAACGCTTGATACGCGAAAACCACCTCAAATAAAGGATTTACAATTGTCTTTGGGAAATATTCAAGTAACTATAATGATAATTTATGATTATGAATATGATTGAACTGTAGAATATTTGTAAATGTAATCATTTTTGTTTCTAAATTGTAGGTACGAAGCGAGGGCGCCGGAACATTTGACTATATCATTGAATTCGTTATCAACATAATTCCGAATCTACTTCGATATCAAATAATGGATGCCTTGGAAAATCCGGCAAAGGCAAAAATACAAGAAGAAATGAATAAAATAAATGTAGAGAAGCTGATCAAGGACAATATTCCAAATTTCGAAAAGTTAAAACAAAACTACTCAATCACGTTGAATGATTTGAAATACTAGGAATGAACTGTAAATTTCATTGAATAAAGACACGTTTTGAACACTTAATCAAAATCCTAAGCGGAAGGAGTCTATTTTAAAACCAAACTTTGATTAAAGTAGCAGAGTGTACCTGTACTTTGTACTTATTATTTATCAGCTGTCAAATAGCTACTGACGTCTTTTCTGTCAGTCCAGTAGTATCTGTATTTACAAAACGACATATTTACCAAATTTCCAAACAAACCGTGCACAAAATAAATGGAAAGTCAACGTTCTCGAGTGGTTCATCTGTATAAGACCGTAATTTTAACTACAAATTAGTCAAGTATCATAATACTACCATGTGTTTTTTCTTGTATTCCAATCATTTCAGCTTCAATATCTTGGTCGAGAATATCCCGGTGGGTCTCAAAAGTTTCGACAGAAGTGTCATGATATTTTTCTGCGGAATAGCAAAGAAACCGATCCGAAAAAAATAGAATCAATGATTGAACATGGAAAATTCATTGTCAAAGAACTGGAGGCACTTTATTCTCTGCGCAAGTATCGTGCAATGAAAAAACGGTACTACGATGATAAATCATAATTAACACTCTAAATGGAGAGAGATTGAGAGAAAGAAAAAAATGCACACATCTAAATACTTTATCTTTGAAATAATTTATTGTTTCTAGGACATAGGTTTTATTAATAAATTTATGTTTTCAATACTTCACTATATGTATCTCTTTGTTATTTGTTCTGTTTGAATTTTTCGAAAAATTGATTCTACAGAATATAATATATGTATATATATAAGGTGAATATTCATTATACTTTAATTTATATATGTTATAGCAATAAAATGTATTCTCTCGCAGTGAAAATAGGATTGGTTTTACATATTTTCGAATTCAATCAGGTTCATTGTAAAGTTTTTCGATCAACAAAACTTGAAGAACATCTCGGTTTTCTTAAAATTGCGATACACTCCTTTTTACAGTGCGAGAATTTACATTTTACGTTCTTTTTCTTCTTGTTTAGCAATATTTAACGAACGCACCAGTTATCATGATATATATATATATATGTAGATTGTAGATATTAGAGAGTAATATTTAGTTTTAAAATTCTCACTGACTGTTTATTTCTGAGTAAGGGTTTTTGGTTGCTGTTGTTGTTATTTCTTTTCTTGGTTGGGCTCCCTTTCTTCTTCAAATTTCTTGTCAATAGTTTACACATATTTAGATAAACAATCTACAGACAATTTAACAAATTAATAATTCATATTATATTATAAACATTTTTAAATAAAATTTTATTGTTTTCACCATCTTCGTTTCTTCTTTTTTTCTTTCTCTCAACAATTTGTGAAATATAATTTATTTAAAATATATGTTCTCTATATATGATCTATTTTTTGTTGTTAGAGTCAAAACGTCGTTACTTTGTTCAAATTGTTAGTTGATTGACAAATTTTCTCGCATTAGTCATGCTAATATTTTGTGTGTCTATTTGGGTTAGCGTTTGAAAATGAAATATTCCCTGAAGCACTATTATTGAAGCAAAGAATTGGGTGAAATTCTTTGGAATGCAAATTGCAGGTCAAACAACAAATCAAACGCTTTCCTTCATTGCCCTATGCTGTGAATGATCTGATGTCAGAAAACGTTATGAAATTTTGAAATTTTAATATGTTTTTTTTTCTTGTTTAGGTGCTATAATTCTTTTTCAAAGTTTAGTATATTTTTTTATGAAAAACTCGTAAATTGAAAACGGTAGTTTATTTATTCTTCAATGAGAAACTTTGTATGGGAACCTTCAAAAATTCTTCCGTTTACTAGACTTTGAGTGTAAAATATACATGCAGTTTCAATTGGACATCAATCGAATAATTGGAGTTAACTTCACCTTGAGCAGTAGAACGAATGTTCATGCGGAAACGTTCATTTCTGACAGCGTTCTGTGGTTACATGAATTTGTTTTTGTTTAGTATTTATTGATACACACTACCCTTAGGCCCAGTGCTTTAAATAAGTAACAGATCATTTCCGAAATTAGATGAAAAAAAACAGACTAAGATTTAAAGGTGAAATAGAAGCTTCGTGCTTGAATCATTTTTGATGATTATTATTGTTCTGGTTTTCTTTATTGCTTCACATTAAACGTATATTTTATTTGAATGTTTGAAATTCGTTGAAATGGATATATGAATCAGTAAGAATAATCTTGACCTGCAAAATTGAGTGAAAATAAATGTGAAACATAGAGTTTTTTTTATATGGACTTTACGACAACAACTCCATATAAAAAAAAACTCTATGTTTCACATTTATTTCTACTCAATTTGACAGGTCAAGATTATTCTTACCTATTCACATGAATTGTTTCCTCCAGAGATTGAATAAATACATGTGATGTTTATGAAGTTATAAGACGTATAGGCAATACTGCCGAAGTCCCAAGCTCTTCAAAAATCAAATAAATAACAAATGAAATAGAATCTAACTGCTTTCCATTGTATCATTTGTATTTGGAACTTTTTATGTGATTGACGATAACGTTGAAATGACCAATCATACAAGAGAAAATGCACATTGCTGTGCAAATACATAACTGTCCGTTTGGTGGATTTTCTGTGCGATTTGTTTTTGGCCAAATTCAATTTTACATTAAAAAAAACATTGAATATATTCAGCAGCATTGTTCAAAATTTAAGGGTTAATGCCATTCAACGATTTGGGTGGCCGAGCTGTTTATGAGAACGAATAAATTTTGCGAAAGCATCTTGGTGATTTTATCTAACTAACAAACAAAACAAAGTGAATCAAAGTGCCACGATTAAGCAATCATTATTTTGTCCATATTCTCACTAACATTGTGCTATATTGCATATAGCAGGATTTCTTTTCTTATAATACGTGTCTTTGATTATCCATTTTCAAGACGGTTTACATCAACTGCAATATAATTTACATAATCAAATTTTACATATATATGTTTTCATGATATGAGAAATGTGGTGTATGTGTGTGTGTGGTGTGTGATTGATTTACTGTGCTTCAACTGTTCAGTTTATTTGTAGTGCTCTTTTCTGTATAGATTATTGCCACGTTTATATATTTTTTTACTTTTTAAACAGATTTTTACAGCCATTCCGATAAATATTTTTTTCGGGAATTCGGGCTGAATATCTGAAAATACATTAAGCACAGAATGTTATCGATATTTTCATCATTTCAAGTATAAGCAAATGTGGCTGAATCATACAAATCATATACAATCGTACAAACTCTTAGACCGATTTTAATGAATGGGCTGGATTGAATAATGAATGCATTCGAAAGGAAGACACGAAACAATGCATTCAATGCTCCAATTTCGTAAGAGCGACATTCATTTCGTTTGGTCACAGAAATTGATTTTAGGATTTACAAACGAAATAATTTTGACAAATATTGAGCCTGTTCTTTTATGGTTAAAATGACGCTTCATGCACCTGAGCTAGCAAATTCATCTCAGCTCAGGCCTACCTGTTTGTATGACAGAAAATCAATATTTTTGTTTCTGTCCTTCATTTTTTTCATAATTAGCTTCTATATGGAGGAGAATAGCTGCAATAACTATCTCCTTTGGACATGTGCAGGTGTATCAATACTGTTTTTCAGAACATCAAGTCATGCCTATAGTTTATAAAATTTTCATTTCAAGATTCGTTCAACATCTTCAACCGGTTATTCTTATACATTCAAAATGCTTGTTTATTTGTTTCGGTGTGATTTTGTGTGCCTAATTTGTTTTTTTTTATTTAAATTTTAGATACTATTATTGTTCATATAATTTTTCTTTCACAAATCGTTGGATGATTAGTCTAATTCATGGCTGCCACTACATACATTGTACTTTGAAATTGATCTGTACTCTGTAATGGTGGTTGCCTTCATTAATTCACACAGTGAAAATTCCCAAAGCCGTTATACAAGTGTCACGTATCTTCTTCAAAACAATGTTCTGTTGAAGTTTGTATTCAATATAAACGAGATCTTCAATAAAACACACTTGTATAATAACTTCAATTTTCTGTGTGCCATCAGTAAATTTTACCAAATATTCGCAATAGTGTCATTAGCACTTATTAGTCAATCTTTTTTGAACTGAAAACAGGAATCGCAATTTTATTGTTAAATAGGTTGTTCGCCGTTCTCAGTCGTCAATAGCACATCTAAATAAAATTCTTTTTCGAATTTTGCAGATTCAATTTACGATTTATACGCTGTACTTTTCACGTTTGATAAGTGATAGTATTCGTCAATGTTTTCGAATCATACTAGACGTAGACCTGTTGGGGACAATTTTATTGTTGTCTTAACAAACGATAAATCGATGGAACATTTTTTAAATGTACACGTACAGAGTGCATACAAAAGATGGTAGATGGTAATTTATGATCATTTTAAAGCACATGAAAGGTTATTAACGATAAACCATAAACGAAATTTTCAATGAAAGGAAACCTTTGGTCCTGATATCTACTGAAATTTGTGGATATCAAACAATTTTGCACGAGCAAATTAAAACGGTAGTGTTTTTAAAATGCAGTAAAATGAATTTGAGTGAGTTTGAAATTAAATATTTCACCGAAAGTGTAGATTGAACAGAATGTTTCTCTATCTTATGAATTAAAAACAATGAGTATTTTTTATCAATTTTTCTTTGAATAGTTAACCTCACACAATATTCGTAACAAGATTTGAAGTTGACAGAAAGTTCAAGGGATGTGTTTGCGTAGGGCTGAAGTAAATAAGTGTGTTTAAATTTGAATGTTTTGCTGCTATGTAATCGTAATGTTTCAATTTAAATACAGATTGCAGGTTTTGTTATCATTAACTCATTTTTAATGGTATTTCGAGCTCTTTGTATTTCGAACAACGTTCAGTAAAATATGGATTAAATAATTATATACATTCATGTTTTATACTTCTGCACGTAGTATGTTCTTTTTTGTTTTGTTTTGTTTTGTTTTGTTTTAGCGGTTAGATTTAGTAACTGTGAATGTCGGAAAACTTTCTACTGATCTTGAGGATTGGGATTCGGCTAAATTATTGTGCATATACATTGTTGAAAAAACCAACTAATCTCTGTAAAGTTATAATTAAAAAATAACCATTAAAATGTAAATAATAACAAATATGTAGCTTGTAGACGCTAAACTAGTTTTGAAGGGAGTACAATTTTGTATTCAATATTTATTTTAGCTTATCTATGATTAGATGAAGTTTGCAGTCGATTCCATGTTGCAAATAAAAGATCAAGTTGTTGAACGGTATAACTTTCAATGGATTCACGATTAAAATTTGAAACATTTTGGGCAAATGCAACTGCTGAGGTTTTGAGTAATATTTGTTCTTTTCAAATTGCCATTGAAAATGTGTGCAAACATTGACTGGAATCGATAAAATATATATATCAATTTTTACACATGTTATTCGAAATTTCCTCGAGAGAGAGAATAAGGTGGTGCCAATGCGGCCAAGTCATCCATATGTCTACTGTTTTATATTACTGAATGTAACAACGACAAATTATTTTTTACTCACGTTGTTGGCTTACAGTTTCATTTAAGCAATGAAGTCTCGGTTAGTAGCTTAATCTTTCTTCTCGCCATCTTCTGGATCTTTGAGTGTGTGCCATTGCGCAATTGGACGACGTGGAGATGCCAGCATATCAGACCAGTGGCGGAGTTCAGTGCCTTGTGCACTGTAGCCTAAAACGACTTTGCCGATAGGCTCAGATGTGCCAATACGATCGTAATCAACAACAGTAACTACAAGCTGTACTTTCTGGAGAATTGAAAAACAAAAATAATTTAGAGAATAAATGAGATCAACAATCGCTGATAGCCTACTGATTTTTGAACCGAAAAGTACCGAATAAAACTATAAATCACCGATATTTTAAGCTTGTCTTGGGTCAATGACATTGGCGCAATTGACAAGAAAATTTTAAAATGCTCGGTAACTTATAGATCTATAGAGACTATGAATGAAATATTAAATAAAGCGTGAATAGCTTGACATCTAAAACTGAAACTAATTCTGGTTCTACATATGCATATATTGTTATGAAGGTGCCCAAACAAATATAAAGGGTGTGAATAAAATTAGCCTAACAAATTAAGATACTGATTTGGATTATTCAGAATCCGTTTATGTATAAACGCATTATCATTTTTTGAAAATAATAAACATAAACCCATCACTTGCTTTCAAATATGAGACATTGAATTTAAATTTTTTAAATTCAAATTACGAATGGAATATAAAAACGTCTGAAAACGTGAAGGAAATTCAGAATTAGTTATTCAGTGCAAAATAACTTATAAAAAACGGTTTGCAAACAAAACCAATATAGTTTTCTCCGAGAACAAAACAAAGATGATATTTATGTAACATCATTGGACTTTATATTGCCTCCGTTTTTATAGCATTTATCGCTGCGCGGGCAGAAAATATGGAAAAACAAAGAAATTCATGGATATTAGTTAGAGATGGACATAGTAAATAGAAAGCATGGAGATATGTATTTTTCTTCAAAATTAAAAAAAAAACTGTTTTTTTCTCTTTCAATTTGTTAAATCATCCACAGCAGTTCTAAAAAGAAGCCGCATGAAAACTGGGATGAACTTTCAATTGACACCCATAGAACAAAAGAACAACTTATGAGCTCTTTATCCATAACTGTGACGGAAAAAAACTTAGAGCAAAAAAGAGACAAATGAAGTCGCGAGCAAAAGTGACACAACACAGCATTGAGCGGGAAAGACGTTTTTTGCATTTTCCTCGCTACTAAAAAGAGATAGCGAATAAGTGTCGTCGGCTATTTGTAGTTCTTTTTATTTTCTAAAATAATGCCGAAGCGAGTTCAGGGACATTACAATAAATTTCTTGTGCCGAAGACACCTAGTCGTTATCTATTTCAAGTCGCGAGGAAAATGCAAAAAACGTCTTTTCCGCTCAATGCTGAGTTGTGTCACTTTTGCTCGCGACTTCATTTGTCTCTTTTTTGCTTTAATCTTTTTTCCGTCTCAGTTATGGATGAAGAACTCATAAGTTGTTCTCTTGTTCTATGGGTGTCAATTATATGTATATCTATTGATTTGAGAGAAAATTGATACCATTTGACTATATTTTGTTTTTGCTCTCAAAAAATATTTATCTCATTTCGTTTTTAAAATCAGAATCTCATATATGAAATTATTTCATTGGATTATGTTCATGAATGGATGCATTAAACTATATTTATAAGAAAATGAGTACATAGTCGTTAATCTGTGGATGTTTCTTCGAAACATACTTAATCAAACATCACATCTGTAAATATGTTACGAGAAACTGACTAGACTAAACCAGACTAGTTTGTATATTTCAAACTAGATGTGAAATATCAGAACTCAGCTTTATTTAGTAAAACACTTTGATGACTAGCTACAGTAAATTGGGGCAACGAATTTTTTTCCAAAGTCTCACCAAGTACTCTATTATTTAAAGTAGAGTTCGATATTTCTATAACTCAAATGACTTTAGAACATGTGCATTTTGGTGTACTAAATAATGATGTAAAATTACTATTTCTCAACAACTACAAAAATGCTTTGTTTTATTTACAAAAAGTGTAGACCAATTTAAGTTAGGCAAAAAAAATCGAATTTTCAATCTGAAACTTGACGAATTGAATTATTTTATAAATATCAAAATATATATTGTTCAAACCATTATTTAATGCTGATGTTAAATGGAAATGCAACTATATCTTCAATGGGAGAGTGTTCATGTACTCTTCAGAACGAACGTATTAAAATTCGTGTTATAAATCGAAATGAACCAACTTCAACACCAGAAAGTATCAAGGAAAGAGCCTTGAAATTGCTGCATATCGATCTATTGTCAGACATTTGAAAATGGGAACAGCCTGCATATCTTTGAATTTTAATAGTCATCCTCAAGACCACAACATTTAAACGAAGCGCTTTATATATGGTGAATACGGTGATAAGACCACAAATCAATCACTTCTTTTTTGAGAAAGAGCAGTGTGCATTTGAATGAATACACACACGCACCAGAATAAGAAACTTTTAGATATAATAATTTGAATACACTTTAGAGTATATTCCTTTTGGTTTTATAAAAAAAATATTATTTTGAAAATGAGATATCAGTGAGCAAGCGGGACAAAAGTCCATCTAAAATTGTTGTAATAAAAGCGTATATCATACAAAATTTCGTAGTTATAGAAACATTTGGTGATGCAAATAGTATTTTCCTTGCTCACTTTAAAATCCTGCCATCTTTAACTTTTCTTAATGAATGTGTGTATATTTTCAAACTTCGTCGTTATCAAATGTTTTTTTCTGTATTTTGTGATTGATTTATGAAGTTATATGTTTGAAATTTCTTTAATTTACGTTAACCTTGTCTTTTGGGACATATCTTTATTAGTTGATATGAATGGATATTGGTGCACTATAAAGTTTAAACAGTTGATTAAAAGATGTGACGTATTTAATTTGATTGTATTAAATACTAGTAAACGAAAATGTAGTATATTCAATCCCTTCCAATAATACCTCCCAGGGAGCGCGTTAAAAGTATTAAGTTATACCTATCGATTGAAAATAAACTTTTTTTTCCTTTCGTCATGTATTAGAATTGGCCCTATGTTGTCGATGTTACCACGTCAAATTGGTTAAAATCAACTCTATACACTTGGTGACAGTTGTCAGATAAATGAAATAAGTTTTTTTTTCATAAATTAAAAAAGTTGAGTTTTGTGTTGTGAATGGAAATTATCTCCAATTTTTAAACGTGTTTTTGGACGTTTAAAATCTACATATCTGTTTGACTAAAATATCAGATCAGTTTGTGGATTGTACTACATAATTTTGCAACAAAAAAATCCAGAACAAAAAAATAATTCATAAACATTTCAACATTCTTTACGCCAATCTAATTGTAAAAGAACGAAACCAAATTAATCAACACAAATAATAACGGGGACTTGACACTACTTATTTGTCATAACATCGTGAATATAACTTTTGGAGCCATATAAGAATTGCCATGGAAATGGGCAGAACTCCTTCAGAACTGGTCAAAGCATATTAGACGGCGACAAACTCCAAAAGCTACTATACTTCGAATTATGACCGATAGAGTTGTGATAATATCCCAATAAACTAACATTTAAAGCAATTTACCTATGTCAATTCGTACGAATGCCGAATATGATTATAGGAGACATAGTCCGCGGAAACACTTTGTATGTACATCTTTGCATTACAAAACAATCAATAATATTGGGGATTTTACACGCTTTGCAAGAGTATTGCAAAGGGCATGTAAACAAGAAGTGACTTTGAAACAAAGTACGTGTATTACTAGTGGGTTTATCTCACATAAAGATAACACAACAAACAGAAAACACAGAACAACAAAAAAAGAGAACATAAACTCTAACGCATTACGCAGTGGATGTTTTTTTTTGTTCTTAAATACTTTAGGATAGTACAATACATTCTCGCATACTTGTATTTGTTCAAATGGAACTTCGAATGAGAACGATTCATTGTAGTATGGATTCAGGGTGCATTTTTTGATACTTGTCTTCTTTTTCTTCAAGCGTTTACCGTTTTGCATCAATGCTATCTTGACATAAGGATCTGTGAAAAGTTGATATGATTGATTCGTTCAAAAATATATTCATTAATGATAACAGTTATGCCAATATTTAATATATTTATGGAACGTCGTGCTCTCATCAACACAATGAGACACCGTTTATCAATCCAATAAAATCCAAGTTGATTGAAAGCGCAATCTTCAATAGTAGCTTGTTGGTGATATGAAATATTGAACCAGGTGTTGAGAAAATTGCCTTTTCAATCATTGTACGAAAATATAAACATTATTATACGAAAGAATGGTTAAAAAGACATAGAAGGAGAGAGAGAGAGCAAACCAATTTCTTTTAAAAATGCCATCGCGACCAGACGTGTGAAGGGGGGTTCCGGTTTTACCCCCATCTAGGATTTGAAAATGGAGACCCCCTTCGAGCGGTTTTGACTGTTTTACACTAGATAGAATCGATTTTCAAAAGTGAGGACCTTTTTTTTAGGTCTTCACTTTTTTTCGACACCCATTGACACAATTTTTGGACCGCCATCTGCCAAAAAATTTTACCCCCTCTAGGATTTTTGACCTTGCACACGTCTGATCGCGACACATCATAACGTTTATATGAAATTCATAAATTTCATTGAAGTTATTTCCAAAGGATAAGAAAAAACAACAAATGTAAAATGGAAATAGCCCTGATTTTTGTTACCAGATAATCCGCCGACATCCATTTTCTTCAAATTTTTAGCTTCCAAAATAACAACTGTAAGTTTTCCAGCTGTAGGTACATAACGCAGTGAGAAGCAGATGTCTCCCAACTGTTCCTGTGGTTTCCAAAAAAATCAAAGGTAAAAAAATGAATAAATTAGCATTCCAATAAAAAGTTACAACGGTTATGATATGAATCGAAATATGTTTTGTTACTACATTTCATTTTTTAACCGAATATATTTTCTTCATATTTTAAACGATGGCATCGCATTAATCGTCTGAGACGGTAATTTTTTATGCACCAGAATGATGAAGCTACTGTAGAAATCGAAAAAAAACAAGAAATCCTGGGAATCCAAAATGCTTCAAAACTTCCAAATCAGAAGTCATAACATGTAAATCGCCGCAAAACACTTTATCATATTTAGTTCGTATTTCAACGAAATTTTTTGAGTACAATTAAATGAATACTCATATCTTCGTTTGTGTAGAAGTTTTCAAGCAAAATTAATTTTAAAGTGATAAAATGGCTATTCGATTTCTAGTTTATTTTCGGGGGCAAAATTTTCAATTTCCCATTTCTTCATGTGTTGATTGATTGTTTAAAAAATTAAGATATGTTTGAAATTCGAAAAAAATAGATGTTCAGGATATCGCGAGGGGCAAATCACTCAAAATAGTAATTGCAAAATTTAGCAGTAATTGCACGAGAAAAAAGTAATTGCATAGGTAATTGTTACGAAAAAAGTAGTTGCGAAAGTAATTGTTGATCAGCAATTACTACATTTTTCTTGCAATTACCAATGCAATTACTTCTTTTTAATGCAATTACTTTTGAGTGATCTGCCCCTCGGGTTATCGTTGTGTTCAATTTCCTTTGTTTCATTCCCAATATTACAATTTTAACCCTCTAGTGCATTATTTTTCCCAGGGCTGGGAGCACTGGTTGATTTATGACCACAGATAATTGAAAAAATATTTATAATCCTGTATTCCTCATGGTTTAGTCAAGAAATGCGATTGACGTAAATGAGAGAACAATCAAATCCATTGTTTAAAAGTGTCAAAAATGTGTCTAATTTTGAAAGGAAATAATCTATTATATCAAATTTTTGTTTTTGCGCACATTCTTGTTTATAACACGACAACCGCTTGATGTAGACGAATAGTGCACAGACAAAATTATGGAGGACACATCGAAAAATAAAAATGACTTTTGAAGCAATGTGATTGATGAGCGTTCAAATGTTGCCCATCTAAAAGCGGTTGTATGCACTAGAGGGTTAAGAATATTTTAATCCATGTTATCGATTTGAATATAAAGGGTGTTTCAACAGGCACGCGAAAAGTTTTTCAATAGGGAATCCAAGATGGCTGACCGGAACTGTCAAACTGAACTGTCATTTGAAAGCCCCAGTCAATGACAAATTTTGCCACATCAACATTACCAAAATATCAGCGCGTTCAAATCGTGGAATCCTTCATTTCAATGGGTCTATTTTTCAATTTCAAAAAAATCAAAATATCAAGAGCCTGGTGCGAAAAAAGTATACTTTTTCGCGTAGCGCGAATAAAGCCGCGAATAAAGCGATCCGCCCAATTTCATTGTAACAAGTGGTACATTTCTGTTAGAGTATTGTGGGAAGATGTTAATTTTATGAATTTTTGCAGTGCACAAGAAAAAAAGTTGTTTGTACATTGGGCTCTTGGTCTATTCGCTTCAACAACAAAAGCAAAATTCCGCGCCGACTTTGGCCAATTTTGCAAAAATGGCGTTGACAATTATTGGGTTTTATACTCTCAAATGGCAGCTGGGGGCATTAATTGTATAGACAACTCGATTTAACGATGATATGTACTTGAAAGATCGTCAAAAAACAACTTAATCTGAATCGAGCTTCCAAAATGTCAGAAAATTTGGGCGCCAAATGCATACACACTCAATTCACAAATTACTCAAAATTTGATCATTTTTTTGGCTGTTCGGTGATAGATTAGTTAACCGCGAGTGCCGTGAATTTTTTTTTTTGTGAAATTTGGCCTCTAAAACAGGCCACAATTAAAATGCGCCATACAGTTATTTGCATGATATTCACTTTAAAACATGTTTGTAATGGACCGAACTACAACATCCAATGAAGGTTTGAGCAATTCCAATCGAATTTGTGTGTTTTATTTAACAATATCTTTTTGCGAACTTGTTGAAACACCCTTTAAATATTTGTCAATTGAAGATACACCACGGATGTAGTACATTATAGTAAAATTCGATGAATTTTGATTTTTAATTACGCCATGAGAGAATTGATAACTCTCAGCTGAATTTGGAACAAACATATTGGTTTTTTCTTGTCAAAATGAATGAACTCTTTAATAAATCAATAGAATAAGTTGTTGGAATTTGTTTTCGCCAATAGTGAATTCGAGTTGAGCCTATTACAATAAATAAAGTTATGTCAATCAGAATGAAAATAGATGGATAAAAAGAAAACGGCTTGAATTAATTTATGTCATTTATATGGTAGTGGTTCTTGAAACACATCCAAAATTATTTTTTTTCTAATTTTTGTCCATTATGGATTGGCTTCGATGAAATTCAAATAAACACAAGATAAAATGCGAAAGCAGTGCTTAAGTGAAAGTTCTGTTCAGCAACTTTGAACATTAAAACAAACTGTTGTAAAAACTGCTGAAAAAATCAACGATTTCATGAAAAGGGTGTAGATTGAAGAATTGATTTCAAGAAATTCAAACAAGATAGGATAGACTATTAAATTAATATGCATACTGTGTATCAAATTTTCTGCTCACTAAATACATTTTGCCATGCAAATTGCATATATTATGATTTTTTTGTTCAATTCCACGTAAACAGAAAATCTTTTATATATTATTTCATATTTTTCACTTTAAATGAAAGTCGTGAGTTGCGAAATTGTATGAAATAAATATGATATACATACAATGCATGTTTGTAGATTGTATTTAATTTTGCCTTACCCAAATTATTAATTATGATGTTAATTTAAAAGAAAAATATTTGCTCAATTGCTAACTGCGGATGGAAATTGAGCATTGATAAAACGGATTGAGTACACTCAACAGTATACTGTGATTTAAGACTTTCGAAACTTTATATTTTATAAATTTGAAATTGATGCCAAATCACGAGTGAAGTACAGTTACGTAGTGAGATATATACGATTTAAATTATTGCGTATGTGAATAAAAATGTGACAACAGGGCATTTTTTAAATCAAAATGGCTATTCTACATTCTTGATATCGTAGCTATATAGCGATTTTCACGATCATTTATAACGACATTTTTGATTCGTAATGATTGCTGACACTTAAAAAAAGCCCTGATGTTTGTTCTATGCTGAAGTGCTGAGCTAAATTTGCTTTGACGAAGTGAAAAGTGAAAATTCATGTGAACGTTTGAGTGAACTTCTCCAGTACTCGATATGAATGGATGAATTTCATTTCAGATTGAATATGAGCCTCATTTTCAATTTTGAAACACTATTGAATCACAAAAATATATCTGAAATAAGAGCGAAATTTATTTTGTGGAATTGTATAGCAAACGACGTTTTAGCTTGAACGAATAGTAAAGTGATATTTTTTAGAAATCGAAGTATTGATCTTCATTTATTCAACTATAAACAGTTCAATTATACTGATTATTGAATGAAGCCTAAATCAATATTCTCAATTCTGAATAGCGTTATGATATAATTTCTGTATTAATGACGGCAAAAGCGGAAAGTTTCATCAAATTTGATTTATGAGGCAAATAAATGAGGTCGCATCAATGAATTTCAATTGCATGATGAATATATTAGTTGGTTCACTTCAAATGAATAAGATTCATTCAAAGCAATGTCATGCAACGGCTTTTTAATCAAAATTTCGTCTGAAAATGATATAGAAACTTGTAATTTAAACCTGGGGAAAATTATTCGTTTCATGTAAATAAATTGGCGAAAACTAAATTGTCTCAAGCTGTAGAACAAAAAAATTTCTAATTTAAATATGAAATCCCGTATTATTTATTTTCCGTATTTCTCCTTCATATATGCACAACAAGAATGTTTTTTGATTTAAATAAAAAACGGAAATTTTGAACAAACTTTTCGAAACATATTCATTGGTTATAGCGAATTTCGAAAAGCTAACCCAAAACATTGTAATAAATATAATGTCTTCATATGTTTTATACAAATATACTTACGTGAATGAGCATTTGGTTTGTAATTTATTTTTGGTTTTTGAAGCGAAGCATGCAAATTTTATCATTAATTTTTTTAAATGATTTTTTTTTGTTCAAATTTTTATGTATTTTTTAGTCGAGGACACAACCATTCACGAGCGTAAGCACAGCAGAGAAAATATATCAGGAAAAAGAGAAAAAAATTTTATCATCAATAAAAATGTAAAAATTCGGTGATCCAATTTTGTTTACTAATTGAAGATAATTTATAAAATATTGAATCCAAGAATTGAAAAAAAAAATGCTTGAAAATGTCAGCTTCTTGAATGAAGATATATGGGGCAAATAATCCCTTCATCCTCGAAACATTTTCTATTTAGTGGTTAGTTGGAAATAATTTCTGTAGTGTGTAAAATAAAGTTCTAAAATTTATAAGTAAAAGTTTTAGTGCATTCCGGACAAATTGAAATAGAAATATTCAAAGTCAAAATGAAAATAAAGTTATTAAATTTGAAACTTGATGAGCTTGTGAAAATGTCTGCAAAATTCATGTATATATGAACGATAGTTTGATATTAAAATTGTGAAAAAAGCACCATATCATTACTATTATCATTAATTGTTATCATAGGGTTGGTGTGTATGTGTGTATGCGTGTATGGTAGTAATTTGTGTGTTTGAATGTGTGTTCAGAATCAAAAATAAAGCTATGGTGTTGCTCTTGAAAACTTATAGGAAATAAATTAATTATGCTGCTGCGCATTTTCCAAGAGTTTACTGTGTTTTGCGACTGTTCGTTAGCATTTTAGAACTGGGTGTTTTTTTTTTTTTGTATGCCTGGTTAATCTGCATAGTTTCGTGTCTATCTGTGTTTGAATTGCTTCACAACTGTTTATGATGAACCAAATAATAACGCAGTTTAAATAGTTCCTAGGGGTTTTACCAAAAATAAAAGCAATAACGGACGTCGTTTTTTTCCCATTTATATTTATAACGTTGCCAAACAACGATATGATTGGAAAATTGTATAAAAAAAAGGATTTCCCTGAAAATTTGTGAAAAAAACACCTACCTGACCACCTTCACCTTCGACGGACTGCAATTCGCGCCATTCTTCGATCGTTTGTGCCAAATCGATCTGACACAATGGCACCTTTACTTCTCCGATCTGGTCGTGTTTCGAGAATCTATCGAAGTCGAAAATTGCAAAAACGAGCGTTTTGTTCATAGCTTCAGCGTAGGGAAGATTCTGTAATAAAACAATGTTTCAATCATCAAAACAACTCATGACCTTTGAGGAAGTCTGATATATATAGGCATGTGTGATTTTGAACACCAACCTTAAAAACGAATGATTCGTTGAAAACTGGATTAAGCGTCTTTCGGTGAACTTTGGTTTCGAATTTCTTCTTCTTATCTGGCAATAGGTAGACTTTAACATACGGATCCGATGTACCTCCCATATCCAGAGCAGGTAACTCTTCAGCTTGTAGAACAGTTACGTTAAGGCTATTGGAATTAAAGTCATACTCCAACTGTGGAATGCGTGTTTTCGATATTACAAAGGAAGTGTAATACGATTGATTCAAAGAGAAAAGAGAAACAAAAATGGAAGGCATTAGAACAATTTTAAATGAATTTAATGCAAAGTCACAACAACACATCTTTCGACATCGACATCAATCATGTATCGGTCCACGTTCGAGCAATATACTTACGTGTGACAAAAATTAAGAATGAAAAAAAGCGTAAAATGAATAGATAGGGAAGAATAGATTGTCATAGTACGTGTAACAAAATTGTAGCAAAGACATTGTCTTCAATTGTTTTGGTGGAAGAATCGACTAACAGATCTAAGATAGAACTGTACATAGCTAAAAGGACCGGTCAACCTTATTACAGCAACAATTTTACTAGGAAACAAGTCACACACAATTATTAGGGAATGAATCCAATAAAAACCTTGTATTGTAATTTGCCCAATTTTTGTTCACTATGTTTACTTTCACCTTCGTCCGGCTCTTCGGCGTTTTCTGTTAATTCTTCCATATCAGGTTGCACCTAAAACATCGCAAAAAGAATTTGTTATAATTGTTTAACCGGTTCGATTACTTTACCTTTTCTTTATACGCTGAGCCAAGCAACTGTACCGATTTAAGATCCACTCCTTTCATGCCCTTCTTGCCATCCTTTCCTCGTCTTTTCCGGAAAAATCGTCGAACGCATAGGAACAGGAGTCCCAATATAAGTATTGTAATGCCTATGAAGATCGCCACCACACCCCATTTGGGTAGTTTTGACATCTCAGCTGCCTTATCAAAGCCCTTGTTAACCTTCTGATCAATCTTTGCATATAACGTTTTGGTCGTCGTTGCGATCTCTGTAGTTGCCTTTTCAAGTTCATTTGCTAAATTGAACAATTGAAATGCTTTAGTATTGCGAAAATGTATTCAAGTTAGCACGAATTAGGTACGTACATGCGGTTGTGCTAGAGTGATTTTTACTATGTCTATTAAAGATATGTGTTTCGTATGTGGGAGTAACGTTGGCTGTCTCGGCAGCATCCACCTCTCTCTTGTACACTCGTCGACTGTACGCCATGGTTGCGTTGAAAAGCTTTAATGTGGAATGGATAGAATAAAAATGAAAACAATTTTTAAAAAATCATGAGAAATTGTTTGAAAATAATACTTTCACAAAAGTGTATGGATTAGAAAAAAGATTTGGTTTGACATAAACTTTTCGAAAGTCTGCAAATCATCGATTATTCACAACACAACTCAGTTTAGTATGGCAAACTTTCCACAATGAAAAATTATACTAGCATTTTCGTTGAAAAAAACAAACAACAATAACAGGCTTACGTAGAATGTTGACGGAAATAATTGAAAATAGTATGATGTCAGATACTGCAATTACTGCAAAATTTCGATTATGTTGATTTATTCTTTTTATTCAAATGTGAAATATACGTATATTGTGTTAAGTACATTGACACGACTTTGAATGGTATGGACACTTTTGTTGGAAAAGGTTACTAGTAATGAAATAGCAAGCATTGCAATGTGAATATTCATATAGATTCTGTGTTGAATCTTTTTTACAAAATTTAGTTGAATCAATCAACCCTTCATCCATTATGTATGGCTTATGCGTATGCTCTTCATGCAAGCTTAGGCTTTTATCATACAATCGCAGTAACATCTTTTTACGTAACAATAAAGAGATGATATATCTTATGGATAATTTGGCTATACATCCAAATGTAGAAAACATAGAGAATTCTGTACTCAATGTACCAAGCAAATATATGGAAAAAGTATAATTAAAACCGGATGAGTGTTTTAAGACGAATGTAAAAACGGAGAAAATTTAATCATTAACTATTCAATAACGTAGAAGAAATGCAATTTCAAAAATAATGGTTTGATATCTTTGTCATTACCTTCTTCTTAGATATATTTAATCAACTACAGAATCTTTAACTTGATGTTTATTTTCACTGTTGATTTATTTTTGTATGAGTTGTTTTATTTTTGTTTGGAACACAACGTTGATGAGAAATTATCCACTTGAAATATTGAAAATTAGTATATTCACGTTAAGAACTAGGACATTTCTTCGTATCACTAAGCTTTTGCGTGACAAATCTTCGAATCTGATTTTTTTCCGTTTAATTCACTAAACCAATTTAAACGAATGGTTCACTGGCATAAGATCACAAGAAAGCACAATTTTTATGTTCCTATTTTTTTATTTATCTACGAAAAACAAAATCACTTTTCTTCCAATCAACCACTCAAAATGGTGGATCTTTGCAGCAGCTCGTATGTGACCAAATAAAATATCGATTTTGAGGTTTCGTTGTGTTTGTGTCTGTGTCTGTGTCTGCGTTAAACAAGTGTGTGTACGTTTACGGCAGAAAATGGCATTCAAATCTTTGAAGAGAACTTACAGACCGTCTGTATATAAATATATGGAGAAAAGGATGCGCATGTGCGATAAATTGGTCTTTGGTGAGCTAACGAAATGTCCAACAATGATGGAGCTGGAAAAGCGACAGTTGCAGTAAAGCTTTACACATTGATGAGCAAAAAGTTTTTCCCAGGTATTCTTTAATATAAAAAAGTATATACATATAAGTTATGAACTAAATCGAATAAATATCAAAGAGTATCATTTTTGTTTCATCTAACATACAACATTTTAGCGAGCAATATGGCTCATCTTATTTAGTTTTCTTCGGTGAAGCATTTGTCTTCCATTCAAAATTATTGTAAATCCGACAAAATTTCAAAGACAACTTAACTATAACAAAAATCACAAAAAATAATGCACCTAAAGCATCTAGATGTAGGTAAGTTGGAGACAGCTGGCGTGATGTTTGTGTGTAGTGTCTTACACCTTCCTTGGCCAATGCCAAATCCTTTGACAAATTCATTGAATTATGGTGAAGGAGACCAGCAATTTCTTTTGCATGTGACTTGAGATTCTTATTGTTCAGGATGTTGGTGAGTTTTTGCTTTAGCGTCTTTTGATTTATTTCATCTGCTCGTATCGTGAAGATGCTCTCCAAAGCTGTATACTTAACGATGGAATGAAGCTAAATATGGATATGAATATGAATAAACGTTTAAAAATTTATAATTTATAATTTACACAACAGTTTATTAATTTAATAAACAATTTTAATTACCTCGTTATTTTGAAACGGTATTATTAGCATTGGAATACCATAGTGAAGTGCTTGCTTTATTGCTACCGTATCATCCTCAGTTATTAACAAGCTGGTATTCTTGTGGGATAAAATTAGTCGGCTGGGTGAATTGTTACAAATAATGAAATTAGAATCGGATGGTAAAATGCCGTCCCATATGCATTTTTGATTCATGTCTCGGAATGTTTCGATCAATTTGTCTTGCGTTTCAATCGGAAGATGTGTGCCAATTCTCACATAAATTACTCCTTGTAATGCACTGTCCAAGACTTCCTGATGACGCAATGGGAAAAATTGTAAGTTAAATCAGTGATTTTCGCAAATGTTAATGCAGTTAATGAACTAATAAATGTGTCTGACATACCTGAACATTATCTGCCAATTTCTCTTCATTTTCCTTTGGATATATCGTGTTCAGAGTCTCCATCTTCGTCTTAAGTTTATTAGTTTTTCAACAGCAACTGTGTGAGTTTGAAAATCAGCGAACGAGTACAACTTGTTAGCGCCAGCACTAAATTCACAATGACTGTGTTAAATTAAATAGATGATTGTTTTATATTACAGAAAGCGTAGACTGTTTATGTCTGGAGGTGATAAGACGACATTTGATTAACAAAATGACATTTGATCGGTGAATGCTCGTCCGTACTGAGCCGAGACACTGCACGTATGCCGGTCATGTGATAACACAGGCCTAATAATATGTATTGAAAAAGTATTTCATGGAAAATATTACTTCACGCATTACACAAAATACAACGGGCTATATGTCAACCAGCATGTGTACTTTCGAACGTTTCGAAAGTCCAGAATACAACAGTCTGGTTTGTTTTTTTTCTTTTCGTGCACGATTTGTATTTTGAACTAGGCGCTAGACGTAAATATCAATACATTTGACGGTCAATGATGAAAAGTTGGCTTTTCGCTGCGTAGCGACTGAAATTGAGGTCATATCAAAAAAAAATTTAATTGGTAATTAACAGTCGTTTGATTCTTGAATTGTTTCAATTTTCAAGATTATGCTGATATCCTTTTCCAATAGATTTCCCAATAAAATTCATAAAAATATATTTTTTTGCTCGTATTCAATCACAGCGGTGCTCTTGTTTAACTTGTTCAGAGTATTTCCGACCAAACTATTGAAATCTATTAAGAAAAGATTAATTATAGATTAATAATTATAGATTGCGCAATGATTTTCTATATAATTCAAACAGTGATTATGGAGCATAGTAGTTTTGCAAACGAAAACAAAATATTTTACATTCCATACATTTGCCATATGAAATATGCGTCTAGAAGGTTTTAAAACCTTACAAGTTTAAATAAAATTGTACGCAGCCATAATTCCAATAAAAACGCAACACATACATCTGTCAAACAAACTGTCATTACTTCCAACTGAATCTTTTGATTAACGCGGATTTGTCTTCGAACAAATATTTTGTTTTTCATCTACTAATAAGAAAATTACTATCTAAAAGGTAAGTTTATATTTAAGCAAAGTCACAACAAAAAGGGATTCCATTGTTTTCTATTTGTGTTTCAATAACAAAATAATGGGCTATTTTGTAATAATACATACGTTTATTTGTTCGGAATTGCTGTGCATAAGTAACAGACAATTGTTGGGAAATCACGTTTGTGTTCAATCTTCATAATTCGATTGGTTTGATTAGCTCCCAAGACTAAGTTTTTTGTTCGGTGCAATATTAGCGCTTCTACCCAATATTATACCCAAAAGTACAATAAATTGATATATTCATTATATTTTACAAATTAGTTCTAGTTAACTTTCTGCTTTTGGTTCTGATCACCATCAAATCGTTGCCAAACTCGTTTCAGTGCATATTTTGTTAGTGCAAACATGGTATAGAGTGTGATTAGAAAAACGAAAGTGATGTCCAAATAAAGGTATGAATACCAAGACACGTTTGGAGCATTAGGCTTGAAGATGGGATAGTTATTTTTGTGGCGAGCAACGAATTCAATCCAATGCATTGATTCTTGCATCGGATCCACTAAGTTGTCACGGAATTGTTGAGAGACTAGATTAACTTGGTCGGTGTATCTCTTTTCGTTCAAAACCATATTCAGTTTTTCGTAAACGGTTTGTACAGATACTTCGTGGAAACTAAGCATTTCAGCAAATCCAGCATCGACACATCGTTTTGCGTTCCTAAATTGATCCGAATAGATGGGTATGAAGACCATTGGTACCGCCCAGTGAACACTCTCCTGAGTTCCGAATATACCTGTTTCGATATAAGCATTCGTTATCGAAATTCACGTGGATAATATATGCATATAATCATTGTTAACTCTTACCTCCATGGGTTAGAAATAGTTTAACATTTTTATGGGCGAGTATATCGTTTTGTGGAAGCCAAGATCGTATCATAACATTCGGTGGCATATTTGGTAGTGTTTCATTCTCGAATTTCCATAGAATTTTTTGTTTCATCAGGCGAAATGTTTCTATAAATGCATGCAGCTTACTTGTTGGCAGATCGACGCTACGTATGCAAGATCCAAAACTAAAGTAAATTACACCATGTTCAGATCCGTTATCGAGGAACTCCTACAAAGCATTTGAATTGAATGATTTGAATATAGTGTTTCTAGTTGCCAACTCACTTGAACATCAGCTGGAAGCGGACTTAGTGGCTTGATATGGATCCCAGCTACATAAGTAAGGCCTGGCATCATTGGCCTCGCGAATGACATGCTTTGATGTGCATTTATTATCCGGAATGAAATGTTTTTCTCGATTTCTAAAATGGATGGCACATTTCCTTTTGGCGAAATTCAACAAAGAATATTCGTTTAGACATTAGCCTCAAGTAGCCAAGGACTGTAATCTTTGATCATTTGTTCTTTTACAAATTGTATGAAAAGTTAATGGATTACAATCAGGCATAGGAAATTAAAATTGAATGCTTAACAACGAAATTCACCATTAAATGCGTGTCCAAAATGTTGGTCTGCCATTTCCTGCATTTTAGCCATGTAGTAATATTTTCGGAAAAAAACATCGGCTAGCCTCCAGAACAGATTTTCGCAACGCTCGAAAAATGTCATATTATCCGTAAATGTGAGAACATGATGCGGCACATAGCTAGGTGTAAGTAGTCCCATTGCATTGTCAAAATAGTCAGCGTGCCCAAGGGTTGCGATAGTGAGCAAGGGGGCGTTAAACAATGGTGCGAACGGAAGCCAACTGTCATGGAAAAACTGTTCAAGTATAACAACATCAAATTGAAGATCTCTTCGATTTATTAACGCTGCTACTTGTTTGTCTCGAATTGCATGTTCTGTGCTCTTAATGCCAACATCCCAAGTCAAAAATAAATTGTTCAGAACACTATCAAACTTCATTCCGAAAAAATCCGATGGTGGAACTAATATTGAGAAGATGAAAAAATTGAATATTTTAAGATGATTGTTCAATGAAAACAAAAGCGAATTAATTAACTCCTTAATAACACACACACGATTGTGTACGGAAATGTCGATAGATATATAGATTGCCTTCACAATATCACACCCATGAATATTATTGCGGTTGTTATGAAACTGCAATGCGTTGTTTCCATTCCCAAATCGGGGTAATTAAAGCAAGCGATAATTTTTATTTTTTCGTCAAATGAAAAAATTAATTACATCGTTAAAATGAACAACTTACAATCTGAAAAATTGTACGGCGGATTGATGATTATTTCTGTATAGTTTGGATGGGGATGGGACCTTCTATAATTCGTGACTGCGGTGACCTATTTCAGAATGCCCAGTATATGTGAAAATTTCAAAAACGTTCATTCCAATACGAGCTACACCGAAATATACTTACATCATGGCCACGCTTAAGAAGTTCTTCAGAAAAATTGTTGAGCCAAAACCAATGGGACGGTGCAGCAAATGGCACCAAATATAATATTTTAAATGCATTGGTCAATGCAAATAATTGGAAAATGATAATTGAGATGGGAAGCCTCTGTAAAGTTACAATATCACATTAATTTTATTACAATAACTCATTTTCGTCAATCTTTCATGTGCATAATTTTTGCTCTCAATGGAAACGTGATAAGGAAGATCAAGCACACTTTCACAGATTTACACACATGTATTTTATCGCTGTGTAACGATCTGCCTTAACCAAATCAATTACAATTACTTGCAAGTTGCAACATTACATTAAACGATTATTTTGACGTATACACTGCCAGCTATTTTCATTCGCAGTATGCATCAGTATGCAGTGTGAAAAAAACCATGAAATTGATTCTAACACAATATTAATGACATCTATTTTGAATTCAAATTTAAATATGAAGTAGTTATATAAGTTTAGGTGTCGATACCATTTTGTTATTGAAAATGCGGCGTATCCAGACAATATTTTTGTTATGAATTTATATATTGTGTAAATATATTAGCGAACAACTTAGAATGAATATAACTTCACACAAACAATATCTCCGATTAACTGATTCGTTTCAGAGCAGCGAAACAGTTTTAAAGTGTTCTTAACTGGTACGTCTGTGGCTACTATTTTCATCAATTTGGTTTCACACATGTACCATATAGTATAACATGTATGAGAAGACGTCGTTGATAAGACAAACGTTCGGCGGATATCACGGATTGCAAAAAAAGAATGCAAGACAAAAGCGAAGGTGCAAAAAATACGAAAGTCGTCTCGCCTAAATACAAATTCGATCATTACGACAATATAATAATACAACAATACTTAAGTATTCTAATTCTGTCGACATTGAAGCGTAGAGATGACGATTTACATATAGAACAAAAAACGTTCGGCTTATGACATATCAATTTGACTATCAGTGGTGCGTGAATATACCAATAATTTCAATCATCAGTCCCAGAATATATGTCAGTGGATTTTTTTCTAAATTTTTCAAAACAAGAATAATCATATGGCAACTTTTCTAGTGGCTTTTATTTCGAGGAAGTGCATTAATATAGATTGATATTGATGTGGCCATGAATGAACGCGCTGCTATACGCTGATATTGTTACGCTGCTTTATGTATATATGTATTTTTATACATGACTATTTCATTTATATTTATATATTTTTAAATGATCAAAGCATAAATAATTGAAAACTCTAAAATTGTGAAGTTTTAATTTTTCACACGATCATGTCGTGTAAGAAAATTATTGCGATCACCTCGGATTTTTTGATCCATTAAAAATCAGTTTTTTTCTTCGGTTTTCTTCGAAAATCTCGAAATCTAGCGTTATTTATGGGTCGTAGGGTAGGTGCGTTGTACACTGTACGCAAAAAACACGGTAAATTTTTTTGCTATGTCACAATGTATAGGGGAGTGTAGAAAAGATTACCTTACGGAAGTAAGGCACCTTGTTACTTTTCCATACCCACCGTGTCAAGGGAAAGTATAGGAATTGGTCCCGAAAACTTTTTTCGCAAAATTGGTTTAGATCATCATAAAAACTCATGAAACGCGTAGAAAACACATTTTGGAGACACTTTTCCGTTCGTGTGCCGTCGTCTTTGTTGGTGTTTGTTAACACGATTACTCAAAAAATAATTGGAATGATCAAAATCTGGAAATGCCAAAAGTGTTGTATCCAAAAAACTTAGTTTAAGTTCGAAGATGAGCCATTTTCGATTTGATCCTTTTCAAGGATTTTCGATTTGGGGTAATTGGCCTCAAGAAAAACCTCGGAAAATTGACACTTTTGTATGTGAGGTACCCGTAAATCGACTACGGTTGGCTTCAAACTTTCGAAGGTTTCATTCTTTGGGAGAAAAATAAGATTCTGAAAGTTTGAAGCTAATCAGAATCGATTTACCTCTCGTACAAAATTTTCGAAATTTTGACTAAAATTACCGATTTTTCGACAATTTTGTCAATTTTTCGCATTTGCAGAAGTTTGATTTTTGCCGAAATTTTCGTTGGATAGTATTATGCGATCAACATGAAACTTTCAGAAACTTATTTTTTCTCCAAAAAATGTAACCTCAGAAAGTTTGAAGCCAATCGGAATCGATTTACGGGTACCTCCCATACAAAGTTTTGAGTCCGTAAAAATACGGTACGGAAGAGTTTGGGATTACGAATGTAATTCTTCTTATTTTATTGATAATTTTGGTTTTGTGATAAAGCGAATCACTTTTTTTTCAACAAATGATTAATTTCATTTCACTTTGCTTTTGAAAAGACCTTCAAGTGTAGTTTTTTTTTCAATTATCATTACATCCGATTATCATCACATCATTTCATGTGCATTTCTATATAAATTTATGTACGTTCTACGTCGCAATTATTTTTATCAGGGAGTAAAACGTGAAAGAATTGGATTCTGCCAAAGAATAGATTATTTAATTTTAATTCTCATCAAAAGCGAAATTCAATAAACTTATTAAATTCAAAATTAGTACGATACGATCTTATTCCGATTTTTTTTTCTTCAAATAGTCTGTTTGATCAATAATTAATGTGTTATCGTACATTTCCATTCAGTGCGTTGACATTGACTAAGATTAAATCACGTTAGTGAGAAATGGAGAGGTCTAATTAAAAAAGTGTATTCATTTTTTTTCAACAGTCCCCATAATAAGTTTAACTGAATGAAGGTGATCAAAAAAAAGGTTGCCTAACCTACGGCTATTGTAAAAAGTGTTTCGATGATATTTCTAGAGCTTTGTTCACAAAATGTTCAGCTCTTGGGCTGCGAATAGTTTATTCTAATCTTTTTTTCGATAGTTCTCTCAAAGATGTCCGTTTGAAATTGAGTACTTTGTCATTGAAACATTTTAAATTTAGGTTTTATCTATAAAAAGGTTGCAAATAATTGGATATTTTTGATTTGCAGTTTGTTCCAAAATAATGTTAAAATACCGTGTAAATCATAAATGTATTTTGATAAACAAACCTAGGGAAGAAATTGCAATGTGGTCGTCACGAAATACTCATTTATTGGGATTTAAAATTTTTAATGCACACATGGCTTTTTTTACAATTTTGATTTCCAGGTTAGGTTTCCACTTTGAAAAAAAAAGAAGAACAATAGTGACACGTTACAGCTTACAACTTTTCAATTTTTTCCACGGCAGTCGACGTGTAAAAGACAGATGCATAACTCAAGCCAAACGAACAAACTGCTTTAATGTTTCTCAGTTTCGATTCATTTGGATCAAGTAATTCATCTACTTGTGATGCGATCCAAGATAGTAATGATAGAACCTTTGATAGAACCTTTAACTTTTATTCGATATTTAATGACGATCTTGTAAGTATATGCAAAGAAATACAAAGTATACTCATGTCAAGTCAGGTCGTGTATCTCGTCGATTGCGATATGATGGGGGTGTTTGCTTATGAATATATACCTGCCTGCGAATGGGATGTACATGAATACGCACAAAATATATGCACTGCAAAAACACATTCTATCACAATCATATTTACACAATAAGTTCATCTACGAAAAAAGTGTGTAAATAGCTCGATTGACACCGGTAAACTTTAACACATTTCGTAACACTTGCTTCGATACGTTAAACATTTTGTATTCCACCTACCGACTACTTCTGTTACCGTTCGGTAACTAATTTGTTGTTCGGTATATAATTACCGTGCGGCATGCTGCTATGATATATACGACGTGTGATATCGCACACGTTCCACATACTCACTCAAATGTGCTACTTGGTATGTGCAATGAATACTGTGTCTTATCATCTAAATTAAATTGTGTCTGTTTTTCAGGTACTCTTTGGATCCGCATGTTTCGGTAACAATACACAGCCAAAATACATTCAAATTACAATTTCACATACATATACATGTTTCAGGCCGTCTGCATTCAGTTGTACATTATTTATACACAATGAATTTCTAAACTCAAACTTGAGTTCGCTCAAAATACTCTAGATTTTTTTTCAATATCAAAGTGTTTGTTTTGTCAGAAAAGAAAGAACTGAATGTAAAATTTCCTACTGTATCAAATGGTTTTTCTCGTTTCTCTTGGAAATTGCCGAATGTTGTTTTTTTCTGATATAATATAGTCAGTAGTTCTTCTCAATTCAAAGAAAATTCACTGATTTATATAAATCATCCACAATCATCTTTCTACAAAAGAGTTTCGTGTCAATTCCCTTTTTCCAAAAAAATGGTGATAAATTAAAATTGTCAGTTGTTTGTGCTATGGCGAAAGCGGTCTCATATACATCTATCGCATCATCATGAATGTGTTGTAAACAAAAAATGAATATAAGTAAATAGCAGCAGTAAATGAAGCACACAGAACCAATTGTGTCAATAGACCTTTCTTGTGTATATATTTCTGGAATTTAAAACACACTCAATGTGAGGCACTTTTGCTTCAAAAATAAATGGGTATGAGAGACAATTTTTGTCCAACATAACAAATCGACTTATGCAAAATGTTCGCTACTCTATTTACACTGAACCATATTTCGAATAATGAAAAAATGTTGCTTCGTTCAAATCCACTATGTTTTTTTTTTATTACATTCATTAATTTATCCTATTTGATTCTTCACCATACAGAACATGCGAAGACGAGAAATTCAGAGCTTTACATTGAAGCTGAGCGATATAAAGGAATATGAGGCGGTGCGTCAAGAGCGTTTAGAAAGCATTAAATCACATCAGAATAAAGCAGACAACACCATCATGACCCCAGACAGCCCAATGAAATTGGTTCCAAGATGGGGACCGAAAACCAAACAGGAAATTCGTGAACGTATTGGAATGAATAGTTAAGAAGATAGGAAGAATCTTTTTCGAAAAAAATAATTATAAAAACATTAAACTCAAACATAATCATTAAACTCAAACCAAACATAAAATAGATTTTCTCAATATGTCGAGTCATAAAAAAGAAAAATGAAATAAAGAATAAATAGTTCAATTGTGAACCCCATGCATGACGCCTATTGCATTTCTAAGTTGAAAATTTCATTCCGAACCGAAACTTATTTGCAGCTGAACAAACAAATGTAAGTATTTCTCTTGTAAACGTAAATGTGTGCTGTCTGGAACATATAATGGAGGAATAGGCACCGTTGAGCGTTGTAACAAGTTTCAATGCGAAAAAAATTCAAGTTTTTATTTCTTGTTAAAATAAAATATATTGCAAACGGCTCCATAATATGAAGTTGATATTATTTGGAAACAATGAAGTTGACGTCAAAAGTAGTTCGATCATTAATCGACGATTTTGGAGTCATTTTTGTGGCGTCTCCACTCGCATTCAATTTGTATTGTAGAAGCTTGCTTATCAAAGTTCAAACATCATTGCAAACATATGGAAGTGGAGGAAATGACGCCAAGCTGCACGAGGTTATTTGTTCACCACTGCGGTGTTGCTAATGGCAACAACAACGAAAAACAGCTAATGGCAACAACAACAACGAAATAATACCAGTTTAATTTGAGGCTAGTGATAAAACAATATGAATATAAAGAAACTGTCTTAAAAACTAAACCACAAATGTTGTAAGTAAAAACGTATTATTTTTTTGTTCGAAATGAAAAAAAAAACATATATTCACTTTAGTTCGAATACCGACATTCATGCGCTAAAAAAAGGAAATGAAAATACCGGAGAATATTTGAACAGCGAACCAGATCATTTCAACATTTTATGACCAGAAATGATTAGGAAACGAAACGCACAGCTTCTCAAGGTACGATGTATATAAGGAATACTACTTACACTAACGGCCAAACTGTTGGGTTCTTCTGTTGTCGTTGCAGGAAATTGAAATGAATCGCGCAAGAATTCGTTCTCTATCATTATACAGTCCTTTAGAATCGGTTCTTCAAAATGCAATTTCAAATTATGTTAAACGTAAGATAGTAAAAAGCGACGTTGAGTCAGTGTCGAGCTATGGTAAAAAAACTGAACAAAATCTGCTTTGTAGAGACACATCGCGGCAAAACCCTGATCGAGAGTGATGATTTTTTATTTGCTAAAATGTGTTGAATAAATTTCTTCTTGAACCTCTACAATGACTAAAATTATGCTGAAGGCAGCAAGGCACAGGAAAAATCCAACGAACATCCATCACACTGTAAAAGTCGAGAAAATAAAAATACCAAATATTTTTTTCAAAATCCAGCGGGGATTTCACTCGGCAATGGTGGTACTCACATCCAAGTGGAGAACTCATACGATATTTGGAAAATTGTTGCATTGTGAATGAAAAGACTAATGTTATTTTAATTTAATTTTATTTTCATAATTTTTGTCTCAATTTACAGGCTTACAGGCTTATAATCTTTTCATAAAAGCTTAAAGATTACAAACGCCTTAGAATTAGTTGTGTGGTGTATTCGAATAACTTCCATGTGATTTGAAAAAGAGAGACAATTGCAGTCATTCTAATAAAAAAAACAACAAATTTCCCTACTTTACTGCCATCTGTTTCGAGAGTATTTCTTAGTTTTGCTAAGGAATTGTATCGCTTGTGGATCGCTTAAGTAGCAGCTATGAAGAACTCATGAATAGAAAACAGCATAGAATTTATATATATCTATTAATTTTTTTTCGACATTGTATTAAATAATCTTAAATGGCGAGAAATTAGAATACTCTAGTGAGTATTGAATTGGTTTATCGGTCTTGTATTTTTTTTCTATAATAAATCTCTAAATTAAAAACAAGTTTTATACAAAATGACCAGAGACTTTTCTCGTAAATAATTTCATTTTTTTTAACCTAATTCATCAATTAATTAAATTACAATGAAACTACAATGATTTGTTCGTGATAAATTTCCTTCGATGCGTTTTTTCGTTCTATTGCTTGTATTTAGTGTCCTATTTCGCTGTCACTGTCACTCTTTTCTGAAATTAAAGGAATAAGAGGAAAAAAAGAAGCAGTTAGTTGATGTTGCAGAATGAATGAGCAATTTTATATATGGATATATACCTTTTTTTCCAGGGTAGGCATGTCGTTTAAGTCTATCGTAGAGGTCATCTTTATTCCCGTGCATGCCTGAATATCAAAGAAAGTTGTTATTGGTTATACCATTGGAAATATGAACAATCGAAATGATATTATGTAAACATTTCTTAGAATATTTGATTCGAAGTTGTGTCGTACCTTCTTTCAAGTTGTAAGTATCATTATAAAAATTTGGCATTTCCCAACCATCTTCTTCGTCGTCATCGTAGTAGTGTGCGTAGGTGCTATGGTGGGAGGGTGCAATTGATTCTGCATACGGTGCATGTGCTCCATAGTAGAAATTAACTTGTGATCCAGTTTGATCTATGGCAGGCGTAAGCATTTTCTTTGGGTCTTTCTTTTTCGTCGAACGTACGCAAATCATCCAAATCAATAGAACAATAATAACGATGAATATCACTACACCGGCGATTCCACCAGCAATGTATGCAAATTCAGATCGTTCCAAGCAACGTGGACCGGTAAATGATCCCGAGCATCGACATGACGGTGTTCCTTTCAGATCTTTGACGCATGTGCCGCCATTATCACAATGATTTTCACATACATCCGTACATTCGGTGCCATTTCCATTGAAGCCGGGTTTGCATTTACATTCAAAGTCGGATGTTTCAGGAACCAGAATGCAATATGCGTTTTGGTCACAATGAGTTTGACCTTCTTTGATAGTTTCACATGGGTTCGTACATTCAGAACGGCTTGTAGCACCGATTGATTTCGTACTATGATTTGGTGGGCACGCAATACAAGATGTTTGCTGTGGTTCGGATTGGTAGAAGCCTTTCTTGCACTCCACACACAGATTCAATGTACCATTTAGATAAGTGCCTGGTTGACACACTGGTAGTGAACATTCTTCAATCGATGACGCACCAACTTTTGGTGTAGTTCGTCCTAATGGACAAGATTGACATGTGGGTTGAATGCCCTGCGATCTATATGAGCCACGAGGGCAAGGTTCGCATCGACCATCACTGCCCAACTGTTGACCGGATGCACATTCATCACGACATTCCTCACGAGATGTTGCCTCTGCCGAACGTGTTGTTTGACCAAGACCGCATAAAAGACATGAGAATGAACCTTCTTCTGGTTGATAGAAACCGTGACCGCATGATCGGCAAAGACCGCTTTCAGTGTCCAAGAATTTACCAGGTGGACAACGTTCTACAAAAAAAAGTCAAACAGTTTGGATATAGAGTAATTAAAAAGCGGAAAAAAGAATAAACAATTTATCAAGTCAAACTACCTTTGCAATCTGCAGCTGAACGTGCTCCACTGCCAGCTGTTACGCCAATTCTGCCCGCAATGCTCGGACATCTCAAACATTGCAACTGTCCAGTCTCCGATTGATAACTTCCTTGTGGGCATGGATTACATGTTTTATTTGTTTGATCGAAATATGTTCCTACCGCGCATGGCACTGAAAAGAAGATATTTTTTTTGTTCAGCAAATTTTTTTCTTTCTTTTTTGATTTCTGCTTTATCTGACGTATTTCATATGGCATACAAAGAAAAACTTACCGCAGTCTGGTACCATAACCACTTGGCCACTTGGACAAGCATATTCAGATGATAAGCTCAAGGAAGATGGGTCAGGAATAGTAGTTGGTAAAATATCTTGTACAGCAAATTGATTCTCTTCAAGGATTAATTTTTGTAATAGAGTTTTGACGTCTGATCTCTCTCCAGTCGAAGAATGCAGAATTGGATCACTTTAGAGAAGATCAGAAAATCAGTTAGAAAATTTTGAACCATAATTACATAGAACTGTGTTCTAATTTTGACTTTCCCAATTGGGATAAATGATCATTTGGATGTCATAAATGAAACATATATAGAATGTGAAACGTATTACGTGTCGATCGTACAGTGAATAAATTAAAATACAAATCAAATGAATAGTTACGTAGGGTTTTTGGGTGATTGCAAAAAATTAGTATAGAATTTGGAACATATGTAAAATTAAACACCAACACCAATTAAATTATTTTAACACATGCTTATAACAAAATAGGAGTTAGGTTCGAGATGATACACTCACACAACAGCTGGAAACGCGATTTCCAATGTATACGTATCACCACCTTGCTGTCTACTTTCACGACCTCGTGTGGCTGCATCATTTGTATCCGTAGCTACGTTTCTGTATTGTGTTTATTTCATTTTAGAATGTATACAACAAAATGGTAAACTAAATACCTGAGGATTCCTTACTATATGTATACTGGAACTAACAATTTACTAAAAAAAACTTCAAAATATCTCCTATGTTCATATGTACTATTCTCTACAATGTGCTTAACGAGTGAAATTTCTTTTCACCATATAATTTGTAATGTTATAAATTCGTGTTTTCTTCTAAAATTGGATTGTATTTTTAAATGCACAAATATCTTTTCTAGCTCTACGTAAGATATAGGTACAATGGTTTTTATATCATTCGTTTCTCTAAACTAAAAACTTTCAATAAAACTGATTCCGTATATTCTATAAAACTTACCGTTCGCTTGGAATATTAACATCCACAACATATGTTCCTCCGCTAGTATCTTCTTCAGTTACTTGTCGACGAACACGATTCGCGTTTCCACCGCGATAATGGTCGCAGTTAATGTCAATCTTGATATCTTTGCATTCTCTTGATCCTTCGGCGGAGTATGAACAGAAGTTCCAGTCTCTGTTCAACGAATTAATAGCATTTCGTACTCGTTGTCTCAAGACACCCTAAATTTCGAAGCGAATATACAAGATGATTACAATGATGACTATCTGATATATATTCCTTGCTACTTACTTGACCAGCTTCGTTACATAGCACGTCAGATGGGAACATCATTTTGATTCTGAAAACTCTTTGCGCTGGTTTCGACGCTGGAAATTTGTTGCGAAAATGGATATGAGCCATAATTTTATTTATGCAATTCATATTGAACAGTTTTTAAACTTACGTGAACATGACGGATAGATGAGTGGTTGAGATGGATTTGTTGTTGGACGCCAGAAGCCTTCCGCACCGCATGTGTAAAATTCTGGAACCGGTTCGGAGAAACGTTGACCCTGATGACAGCTAATCTCACATACCTTGAATTGGCCACCAGCTCCCCAATCCTTGCAAACTTGATTGCCACCAACTGGATCGGCTAACGGTGGACAGAATTCGGATAGAACCGACACTTTGAAGCTGCAGCTTGCTGTATTGCCGGCCGCATCAGATGCGAGATATGTGATATCATAAGTGCCCCAAAGTAATGTTTGACCAGAGCGATGTCCACTTCGTTCAATAACTCGTGTTACGCCAACATTATCGACAAATTCAGGTTCATCCCAAGTCACTTGTGCCGATCCATTACGTGAAATAATCCATAAATCTCCTGGACAGTGTTGAACATGCGGTGGCTCTTTATCAACATCGACCTGACTACATGTTGGACCACTGTGCGAAGCAGCACACTTCTTTTGGCCGCATGTCGATGGTACCAAACGTTCAACGCCTCCCGATGTTATTTCATAGCCAGCCCAGTTGAGAATCAGACCACGATACAAAATTGGCTCACTGCGACAATCACGCACTTGTTTCTGAATTTCCGATGTAACATCTAAAGCGCGCAACCAAATTTGAGCTTTCGTGACACGACCTTGGAATCCGGCTTCAGTGTATGCAACCGACGATAAAGATAATTGCTCGGGCTGTGGTTTACCTAAAACTGCCCATACACTAATGAACACGAAAAAATGAATGAATAAAGTAGGTAAAATAAATCAAAATCGGATGTTTTTCCTCGGCTAGCAATTAAACTTACTAATCTGGTAGTTGTCTGCCACTTCCATATTCAGTCTTACTGGCTATCAAGCCTTCGGTGATCAGTAAGAGTTGGCCAGTTTTACCATCCCATACCACGGCAATATGATGCCATTGGCCATCATTAATCGTAGCGTATTCTCTGAATGACAAGAATGCGTCTTGCAAATCACCGAACAGTGAAACTTGAACTCCACTTGAGTGAGCTTGCAGAATTAATCGTCGCTTGGTTGTGACATGTGCTGAATCGACTGCATAAAGTGTGTAGAAGATGCCGGAGTCATCTTTTTGTGAGAACTGCACCCACATTGCAATTGTGAGACTATTGCTGCCACTCGTATAGAACGGAATGACTTGAGCAGCTGTTGAACGTGTTGGATCGCTGAAGTACAAGTCATAGTCCACTTGAATTGCTGAAAAGAAGTGTTAAAATTGAATAAATTAGTATTCACATAGACTAGGCACTCTTTCATCATTCATACTTTTACGGCAATCATCACCAGTCAAGTTGAATGGACATTGGCAATAGAATCCACTAGGCAAATCAATGCATGTTGCGCCTGGTGCACATGACGTTTCCTTACAATCCACAATATCATTTTCACAGTTTTTGCCAGTGAATCTGTTGAAAAAATTACAGTGTTTATTTTAGATGTGATCTTTTTCAATGAATCAAATCGAAATTACCCTGGTTGGCAAATACAAGTGTATCCCTGTCCTTTATCGATGCACGATGCCCCATTTTTGCATTGTCCGGCTTCGCATGCATCAAATTCGTACTGGCAACCAATGCCTGTGTAATCTTCTGGACAAGAGCAGTTTAAACCCGATCCGAAATCTCTGCAAGTTCCACCATGCATGCCTAGAGTTTCAAAAGAACGAAAAAATTAATATTCTACGTTATAGATATAAGTAATTTATGGTCTATGTGTTTATGTACATACATGGATCTCCGACACATCGTTCTGGTGCAACCTAGATATGCATACATGAAAAAAGTTTTATTTTAAATTGATTCGGATCTCTAAAATACTACTATAACTATTATGTTCAACCCACTTCGCATTGTTTTCCATCGGTACCCTTAGGGCAGACACAGAAATAGTCTTGGAAGAGGTTAATACAGGTGGCATCATTCTTGCAGGTGCCACTTGCAACCGAGCACATTTCCACCTCTTTCTCACAATTTTGACCGGTCCATCCGTCCGCGCAGACACATTCATAAGATCCGATACGATCAACACATTTACCTCCGTTTAGGCATGGATCATATTTACAGTCATCGATATTTTCTGTTTTTTTTTTGATTCAATAAAATAGTTGTCAGAATATGCATATTATATTTTCGAAAAAAAATGGTTGCTTGGATGGAACTTACCTTCACAGAGGGTTCCAGAATAACCTGTGCGACATTTGCAAATGAATCGATTGTCGAAATCAATACATTCTTCCGTTCCGACAGGGTTACATGGATCGGATAAACATTCATCGATTTCAGCTATGTATCGAAATTTCATGAAATAAAATTAATTTTTTCCGTCTCAATTTTGATTCATTTTACTCTCTATATATATATCATTACCTTCACATTGTAATCCCACAAAGCCAGGTCTACATTTGCAAACATAACCATCAAGTTCATCGATGCAAGAAGCTCCGTTTTGACAAGGCTCGCTCTTACAGTCGTCTGTCATGTGCTGGCAATTCTTTCCTTCGAATCCTGGCAAACAATTACATTTGTAACCGTCAACCAAGTCAACGCATGTGCCTTCGTTGACACATGTATTATCTTCGCAATCGTTTATATCCGAATCACAGTTTCTGCCGGCCCATCCAGGATGGCATACGCACTCATAGTCAAACAAGTGGTCGACACAAATACCATGCGCACAAGGCTCAGATAGACATAAATCGATCTTTTCGTGGCATCGTTTACCAGTAAATCTATTAAATTCAAATTCAAATTGGAATACAACATCGAACTGTTCATTTACCGATTCCCTTCCGGTTAAATTGAAAATATGATGAATCTTACCCAGGTGGACAGGAACAACTAAAATCGTTAATTAAATCAGTGCAGTTTGCTCCCAACAAACATGGGTTTTCAGCACAATCGTTCACATTAATTTCACAATGTTGTCCACTCCAGCCCGGTAAACAGTCGCACTTAAAGCGCCCTTGTTTCAATGCAATACATGCCGCGCCATTTGAACATGGATTTCCGTTTGTTAAACATGGATCAATGGTTATATCACAGTCGGTACCGGTGTAGCCGCTGCGACACAGACAAGTGTAGTTTCCATAGCCAGGTTCATTCTTGCACATCGCCCGCGTTGGACAAGTATCTAATCGACAGTCACTTTCTTCATCTTGGCAATTTTCACCTGTAAATCTGTTCATTCCAAATTCAAATAAAATGGTTAAAAACGTATTGTCTACTGTTTCCTCACATTTGAATAGAAATATAAAATATCTACAACATACCCTGGAGGACATTTGCACCGGTATCCTTGAGGTAAGTCAGTACAGCTACCACCATTAAAACAAGGTGACGAGGCGCATTCATCTATATCAATTTCACACCGTCGACCCGAAAATCCAGCGGGGCAGAAACTACGTAATTGAATTGTTACAAAAAGAAATATATTGAAAAATAAAAAATTGGGAAAAAAGAAATAGCTAACAGCTAAATGCAATGTTATGAGAAATGTTTACCATTGTACTGTATGACCCATTGGTACACACAAACCACCGTGTTGACAACTGTTTTCAGTACAAACTACAGGTTTACAGTCTTCACGTCCAACTGAACCTGGACTGTCAGTTTTCATATTGGTTGGACATTCATTACATGTATTTGTACCCACGACATTCTGATAGAAATGAAGCGGACATGCACTACATGGGGATAGACCCGTTGATGAATAGAATCCTGAAAATTGAGAAGAAATAACACGAAAAATTGAAATACATGTTTCTACAAGACACGAAGGAATGAATGTGTGCAAACCTGGTGCGCATTTCGATCGACAGCGGTCTTTTGAAGGAGCAGCTGGTTGGAAAGTGAATGTATTTGCAGGGCAGGCCTTTAATAATTGAAGGATCAAATTGATTAAAAATCTTGTTACTATTAACTTTACAAAAAAATTGTACTTCAAGCAAGGGACCACCTACCTGACAATCCTTGAAACCTCCGGTTGGTGGTTCAGCTGAAAAGGAATTGCGCGGACATTCCAGGCAAGGAACCATACCAGTTGGCGAAAATGTGCCATAACCGCAAACTGGAAGACATTCGTTGATTGATTTGGAGCCTTCTTCTCGGGTATATGTTCCACTTGGACATGCAAGACAATTGCCCTGTCTATCGCGATTCTGATAGAATCCACGTGGGCAGTATGTACATGAGCTTTGTTTTTCTCCTGCGTAAGTACCAGCTGGACAATGCAAACATCGGGGAACATTACTTGTGTCCATGTTCAATACTTCACCAACACTACATTCAAATCCGCGAGCAATGTTACTTTTCAGTGCTCTTAATGGTGGACATTGATTGCCAATGTTCGACACATTTAGCAGAGGTTCAATGACTGCACTTGCGTACGGCACTGAAAGATCGAATATTAAATTCAATGTTGAACCGCACAGATCGTACAATTGTGGCTGACGAATGGCTGGTATCACCACTAGAATAAAGTCCAATCTCACTACATTTTCATCCAATAACGTGGACATCGAACGAATAAATGATACATTCATATTAACATTAACGGCAGAGCAACGTGACGAAAGAACTTCGTTCAAAGAACCATAGTATTGTTGAAGCCAGTCTTGATATTGTGATAAACATGAATGAATAACAACTCCATTTGCACGATAAGTAACGGTTGCAGTTACATGGTAATCGGCTTGCTCGGTATTCTCTGAAACACAGTCGGGTACAACCGAAGTTGGACGCCATATACGTGACTTTTCACATGTGAATGATTTGACCTGATCTCCATCGGTGAATCTAAACCCTGGTTTACATGAAGCACTGCATTCAATACCTCGGTCTCCGGTTAAACAATTTATAGCACCATTCACTGGTGCTTGAAGCTCCCAGTCGACGCACGGCGATGCTTGTACAGATACCTGGAAGTTGCACGATGCTTTGTTTCCAAATTTATCAGATGCGATGACTGTGACATTTTCAAACTTTCCAATCGGAATAGTTGCTCTGGATGGAATGAATGACAGCATCACATCACCAGAATCGTCAGTAGCTGTAATTTTCTTTCGAGTATCCGTGAAATTTACGGTGTAGCTGTCTAGTTTATCAACCAGTTCGATAACGTAGCTTTGTGGACAGCTCAATTTGGGTGGAGTTACATCGGGAACCGTAATGTTTATCTCACAAATGGCGACGTTTCCATCATAATCAAAAGCTACATATTTAACGACTGTGTCTTGGAAGATGTGCATTGGTGTTTTGAAGCTGGGTGGCTTCACTTCTAAACGAGCTATCGATCCAGAGTTGTCAACGGCCGTGGGTTCCGTGAAATTCACCGGTAAAATGGCACCATTAGCATCACGTCGGACGATTATTGGTTGCTGTGGACAGTTTTGGAACACCGGTGGCTCATTATCAACACATGGCGAGTATCCGTAATCGTATCCAAGGAGGGGTTCTTTGACCGGCTCTTCGCAGCCCATCAATTCAAATTTCAAACAAGCGTTATCCATGTAACTTACAATGCCCAGGATTACGAATCGGGCTTGAACATATTTCGGCAATGTGATCATTGCCAATTCACCGTAGTTACCCGGGTCTCGCATTGTAAGGTTGAAATTGGGGAAATATACGACATAATTTTCACTCTCCGATTGTTTGTAGAAGAATCGAATCTCCGTCTATAAACATAACAAAAGAAAATAACGAAATATGTTGAAAGGGGTTTCCAATTCACAATTGTATGACTTATTTGAGTTGATTATTACCGGTCGTCCGACGATATCATTTGTAACAACACCTTTGACTAAGATAGCTTTTACCCTATACACTTGACCCAAATCAACATTGACGTAGGTAAATGCTTCTTGTCTACCACACCATCCAGTAACGGAATTCAAACGAATATTTCTAGCTTCATAGTTCATTCGTTCGGAAGTGGCATTAATTGCACTATCTGGAATGCGGCCAGATGTTATTCCCAACGGTTTGATTACTTTACATTCTGGTTCACGAATACAGGTGATTGGTCTCGGATTTATAAGAATATAGCCAGGTCTTGAGCAACTGAACAGCACTTCAGAACCTACATTAGAATAATATGATTTTGTTTTTGAATTTATTCTGAATCCGTATTATTTGAAAACATTTTATGTAGACATGTTGCAGTTAAATTACCTTGTTCATAGCTTCGTGCAATTTGCGAACCATCCGATGGTCGGCCAGGGTCTTCACAAACGGGGCCTTCACAGCGTAAGTCACCAAAGTCCCAGATCCCATTCGATTGACAGCGTACGACGTTATCATTTTTCTCGGTTTGCCCAGCCAATTTGAATGTATTTTGGCAACCGAAGAAGAATTGGTCCTTGTACTTGGTTGCATCCACACGGTATTGGCCGTATTCAGCACCAGGGGTTGGCATAGGTTCGCCACAGTTTGCTCTCTCACAACTTGGTGGAGCACCAGAAAACCAATAGTCGAAGGGAAGTCCTGGTTTTGGATCGTACACACATTGTCTGAACGTTGATGTTGCTGTATTTCTCAAACTTCTACCAACTGATTTGCATGTTAAAGTCACATTTTCCTTGAAAGGCACTAAAACACTCTCTACATTCGCTCGAATAACATCGAGTCCAGTAGATAGATCACCACCAAGTGACACACATTGTGCGGCTGAGAAAAAAAAGTTCATACAATTACAATGGACCATTTTTATATCTGTGGATAGAATCATTTTTTTCGAATACTTACGTTCGCATTTCGGGATTGTTCCATTCCATTGACCATTCGATAAACACAAAAGTGCTGAATTACCTCCCATTACATAACCAAAATCGCATTGAATTTTGACTAAATCACCAAAGTGATACTGCTTTTTGGTCGACAAAATTATTCCATTTTCTGGTGATTCCAAAGTCGGACACAAAACTGGCACACACGATTTATTCAATTGCAATGAATCGCCGTCACGTAGACCTGATTCTGTTTTCTCAATCATGTATCCAGCCGTTCCGTTAGATGTAAAAAGTTCAAAACCAGAGTTGCAGCCACACGAAAAGCCACCTGGGGTATTGATGCACTTTTGATCACATCCACCATTATTTTTAGCGCATTCATTTATATCGACGCAATCCAAGCGTGTACATCCAATCACATCCAATCGTAAACAAGGAGCACCGACGTAATCTTGAATGCGGAAACGTACATATCTGGCTTCGATCGGAATTGGCAAATTAAGAATCGACACAATAGTTGGTTCCAAAATTCTGAATTCGACCGCGGTACCATCTGGATTGGCGTAGTCCTTGTAAATATCAGCCAAATCATCAGTATATTGCAATCGAACGGCTGAAGTAAATGCTAGACCGTCGTTTCGTTGCACAGACATTGTACGGAAACCACGAATAATGGTCGGCGCTTTGAAGTCAATAGTAACCCAGTTTTTGCTCGGTTCGTTTGAATTTCCGCACCATCCTTCAGCTGCATTCAATCGAATATTGTTTTTATCAAAGCCATTTTCTGTTGACGATACAATAATACTTTCCTCCGAGATTCCCATATTAGCTAAACCAAGTTCACCAACGGGACGACACTCCGTTGTTGGTGCAAAACCTTTTTTGCATTTGCACTGGAACGAACCCGGTGCATTTTTACATTCGGTCGAAGCTAAATCGCATTGAGATTGATTACATTCATTTATGTCCTCACAAGTTGGAACGTTGTCAAAGTTCTGTTCGGAACTACAGCGTATGATATTTGTTCCATTCAACTTGTAGCCTTTGTAACACTGAACGCGTGCCTCATCTCCGAAAAAGTATTGGTGTTCTGTATCAACAATGAAACCATTTTTCACTTCAGGAATACGGTGACATTGTTTTCGCATGCATGTCGGAACAACGTCACTCCAAGTTCCGTTCGACATACAAATGAGAACCGGATGACCAGAGCGTGCATAGCCCGGATTACATTCGTACCGAACGATCGACCCATAACTTCTACCGCCACCATTCAATAATGTCACATTTGCGTGTGCCACCTCAGGCAGTGGGGGACACTGTGATGCTAAGCAAAGCGGTTGAGCAGACCAATGACCGTTGGCCAAACAAGAAATTTTTTCGGTGGGTTTGCCTGATGAAAAGGCGAATCCAGCATAGCATTGGTAAGTAGCAGCACCATTGTAGGTAACATTCGATGAAAAAATTGAAAATCCGTTGTCAATTTGTGGAACAGGACCGCAGTAAACCTATATGAAGTTGGATTGAAAATAATTCCATCAGAAAACGAATGAATGAAAACAAAACCAAAAATTCAATCATATACACACTTCTTGACATTTTGATATGTATTCGACGCTCCATTTGCCTCCCTTTTGACAAACTGTTTGAATCTTATTTTTGCCTGTAGCAAACTCTTGACCTATAAAAAAAATGAAAAATAAAATAAAATAATTGTTAATTACTCACTTCGACGGAATTTCGTTTTTTGTGAAAATCACAAACAAAGTATGCCTCTTACCGGTTGGGCATGTAAATTGTACAACTGTTCCAAATGCTGTATCTCTGCTGGAGGCCAGCGCACCTTCTCCTGGTCTTAAGTCGGGACAATCGGCTGAAAATGTAGCCGAAAAACCTGCTCCATTATGCAGTGGATCAGAAATGAATCGAACCAACATTTCACCCGACGAAGCAGTTAGAGTAATTTTTGGAATTGTTGCTCCAGTAAACCCATTGCCTGAGTGTAACCGAAGACCCGATATCGAAGAACCATCATACACTTGCACCATATCGGTTGAATGCACGTTGAACTTATCGAATCGCAGTGATAGAGGTGTCTGATTTGGATTTTTTACTTTGAATATGCACTCTTGATTGTTTGGATAGTTGCTCAATCCAAATGCAGGCGACTGAATGGTTCCATTATAGGCATGAAGTGTTGCACGACATCCTTGTGTGTATCTTAGATTGAATCCCTTTCCAGATTCACCGAGACTTGTCTTGAAGTACAGATAAAGTTTGTTGCCTGTTGAAATTATTACTCGCGTATTCTCGTCTGTCTTGCCAGATAAACGCGCCAAAACTGAACTATTCGGCGATTCACCGTCTCTGATAAATGATCGAAAAAAAAGAATTAGAATAACAGTTAGCTATTTAACAGCAACTGAAGCCGCTGTTTCAAATCCCAATCAGAATCGGTACCTGATGAGTAGATAATCACGTCCGCGAACCAAGTCCAAATCTTGAACTTCGACGGATATTATTTTGCCAGGTTGTGCTTGCAAGATGTACAAGCATTCTAATCCGGCTGGATATAGTTTTGGATATCCACTGCTTGTTAATATTTGCCCTTGGCTTGATGCCTGCAATACGCCGCCGCATGATTGTGGTTCCGTTTTCCATGTTGCACGGAAACCTTTGCGCTCAACACTACCATCAGACGTAAACTTAACAATCATGAAATTTGAAGCAGTGATAAACGGTTTGTTGCCCAATTCTTCACGTCCCGAAAGTGTTGCCAATGAAACTGCCTTGTCTTCTGTACGACCACCAACTAAAAGTTGGACTGTATCAAACGTTTTTTCGGTCTCAAACTCTTGGAATTGCAATATGATGTTGCTACCGATTGGTCCCTCCAAAATCCATTTGCATTTGGACAGTGCATTGTATTTGTGTGGGTAGTTTGGTGATTCGATCACATCGCCACTTGACTGCATGTGAAAGTTACAGTTGGCTGGACAATCAATTTCATCCGAGCCATCCGCACAGTCATCTACACCATCACAGCGAAATGCTTGGTTCACACATTCACCATTGGAACAATGCACCGAATTCTGTGGGCATGCTGCCGACTTGCACATGAATGGTAACAAACTTTCACACGTATCTAGTTCCCATGATTGGGCTGATTGTGATTCGGATGTCACTGCTACGCATTCACCTACGTCTGGGTTTGGCTGTTTCAGCGACCAAAATCCAGAATATTGTGAAACCAAAGTGCCGGCTGCTGATTCTAATGTATTCGTTCGTAGATCGTCAAGTGTTGCTAAACCCAGCCAATATTTGTTTGCTAGCCGTTTATCGTTCGCTGAAGCAAGGGATAGCGTTACATTGTTTTCCGTAAATGAATCGATTGTAATTAACTCTGCTCCATATCTGAAAGCCACAAGACAATGAAATTATTTTAGAAATGAAACTCTCACTGATGGGCATTCATTGGGCGGCGATACTTTGCATCTTTCGTGAAATCATCATCAAATCAAATTAAGGAAAAAAATATACGTATATCAATACAAAACTGCAGAAAATGGACAAATTTACATTCGCTCGCATTCATTTTTTTCGCTTGGTTTCTTAAGAAAATTCATATTTGATACGCACACTTTTACCACCTGCCTCATATACCTCTCGAAGAAATATACTTTTTCCAAAATATTGCGTGTTAGATAACCTTTTTCTAATTATTTTTTTATTGAATAATTTCTTCAAACAACTTGTGAAGGTTGTGTCTGATTTGTTTATGTTTTTACGTCCACCATAGTTCCGTTATTCATAGTGATTTTATTTAAATTTCGAAGTTGAAGAGATTGTGGTTATCGTATAATGCGTATAATGTTTGTGTGTGTATGTGTGTGTACGTATGAAGATGAGAAAACATATTTTAAAGTAAACATGGCCAGTGGTCACGTTTCAACAAGAAGAAATGACCTATTTGCTGTATTAATTTATCATTTAAGTTTTACACTCTACCACTTCATTAACTGGAACAACCTAACACTAGACTCGGTGTTCTTGTTGAAATTCGTTGAGATTTATGATGAAATATTTTGGATGTTTCTGTCATTGTACATTTGGGTTAAATTTAGTGCAAACCGTGGATGACATATTTTGAGAGAAAAAAAAACATTCAAGAAAAGAACTTACCGTCTACAGAGCTCTGCAGCTTTTTCCCATGAATGTTTAATGCCAAAATATTTGTAACAGTTTAAACCACGTAATTCCCAACCTACAAAAAACAATGTTCGCAATAAGAATTAATCGTATAGGAGCATTTGAGCATGTTGTTAGAGCCACTTTTCAACTCATTAAACATTCATTCAAATGATTGCAATATTTGAATGGGTTTACAAATAATTTTCTTATGGCGTAAACTATACCTCAAACCAATATATAATGTAACAATTATTATTTGACTACACCTTAGAAAAAAGTTTTTTTTCTTTGTATGATGCTATTACTTTTATATTACAAGAAATAATTCGATGGTATTGAATTGGGCGCGTTTTTGTCGTTAAAATTCAGTAAAAGTGCCAGATTAAAAACCTTCGAAACCGTATTTCAAATTCATTTAATAAAATGATTTGAATTGTGCTTCTAAAAGGTAAGAGGAAATGTCAACAAAGACAACAGTTATTTTCCAATCGCCTTTCGCTACTTTCCGCTAAGTTCTTTAAATTCTTTGAACTATCCACTTCAATAGATATAGTTAGTCGATCATTAAAAGCATGACAAATGTGCTTCAAGAAGAAATCGACGTACTCGAAAGTGATTTTTTGGTATTATTTTCTGCGCTTTCTATTACAAGCCCAGAATAAATTAGCGAAAACAATGCCATTGAACTCTTTTTTTTGTCTTGTTTCGTTGCTTATGGTGTACGGCGGTGTTGTGAATTACAATTTTCACCTAAATCGAACTTGTCCAAACGTGAGTAAATTTTTATTATTCGTTCAGAATAGTCACTTGTTCGGTGTAGTGGACGCCACGATATCATATATATATATATATATATATATATACTGTACAGTAAGTCGCATGGAGCTTCTAATTTTGTTTAAATTAATAAATTCAGTGCTTGAATAACGGGTAATTCTGATAAGTATTCAATATCCAACCTTAAGATTTGAATACACAACGTAGCTAGGTAAATTTACGGAAATTATTCTTGTACAATGTACATTTATACATATGTTTACCAATAGCCAGCAAATAATTGTTATTTGAATGCGAAAACAACAACAACAAAAACGAAGCCACATTTTTCATAAATTTTCCACAAGATATCATCACATGTATTGGGCATTAAAGTCGTTTGTTTATTTGATATGATACACAGAAACATTGGATTGACATGAAAAATAGAATAATGATAAGATGCAAGAGGTTATTGGCCTTGAAACGATCGGAAGCGCACACAGTCTATTTTTAAAATGCAAAAATCATTCGACCATAATGCGCTTGCATATACAAGCAGAGATGCTCTGCTTTTCTTCGGTTCAATGGCAACTGGAAATTACTTTTTCTCCTTCTCTTACTCGACTTTCTGCTTCTTGTATACGAATGAAAAATTGAAGCAATTTTTCTGATGTTTAACAATCATCGCATTGGTGAGAAATACTTCATTCTTATGTTGTAGCACATAAAATATGGGAACTCAATTATTTTGTAGCATTGTTTCGAAAGCAAATGTTGAAGAATTGTCATTGGTAATAATCTAATAAACACAAAAGTTCGTGCACTCCATTTTTATTGTCAATGTATTGAGATGATTTAAATTGGATACTAATCAAAGTTGTTGGCGACTTTTTGGAGAATGTTTCAAGGTTAAACGCGACTTTGCTGCGACTAAAAAATATCGAACACCCACAAAAAATCCATTTTTATACGCAAATTCTTTTTGGTAGGCCATACCAGTTTCGCTTTTGTTAACATTTCAATTTCTTGTGCAAAAGAATACATCAACAAATTAGTACAATATAAAATAGAGCATATAGTTACCGTTGGGGCATGAAAACAGTTCCTAGGGTAGGAAAGAGGAAGAAAAATAAAATTAATTCTGTTTCTTTTTTCAAGCAATTTGGTTTACAATAGAAATTCAATTGGGTATTTAGTCAAAATAAAGTCTGAATAATTTCTATACAATATCTGTGAATTTCTTACCTGCGAGGAAATTGATGAGACAAAGGCGGCCAGCCAAATCACGACGGCTGCCGATCCCGACCTCATTTTTTCTGCATAACAAAATAAAAAAAAGTTGGAATCAATATTTGATAGTCTGATTGGTTACCAAATATCGTTCAATAATAATTCAATATAATGGATAAAATATCGAATAATCAACTTGGATGTATATTTGCTAAATGGCAGTTCTTTTTTTGCACTTTGACCATTTCGAATGTTCGTTTAAAATATAAAATGGCATTGAAGGTTTTTCCCACTGGCGACAGCCATTGTTCATGCGAATAACATAAGAAAATAGAGAAATTTGACTACTTTTGCTTTTTAGTACCAATACCTTTTGTAAAATATTTGGTATCGGTAAATCTTTGTAACATACATTCGTGTAATGTACAATACTATTAATGAATTCAGGCATTTGACCCAAAGGCATTAATTCATTAAATCTCGTTGTTTACATCACACAGAGTACATTGAAAAAGAAATGACAAAAATGCAGTCGATCATCGAAATTCAATACGTTTAGACTGAATGAATGAAAATAGAGACTGGGAGACAAAGAAAAATGTAAGAAATGTAAGCACAATTTATGTGCCAAAAAGTAACATAAAATACGGAAGCCTTTCTTGTACTTGAATTTCTTTTGCATAGAACTAATATAATCATTTTCAAAAAGATCACAGACAAAAGTAAATATACACATAATACATATACACCTGTTTCATATGCTGTGTAAAAAACATTGCTTGATGAAAAATCAAAACCGCCAACGAATTACATGAAAGTATTTCTAACGTATACTATATGTGCAAAGCTCTGAACACAAGCACAGTGAGCATGGAATAACACTAATTATGTTGAAATAATGAAAAGATTTGAAGTAGGACACGAACAAGATATTTCTGATAGAAAGCGGTTTTCGTTCTATGCAATACGTATTACATAGAGTATGTAAGTCTAACACAAGACTACAAGACTTCCAGAGCACACAATAAATACATACACTCAAGCGGCGTGTAGCGATTATAAAAAAATCAGACAGAGTAAAAGTCGATTCATGCGGAAATGTGCTCATTTTATTTATCGTAATGCTGCGTGCGTCTCGAATGTTGATTTCCAAACAGAGTTATAATTGTGAAAATACTAACTGGTCAAACATCAAGTATACACGACGATGGTTATTCGGTTTGAAGGCATTTACACCTTTTCCCATAAATAGACGAGGAAAGAAATGCTGATAGTTTGTCATCTGTATTGAAAATGTACGGTTCATTGGGCTTTGGAAAAAAATGTACATTTCTTTACTTGGAATTTCATGAGTTTTACTCTTCTTTCATTATATATTAATATTATGTCCAAGCTACGCGCATATTGGAAAAAATATACACTGCGTAAATATGGAAAATGATGTTTCCCAAAAAAAACACTAATCGACTTCCAACTTATGTAGAGCAAATGAACGATGGTCGAAATTACACGTTACGATCAACGTTGATCGGTTTTCATATAGTGATTTACATATGACAGCGGAAAATAGAAAAAAGTTATAATTGTTCGAAAAATTATGTCACATTCACTAGCAAAAATACAGAAATAAAAACAAAATTACCATCGTTGAGTTTACCACTCGATGTAATACGCAAGTGAACAATGTGCAAAACAGTTGATTTGAACTTTAATTGTTTTCTCAGTTGTCGAGTTCCACGTTTTTAGGTTACTGTAAAATGTTAAGTTAGCGCTGCACAAAAACGTAATTGAAATGATTTGCAACAGAATATGTGAACTTTATGAATCACATTGTTTTCTTTACTTCTTGGGCACGACAGCGGGTGTTGGTGTTTTTTTTTCTTTGTGCGGTCTCATTCAAAGTGTGTGAAAAAATATATTTGTAACCGTTTTGAATGCGTAAACTCTATAAGAATGCAATACATTCATGTTCAACTGATGGCCAAATGCAAGGATACTGAAGCGGTGAAGCGGTTTTGCATAGCTTTCAGTAAAATATTTCATTTTATATATGATTGAGAAGTCTTTGGATTGACTTTTGATTAACTTAAAAAATACAAAAATCTTCATGCCAACGATAAAAGGAAAATTACAGCTATTTTAAACTTGTATACGATGTTTACTAAACATAGCAATATCCTTTGGGCTTTACTTAAAATCGGATTAAATTTGGACATGATTATATACAGGGAATAATCGGCACTGTTAGAATGCATACTTTGAACAAGTCTGGCTGCCGATTGACCACATCCATTGTAAAAGTAGTACGCATATAGTATATACCATGGTGTGTACAGTGTACAGCCAAATTTATAATTTTAAAACGCTGTTCGGCATGTAAGGATATATTCAAAGAGGCTCTTTTAACAGATCGTAAATACGTACGGATGTATATACGTATGTATGTATGTATGGATGTAGAACAAACAATAATAATACCGTTGCCGTTGCCACTACAGATAGATAGTGCACATTTATGCTATGCTATGCATAAGAAACTAGAGAGAAACCATGAACAATGAATCAACTTCGAAGTCTGCACCTTAAGCTGAAATAACACATAAATATTTGTGCTGTTATTATTTTGGGTTTCATGTTTTCTTCGAGCTTGTTGTGCTTCGCCTGTTTACACGTGTTTGTAATGATTGGGCACGAGAGTATACCTGCTTTTCAGCACTTTTTCGAAATAATGCGAATTGTACTCAAGCCATTTAACATATTTAGCCAAAACGCCTTCAGTTCCATCATATTTTAGCGATAGTTCGTTGCAGTGCATATGTCTGCAAAATGCGAATACCAAAAATATCAATACTCTTGAAAGTAGTATATGGAAATGACTATTTACACGATCACGAATCTTAAATATTTGAAATAAAAAGGCGTCGTTGGGCGGGTGAATGCTTCACCGAAACGAAAATGAATGGAATGGAATGGATACGAAATCGAAAGATTTGAATTAGTCATATATTTGATATATACATAAACCACCGAACAATTTATGCAGCACATATATCCAGATAAAATAATAAGTGGTGATGATGATGACCAAATTGCACATTAATAATCCGCATGTAACTTTATGCCGTTAATAGCTGAATTCGGACACCTATCGGTTTTTTTGCTATGTTGAAAAACCACCTTTTTCGATATTGACGTGGCTCTGCGACGAAAGAAATGGACACAGTGTTTATGCGACGGAACCGGTTTTACTTTTTTTTAATTTGAAAAATTCAACAGTTACGTTGGGTGACTGTCATCAATTTCGGAATATATTTGGTTGGAATTATCTATAAGATGTGATCGTTTTTCTCGTGTGAATCGAAATATATATGATGTTGAAAAGAGAAAGATCGTTAAGCACGAATATAATACACTTGTTATATAACGTCATCTCAACTGGAGGATATACTACGATGATGATTGATAAACTAAAACAAATTCGCGCTGCCGAATATCAATGAATTTTTGTTGCTCCGCATCATTTAAATCAAAATGAATAATTTAATTTAAACTGAACATATTTGGGATGAATTAAATAGTACTTACCTAAATGTCTATTATCTTCACAAATATACCGTTATATCGGATATTCAGATCAGGAAATCCAAATGTAAATTCAATCCACACACTTATTATATGCACCTATTCCGTATTTATCGTCTTCACAATTCACAATAGTGTTATAAAATGAAATCCATCACAGGCAAACAAATGATTCATGACACTTTTTTTCATTGGAATAATCGTTGTTGATGTTCAATGGCCAAACTAGAGAAGAGAAATTATTATTCAATTGGCACAGTCTTTCAAATACGCATTCGTCGTCGCAAATACATTGGTTGTTTTGAGTGTAAGACTTATTTAAACTTGCAACTTATATATTCACAATGTGATGATCGTGAGTAAAATAAGAACAAGTCGCAAAAGTACTTCTTCCGTGGAAAGGCATTCAGAGTTTTCATAGTCGACACGTTACAATATTACAAGTCGACCCGGAGGCTTTGGTCAACTAAATAGAATTTTTCACGAATAGCGTTTCGAATGAAAATAAAAATTTCCGCTGAATTGTCGAACAACAAACAAAATGAGAACTCGCCACTATTTCTATACATTCAAGTGCCTTTCCTTTTTCATCATCATCGTCATCGTCATCATCATCATCATCATTATCATCATATTTGCCACAATAATTGAAGCTCGCCACCGTTTCTTTCGTATTATTCGCTTAGTATTATTATTTTTCATTGAAACGAAACGAAACAAAAAGAAATGAAAGAATTGAAATGAAATTGTGTTAAGATCTCTTCGTACGAGGTGCGTTTCAAAGTATATAAGAGAAAAAGAGTAACTCAACACGCAGCTCAATAGCACAATCGACAAGTACATTTTTAATCATAAATAAGGCGGTGGTCATACTACGGTTGGTGCAAACCGCTTTCTCTATTTCTTCCTGCATAATGAAAAAGACAATTCTTTTTCTATTGCGCGCATGATGACTCACTTTTTCAACGCTTGGAATATCAATACAATACGATTAATTGAGCGCTAATTTGTGACGTTTTCAACTTCCAATTGTTTATGGCTGCTCTAAAAAAATATTTTGGCTACACTAAATATCAGACAAAAAGTTTCATGAAGCAAACATTTTGAGCGCAATTAGTGCCTATTGAATGCATCAATCTATGGTTTATATATTTAACATAAACCACAGGCGATGAATTTAACAATCATTAAACTCAACACTCTAATTTGGACGTGTTTTAGGCGGTTTCGTATTCGTTTTATCGTCGTTAAAATGTCCTTCATCCTCATGATCATATCGAATTTAAAGGTATGGGGTCTCCAATTGAGTTAGAATAGATGTATTTCGTACACTATTTGATCACACATTTTTGGCCTATGAATTTTATACTCTCTTAAAAATAGGTTGATACACTAGCCCCAAAATTTCGAATAAAAATTGTAAACACATCCAGGGAGCACCAATTCAAATTTTACCGGCACTAACTGAGCACTAATTTGATGCAAACCAAAATGTTAGCGTATTGATTGGCCAACACCGAGCTGGAGATTTATGTAGCTATACCGCTGCACTTTTAGTCGATTGGAATAGAACTACTGTTGAATTCCCTTCTCTTCCATTCTTTTAACTCAATGCCATTATCCACGGAAGATCTATCTAAATATCACTAGTAACAGATCACAACGAATAGCACACATAAACTATGGCTTAAATTCATAGTCAAATTTTAAAAATTAACACAAACATAACAAAATATTGTACTGATTTAATGTAAGACACTCTTATTCAAATATATCAGATATAATGAAAAAAAAAGATCACATACTTCATACTTCCTCTGCTGACGACAGTTAACCACTTACTGATTTGAATGGTAAAGGTAAACGGTCGCACCGCAAAGAAAAGAGCAGTGTTAGGAAGCCATACTTCGAAACGTATTCAACAACAGTAAAAATTAAAATTCTTTCTACACAAGTTATTTCTTCAACCCAATACAAATACACCTTCGAGGAATGATGGCTACGCCACAGTATGGATACACATAGCTCAACGATCTTATTCGTGTTTGTATATAGTCTACGCTCACTTCTCGTAGCATTGGCAGTGTATGTGTGGTAAAATACCACATTCAACGAATACAAGATGGAAAGAAATGGTTTGCACAATATATTCATATATATAATGTAGATGTGGATATATTTATCGCAGCAGGTAAGGCGATCGTCGGCCGTTAGCATAAATGAGTTTACCAAAAATCTCTTGGTTTCTTCAATTTCTCGAAAGAAGAATGAACTACACAAAAACACAGGTAGTTTCGTGTATTGATGTGTTTTTGAGAATACATGTTTTTGAAATGGGTTTTCAGTAAGCCCGAAGAACATCGTTTGTTTTATGTTTTATGTTTCGTTTGGTTTTTCGCAACGCACGTATGGAATTTAAAGAAAGAATATGTATTTCTTTCACGTAAATGCTCATCGCATTCTCGACGATTTTTTTAGATATGCTTTAAAATGTACTTTGAATGAAATGATGTTCGTTCATATGTTCGCTAGTTCACAAATTTAAAGAAGAAACTATCGTTAACTGTGATGATTTAATAAATAGCATACATATTCTCTTTTCCATTTGAATCAAATATATTTTTGGCTGCTTATGATTGGCTATTGGCTTTTCAATTTCCTACATTTTTTTTAGACAAGCATAATTGTTCTCCTTTTTCTCTTACCTTATTTCTACCTGTTCTACCGATAGCTGTTGATGTTGCATTATTCATGTGTGTATGTGTAAAAATTCCACACAACAACAGATCGTACCGTATTTTTAAACGAATAAAAAAAAGAACCGAAACAGGTAAGGAATGGTAGTGAGTCAACGAGTGAAAATATTCACTTGATGAGGTGAATCAAGACAAGACTAAAAAAAAATACTGAACAACCGGTTTTGCATTAGTGGGCTAGCCACTCTTTCAAATTTTTTGGCTCTTGGAATTTCATACAAAGAAAAATATCTCATTGATTCGTTGTGTCGCATGTATCAATCTGTCATTGTACAATATGCACTAGCGCATGTATATGCAGCGTAGTCCATACAACTTCACAATTGGGTTGGTTTCAGTCGAGATTTGATCAAGTAAATCTCTAAACGATCGGGTTTCGAAAAGCTGCATTTGAACGTATCGTGTAGATCGAAATGTTATTGAATAAAATGATTTTTAACAGTGTTAGTATGCATGAAGCTAAGAGTAAATAAAGGAATTCTGATTTATTTTACAGCATGATGTTTGGTATGCGGCTGCAAACTGTTTGATTGCTTACGTAATATATTTCATCTAACCAATTTCAAATGATATGCCGGCGCAGACAATTATTCCTCTAAATCGAGTCAATGATTTCACAATGCGTCTCAAACGAAAAATTAATACGGATTTTTCATTTGGAAGCCATAGCTTTGATTTGTATGCTACATCCATAGAGGAAATTCTTTCTTTTTCAATATGCAAATCATTTAATTTGCGTGCTTAAATGTTACGGGCACAAAATGACAAAATGAAACAAAACGGGTTCTGACATCATATTCAGTTATATTCTTGATCGTTCATGACGGATCCATGTGGAATTTCTATAATTCTTATTCAGTTTATAAATATTTATGATCGAATATGAATTTTGTCCGACAAATTATGGAGCTGAAGCCAAATTTATATATAGGAGCAAAGACGACGTGAGCGATTTTCAATTGGGTGTGATGCAGAATTTGAATGTTCTAAAATATATTTAAAACAATATACACGCCGATGCAATACTCGCTATAATTTTTAGAAAAATTAATTCGACGCTCAAAAGAATTGCTGGCCGACTCGAATCAGTTTCGAGAAATAAGAGAAATTGACATGAATTGTTATACGTATACCAATTTAGACTACAACAAATCCAAAGAATAACTGCGAAAAGAAATGTTGATTTTGGTCAAGCAGAATCAATAGCAAAACATGGTAATGAGCACGCGAAACAAACAAGTGCGAAATGACGAAATGTGAAAATATAGAATGAAAAAGAACGGTACTTTATAGATATAACCGAAACCACACACCACAATACGCATGTAGATATCCAGAGATTGCCCTGCTATTACTGTTCCGCAACGAAATGCATAAAAAGTATAGTAACTACATTCATTTTTCGCTACAGAAAATTTGACTTTTTTTTAAATTGAAGCTGCATTTTGGGAATTTTTAAAACGAATTTTCAAATTCTTTGCCAATCGATTTTCTGATTTTTTCAAGTTCCGAATCAAATTAATATTCGAACAAGAAAACTATATCAAAATTCACATACCATTTGCAAAAATATTGCATCAATAAGTAAAATTCGGTACTTGATGTCTCTTTCGAATTGAAAAAAAAAACGCTAGTTTAAAAAATTCACTAAATTAATATGTTTTGAAAAAATGTTCAAGCATTTTCAAAGACACCATAGAAATTATATAAATAAATGAAATGCAAGGGGAAAATCACTCTAGAAAATTACTTTTTCGGTTCACAAATTACTTTCACTATTACTTTTTCGAAGAGAATTACAAATTACTTTTTATCATAGAAAAATACATTTTTGACAAGTAATTTCTAATAGAAAAGTAATTTATCGAACAAAAAGTAATTTGTAATAATTTTTAGTCGAAAAACTACATTCAATATTACTTTTTGTTCAACGAATTACCTAAAAACTACTTTTCAAATAGAAATTATTTTTGAGTGATTTCCCCCTCGATGAAATGTGTAATTTTTTTCATTTCCGAATCAGTTGATCTTAAATCTGAGAGAAGAAAAATAAAAAAAACAACATAAGACCACGACCATATATCGTACAAAAGTTCGAAATGTAACGCAACCAATTCTATTTGAATCGTGCTTGTGTGTGTGCATGCTAAAATATGCACGTCGTCGTCATTCATGTGTGAAGAAGACAATAATATTAGAAGACGAAGAAATAAAAAAGCGACATGTTTAAACCAAAATAATGGAGAAAGAATTCGCATGACCAGACCCGTATCGACTATGACATTCAACGCATACGCCGTACACTCACCTAATTATGTGAATCTGAAGATTTCTTCACTCTGATTTTCTTGCTACGCTTCTTTTGTCAAGGTATTTGTTTGTATTTCAAGAACTGTGCCAAAAGTGTAAATTGACACAAAACGAAAGCGTGCACGAATTTAGCCACACGTTAGCTGGGTTCTCATAATCTTGTTTTGAATATTTTGCTTCGGCCATGTTCCATGTAGACACATTTTTAAGACTGCTCATTTGGTTCCAATACACATGGAATGGTCTTCTGAATTTTGCACATCATATTGTTCATCTTTGATTCAGCATTCTAATGGAATATTAATGGCAAAAGCATTTGTCAGTAATTGTTGTCAACCGTCCTATCCGCGTTTAAAAGATGGGAAAAATAGAATTTTTGTTTGACCAAGTGATGACTATTACGATGATACAACATTTTATAATAAAACAACACACTGCTGTTGATATTGTTGAATGTTTATTGTTTTATTTCAACTATTCTAAGTTATAAGTTCAAAATTTTGCTGAATTTGTTTTTAATAACATATTGTATGAACTAATCACTAGTGACTGAAATTACCAGCACTGTTTATCATTTGAAATTATTGTAAATGCATTTAACATAAATATGGTTTGTAACTGCACTAATATTTCTCGAATGGCACATGGGGAAATTGAAGTAAAACTTTGTAATATTTTCAAAAAATACGTGGCAGAGTGGAATTGAGAAAAAAACATTGAAATAAAACCTTTTCACATCTTCAAATGTATGTTGCTCTTGATATTCTGGAATTTGATTGGCAGTTTTTTTCTTCTCAAATTAAAGTAAAAGTTAATTTCTAATATTCTTGATTTTTTTTTGGATAATTCTACGATTCCATTGATCTAATTTTAGTTCAACTAGTAATGTTTTTTCTAATTATTAAATGGAAAAAGAAAAATATGCGGAAACATTCTGATTATTATTCCAAAATAGACTCTGATACAGTTACCGCCTCAAATCCATTGCTAATTTTGCTACATATGTTTTTTTTTTCAACAGAGAATACTGCTACATTATTTAGGAATTTCAGAAAATTGATCCAGAATTGCAAATGGTATTATCCGTCTTAGCATCCTTGGCGCATCAAAGAATCAGCAAAACGAAATATTCTTATCCAAGTAAATAGTCCAGAATAACCGGACGGTGATGGAATACATCTTTGTTGATGCACCTGTGATATGTTCGACGTTGACTGGAAAATTCAAATGTTCAAATTAAATTAAATGAAAACTGTCGACATTATTTTGGATACTTGCAACTGCGTAAAAAGTGAGATTAAAATTTGAAACAATGTAAACCCACCTCAGATGGCTTTCGTGAAGCTTTTTGAGCTTTGTCGGCTGCTTGAATGGCTGGAGATGTCATGGCTTCTTTTCAATAGAGAGCGTTACTGTTTCAAACCATAAGAAAAAAGTAATATTGTTTCATTTTCTTTCTTCCAAAAACCAAATCACACTATTTCGAAGGCAAATATCAGCGAATGTTCGTGGAAAAACATATTGTTGTTTCCTTTATTTTCAATCAGTAGATCAAATCGTGTTTCATGAAATGAGTAATACTATAAATATCAATTTCACTGTTGTTGCAACAACATTCTACTATCTAATCATGTGATTATCGAACCAATACAACGTAGCTGGATACATGGATGCTCGCACCAGTGCACAGCAAAAAATAAAAGTCTACGTCTGGGCGTTTTTTCAGCTAAAGACTCATTCAGCCGATATTTCTGCTAGTACCTTGAGCTACAGGCGAAATTCCGCTTATAATCTAGTCGGTATTTCGTCTGAAACTCCGTTTGCTAGGCAAAATATAGGACTGGGCGCCTCTACCAGTCGAAATTCCGCCTAAATGTGGACATTTATTTTTGACTGTGTGTGTTGTGCATAGTGCACACACTATGTTTGGGTCTCTGCTTTATGCGAACACTTTACATTTTCTTTCGGGGGGAATTAAGTTATCGTTTAAGAAAAAACAGATGGCTTACTGCTAATGATAAATTTCCCATTTGGGGAATTATAGCCCATACTTATGATCGTTCCAATTAAAAACATTGCTTTCGAGACAAGAAAAATGCTACGCAACTTTATGTGTTCCAAGGCCATTAATTTAGTTTCACAATCAAATTCACGCGACTCACTCATATATGACCTGAATTATGGAAAAAATCAATTTAGAATGAAAACAGTTTTGCCGATTTAGCTGCATATGAGCATATGTATGTTTCCATCTAAATTATAGACGCAATAACATAGAGTTAGCATTTGCAATAGCAATGTGATAACAGCTTACGTTATCTTTAATTTAAATCGTTTGGTTTCACTAATGCGATGTTAAAATTTACTTTAAATTTCTTGTAGCAAATATCCAGTACATATCGTTAGTTAATAGTTTCAATGAAAAAATCATATTTTGACTTTACAATATTGTACGTATATGGCTCATAAATAGGACATTAGGTAAATAAATAGGTAAAGGACGAATGCATGACTAAAAATGGATAAAATGCGGCTGGAAGAACAATTCAAAGGCAGATAGAAGTGCACAGAACGTAATAGTCTACGTACAGCGTTCTATTTTTGCTTATATCTTCCATTGAAACGCTTATGTAACCAATGGAGAGCAAAAAAGCATCATTGTCAACTTCACCAACATTGATATATTTACGTCTTTTTTAAGTTCTAGTAATGTAACATTACTAATGTTTTTCTATTAACCTTTTGCTTGTGATTGAAAAATAATTGAAATTAGGTATCACTTTTATTTTTTGGCTCAACTTTATAAATCTATTAATTAGTAATATCACATTACACGCATTTCTTGCTATTGATTCCTCAAGAGTCTTACTGGTAGTTTTATTTTCCATTGTTTGTATTAAATTATACCGTGATTATATTTGTTTTGGTAATTTTCTCCATTTCAGAACAACGCAATAATTTGTTTAATTCAATACATGAGTTTTTTGAATGACTATCACTAAAAATGGTTTCATTTAATTTTTTTTCAGAAACACAATTTAAAAGTATAAATTGATAAGTAATAACTCACGTGTTTTGCGTGAAATGTGTGCCAGCAAAATTTATATACAACTGATTAATTAATTTCACTAGATCACTTTGTTGTACTGTATTCGTAGTGCTCTAAAAACAAACAGTGCTTTCCTTCGCAAGTCAGCTGATTGAATGACCCAACATGTGTACTTTTAGCAGCTAGAAATGAATGGAAATGCGTATGCGCATTTCACACACCACTATCGGTTGAGTAAATAGCAGAAACAGTAGTGTTGATGTTTGAACCTAAATGTGAAGCTTTCATACGTAAACAAAGCATCATCAACCAAAACCAGATCTATCTGAAAAGAGTCAATGGAATTTCATAACGTATGACAATTTCGACATCGTTTCTTAAAAGACAAGACCAAAACGTCGGATTTACGTGGGATCTCTGCTCATTATCATTACAATCAACAAACGTGTTATAACATTATTTTCACAGCTGGAACATTGCTTCGGAGTGGAAAATTGATCAATAAATTTTGAAAAAAATGAGTCTTTTATGAAATTTTACTTTTTTATACCCTAACACTGAAGACAACGTTCGTTACATGCAAAAACATTCGTTACATGACCAAGATTTCTTTCTTTTGTTTTAATTTTCTTCAAAAATGGATAAAATACTTGAGCATTTTTAAATTTATTTTCCTTGCTTATGTTTTGAGAAATGACAAGAGGAATCACATTTAAATTCAAATAATTTACGATACAATTATATGAAGGTTTGAGTTAGTGCAGTGATTTCTGCGTTCAACTTAGAACCAAATTTGTTGGTGTAAATATTCCTCAATTATTCATCAATATTAATGTGTTAATCTCAATGTTAAATTTTGTTATTAATTCCTAAAAGAATGCTATAATCTATAGTTGAAAACAGTAAATATTTCGATAGTACTAGTAAATGAAAACAAGAAAGCGCGAAGCTCAAACCGATTGATAAAGTAAAATCGGTTGAGTTTGTTATTCCCATAGCCAGAGGCGCCACGTGTAAATACACCAATAATCGTTAAAGCCTTTTTTACATCAAAATCATCCGAACAGTTCTCTTTTGACTTCGAGTGTGAGTAAAAGTGTAAGTATCTGAACTCAGTAGAAAAAATTAATTTTATATATATAAGTTTTAGAAATTATGTTTTTTGTGAATTAAAACATATCGCAAAGCAAGGAATGTGTGAATTTTATGTAGCATTTTTTCAATTTGATACCAAAAATGTATACATTTCAGCAACCCAATTTTTCATTTGCGCCCAAAAAGGAGCGCATCGTTTTGACTGTTATATAATCGAAATCTTTGATCAAAATTTAATCGATTAGTGAATGAATAATTATTTTCCACAATATAAGTATAAAAACTATCCTTTAAATTATTATGTGTGTATCTGTTATGTGCATTTGCAATTTTGCAATAAAAAAGTCTATGTCATAATGATGAAATTTGACAAAGAAATTGTGTAAATGTATGACTGACATTGAAAGCATGTTGAACACGTGCCTATTTTCAATAAACCTTCAGCGATATCAATTGAAATGATTTTAAGAGATTCGCACCTATAGTTCAATTGTAACTTGATTTTTTTATAAGGACCAATCAATTTGAAAGTTCTAGAATATGTCTTATGTAACATGTATAGCATTGAAAATTTCCCGTAAACCGTGTGTTCCCAATAAGATATAGTTTACATCATCAAATGAGCGCGGTTGAGATTTGTTCCGTGAATTAAGTTGAATCCCGAAACCCTTCATTTTTAACAGTTTCTCACGTGGAAAATATTCCACCTGTGACCCATATAGTATGTGCAGTACACAGATAGCCTAACGTTACGTAGCTAATTCGTTGCAAGGTTGAATGGGAGAAAAGTCAGTCATTGATATGCGCACTGTAATATAGCACAGTTGACGTCATAACAGCACAATGTCAAAGAGTTATTTTATTGAATTGTAGAAAGTATCAAACGTTTAGTTTTTTGTTGATTTATTTTCCGTTGAAATAATTGTTTGTGCTCTATTTTCGTCTATTCTAGAATTTTTTTCTCCTAAAGCATAATGGGTGTTCCAGCCGGTGACGTTGAAAAAGGAAAGAAAGCATTCGTTCAACGATGCTCGCAATGCCATACCATCGAAAAAGGCGGCAAACACAAGGTCGGACCCAACTTGCACGGATTATACGGCAGAAAAACTGGCCAAGCCGCCGGCTATTCTTACACCGATGCAAACAAAAACAAAGGTAACAAACAACAATAGCATTAAATTTTGCTGCAATCGTATTCACACAAACTTTTTTTCTCTATTAGCCATTACATGGAATGAGGACACTCTATTCGAATACCTCGAAAACCCAAAGAAATATATTCCTGGTACTAAGATGGTGTTTGCCGGTTTGAAGAAGCCACAAGAACGAGCAGATCTGATTGCATACATTAAGGAAGCATCGCAATCATAAATTTAATGCTGATCATGGGATTTAGAGTAAAGTTACCGATTGAAATCATGCATAAATGGTACATATTTAACAAAAAAATTTGAAGTATTTTCTGTTTGACCACAACAAAATCTCTCTGTTTCGAACATAAACCCAGTTTACTGTAAATCCGTTTGAATAGTCAAAACAGGCACATTAAATTTCTATAGTTTATTTAAACAAATTAGACATCAGCCATAGAAATATTTATTGTAATTTAACTGTATCAATAAATTGACTGCAATCATAAAGTTAGAAAAAACACATAATTTATTTCACTTCTCTGGGAAACTTGAAAAGACTTTCAGGATAAAATGTGTCATTCAATTTGTGCGGAGTATGTTTGAAAAAAAAATCCTTTAGAATTGCCACGCAAATGTGTGTGTTTCGTGGCAAGTGGGAAGCGTAAACAACAATTGTTTTTTCGCTTGCATTTGGCAATGAGCCAGATTGAAGTAACTTTTTTCTGGAAAATTCATAGTCATGGTTTGAACTGATATTTTAAAGCACATTTTGCTATATAAACTATACCGATTGGATAGAGTTTAGTGAACGTCGCCGTATCACACACATACAGATAAATGTTTCCACGTATAACAGAATGTTTACAGCCTGACGTTGTCTGCACATCCAAACCGATTGACGTGAAGTTGTTATTTTGGTTGTGAAGAACACGAATCTCGGGAAAAAAAATCAATATTTCTCAGTTCCATTTTCATTTGTGGATTTATTGAAGAAATTCTATATTTTCTGCAAGTAAGTATAAACAGTGAATAATTTATTAAACGAGAACATAACAGACGGAATAAAATTGCCAAGACAAGACCAAATTATTACGAATATTCAGCGCCGGTGAAATGTGCTGATAAATTTTGACTTTCGTTTTATATTTGGTCTCGGAATTTTGATTGAAAGTTATATTGGGAGGGTCATTTTATGTGAGTCTCTGCACAGTGTAGTGCTTGTTGTGGATTGATTTGTTCCGATTTTAATAGTTCCGTGGAAAAAAAATACTTTTCATATTGTTTTCGTTGAAAATAATATTTTTGGTGAGCATCTGGACCAACACTACCGTATTTATGAAAAAAAAATTGTTTGATGATTTGTATTTGTACAAAAAAGGAAAGTGGTTTTTCGACAACATTATGACAAGTGCAGATGATGCCGCTGGTGTAACCAAATTATAAAATGATTCATTAAACATACAATTATTGTAATTTAAAAATATGTTTGATCACACGTAATCAATAGGATGACAAAAACAACTTCTACACAGCTTTTTCAAGCAGAAATGTCAAATTTATCTTATATCCATTTGGATTGTATATGTGACAAATAAAATGAAACCGAAACCATGTCATCTCTATCGGCACTACAAACAAAATAGTCTCAGTAATAGCGTTTCGAAAATCAGTAAAAGATTGTTAGCAGTGCAGCTAAATAAAGAAAAATATTTCAAGCGAATGTGCCAAGTTGATAAAGATAAAAATAACAGTCATGTGTTTTGTCTGATACAGGATTTATATAGAAGACAAAAAGGGCTCAGTTGTACATCCATATCACAGTATAACATTAACATCAGCAGTGAAAAATGGCTCCAGTTAGAGGTGATGGAATGCGAGGTTTAGCTGTCTTCATATCGGACATCAGAAACTGTAAGTCATGATTGAAAAAAAAAAATACAAAAAATAAAACCAACACAAAACAGTTTTGGCATTGTTCACCAAATGACATTTATTGAATTAAATTCTTCCAATTGGTTTTTGATTCAATTGAATCAAACAATCGAAGTGAATATTTTTGTGGTGCATCAAATGCAAACATTTACGAATAATACAATATTATTAAAATCTGCTACGAGAACGCATTGTTCTGAATTTCGTAACATATGAAACGTGAGTATGACACAAAGTATATTCAAATGCCACGATGCATGTATATGCTAAATAATGGGTCAACACACTCATAATGACAAAGCGATTATGTTTAGTATTTTCTCTTGCATTTCAAACATTCACACGTTTCTTTTTGTGACGAAGTACTCAGCAATAAGAATAATACCGGTTGATCTACTTAAACGAGCGCTCGTTTAAACGTTGCAGTAACATTGTAACTTCAATTGAATGATAAGTGACTGAAACGTTTTCGTTAAAATTTTAGTATGAGATATATGCGGGACGAAAAGTAATATTTATATAAGTTTTACGCTTTGACATATTGGTAATAATAGATTGAATGCCCCGAAGAAATGCCCCGGTCAATACAACACGTTATAAGCTGCAATTCGGTGAGAAATTCCATTCGAAATAGTTTCTCGAAATACAATTGAATTTCATATATTTGTGTGCTGCATCAATTTATGCACTCACTTCGTTTATGTTTGATTGAAGTGCAGCTATGATTCAAAATGATTTTGTCATGCAGATGTCATTTGGCGAACAATAATGCTACATTGAATATGAGCAAATACATAAGATAAGGTCCGAATTCTTTCTGGACTGTGATATTCTGTGATTAAATCACATGTACCAGAAACATCGTAGTACGTAGCATCCGAATGGGCGTCAATTCGATAAGAGTTGATAATTTTGTTCCTTGATATAGCTGTGAATATAGAGTGTGTTGGCAATGGAGCACTTGAATTGACTCGATTAATTTACGCGCAGACAATTTGTTTATGCATACATGAGTGAATATGATTGTAGTAATTCATAGAATGTATTTTCTGTTTCTTAAAAAGGCAAAAGTAAAGAAGCTGAAATCAAGCGTATCAACAAGGAACTGGCGAATATTCGCAGCAAATTCAAAGGCGACAAAACGTTAGACGGGTATCAGAAGAAGAAATATGTATGCAAGCTGCTGTTCATATTTTTGCTGGGCCATGACATCGACTTTGGGCATATGGAAGCGGTCAATTTGTTATCGTCAAACAAATATTCGGAGAAACAAATTGTAAGTGTTTTTTCTATTTTGTTTTTAACTGGCATCATTTTGTGAACATTGGGTAAAGAATATATTCTTTTTCTAGGGATATTTATTCATATCTGTATTGGTTAATACGAACAGTGATTTGATAAAGTTGATCATTCAAAGCATCAAAAATGACTTGAATTCGAGAAATCCAATTCACGTAAATTTGGCATTGCAATGCATCGCAAATATTGGTAGCCGTGATATGGCCGAAGCATTTTCGAATGACATACCAAAATTACTGGTTTCCGGCGATACAATGGATGTTGTGAAGCAGTCAGCTGCATTATGTCTCTTGCGTTTGTTTCGCACTTGCCCCGAAATCATACCGGGTGGCGAATGGACCAGCAGAATTATTCACTTGTTGAATGATCAACACATGGGTGTTGTAACGGCAGCAACGAGTCTGATCGATGCCTTGGTTAAAAAGAACCCAGAAGAATACAAGGGTTGCGTTAGTTTGGCAGTATCGCGCCTGTCCCGCATTGTCACTGCAAGCTACACTGATTTACAAGACTACACATATTATTTCGTTCCCGCACCGTGGCTGTCGGTCAAGCTTCTTCGTTTGCTTCAAAACTACAATCCGGTCACTGAAGATCCAGGTGTACGCGGTCGATTGAATGAGTGTCTCGAAACCATACTGAATAAAGCTCAAGAACCACCAAAAAGCAAGAAGGTTCAGCATTCAAATGCGAAAAATGCGGTTCTGTTCGAGGCAATCAATTTGATTATACACAGTGACAGTGAACCAGCGTTGCTTGTACGTGCATGTAATCAACTTGGACAATTCTTGAGTAATCGTGAAACCAACTTACGTTACTTGGCATTAGAATCGATGTGCCACCTGGCAACATCCGAATTTTCCCATGAAGCGGTCAAAAAACACCAAGAGGTGGTCATTTTATCGATGAAAATGGAAAAAGATGTGTCTGTACGACAACAGGCGGTCGATTTGTTGTATGCGATGTGCGATCGAAGCAATGCAGAGGAAATTGTCCAAGAGATGTTGAATTATCTGGAAACAGCCGATTATTCGATTCGCGAAGAGATGGTTCTAAAGGTAGCCATTTTGGCAGAAAAATATGCCACCGATTATACATGGTACGTTGATGTTATACTGAACTTGATTCGTATCGCTGGTGATTATGTTTCGGAAGAGGTATGGTATCGTGTCATCCAAATCGTTATCAACCGTGAAGAGGTGCAGGGCTATGCAGCAAAAACAGTATTCGAAGCACTTCAAGCACCTGCATGTCATGAGAACATGGTGAAAGTTGGTGGCTACATTTTGGGTGAATTTGGCAATTTGATTGCTGGTGACTCCCGATCTGCACCACTCGTGCAGTTCAAGCTTCTGCATTCAAAATACCATTTATGTTCGTCAATGACGCGCGCCCTGTTGCTGTCAACATACATTAAATTTGTTAATTTATTCCCGGAAATTCGGTCGAACATACAAGAAGTTTTCAGACAACATAGCAATTTGCGATCAGCTGATGCGGAGCTACAACAGCGAGCCAGTGAATATTTGCAGTTGAGCATTGTTGCCTCGGCAGATGTTTTGGCAACTGTATTGGAAGAAATGCCATCATTTCCTGAGCGCGAAAGCTCGATTTTGGCCGTTTTGAAAAAGAAGAAGCCGGGCCGAGTACCGGAAAATGAAATTCGCGATTCGAAAAGTCCATTGCCGAATCAGAATAATACTCACACCGCAAATCACAAGTATGAACATCTTTGCTCGCACACCGCACGACATATTTCTCATTTTCGATTTACACTTCACATTTTAGATACAACAATAACAATGGGAATAATGCTGATTTGTTGGGCCTAAGTACACCACCATCAAACCAGAATTCACATCAGAGTGCACTAATTGATGTTCTCGGTGACATCTACAACAACTCCTCCGTTCACAACAACGCAAAGAAGTATGTTAAGTCATTTACTTTGACAATTTTGTGTTTTAATCTATTTTGAATTTCATACCTATCAAAGATTCGTCTTTAAAAACAATGGGGTGCTATTCGAAAACGATTTACTTCAAATTGGTGTGAAGAGTGAATTCCGTCAAAACTTGGGCCGATTGGGTTTGTTTTATGGCAATAAAACCCAAGCAGCACTTGAGGTACGTAATTGTGCGAATTCTTTGGTTCGATTTGGTTTGGTTTGCTAAATTTATTTGTTTTTCATCTAGAATTTCCAACCAGTTTTGTCATGGCCAGCTGAAAATTCGTTGAAACTAAATGTTCAAGTAAAACCTGTTGAACCAACTCTGGAAGCCGGTGCACAAATTCAACAAATGCTCACCGCTGAATGTATAGACGATTTCACAGGTACAATAATAATGGAAATCACTATTACCGAGTGGTTTTGTTTACATCTATCATTTTCATATATTTATCTAGACGCTCCATCCCTTGATATATCGTTTAAATATAATGGTGTGCAGCAAAAATTCAATGTTAGGCTACCGTTGACTATCAATAAATTTTTTGAGCCGACTGAAATGAATAGCGAATCGTTCTTTGCGAGATGGAAGAATTTGGGCGGGTAAGAATCGTTTTGTAAATGCATTTTCAGACATATTCAAACTGCTTTGAACAAGTTGAATGTTTTTTTTTTTATTCAGAGAGCAACAACGAGCACAAAAAGTATTCAAGGCACAAACTCCACTTGATTTGGCCGCTGCAAAGAATAAGTTGTTAGGATTCGGAGTACAGCTTTTGGATGGCATTGACCCAAATCCGGACAATATGGTGTGTGCAGGCATTATTCATACACAAGGGCAACAGGTTGGATGTTTACTTCGATTGGAACCGAACCGCCAAGCACAGGTATGCATGCGTGATGTACCCCCTTTTTCCCCTTTTTTGTGACATTTTTGACCACTTTCGATGAATTTATTCTAATAATCCATTTATTAATTACAGATGTTCAGATTGACGATTCGATCGAGTAAGGAGTCTGTAACCAACGAAGTAGCAGATCTGCTTGTTGACCAATTCTAAGGGAATGTACATTTTTTAGACAAACAAATATTGCAAAGAATGTTCTTTGTTATATTCGCTCCGAATTTCTGTGAGGATACAAAATAGATAATATAATATCGAAATATTCATTAGATGAATCAAAGAGAAAAACATCCAGCTCCATAAAATAAATAATACTTGTTGTTTTGAATATATAAACATTAAATAATTGGTTAAACTTTCTTGAAAGTTTTTGTTGAACCAAATTTTCTGAAGTAACCGCATAAAATACATTCAGTACTTCATCATTATATGTCAGAGTTCGTTGGAACAACGTTTGGTCAACATTTAATATTACTTTCGAGTCAAAATAAGCCTATTTCTGAAACAAACACTACAACGGTGCATAAAAAAAGCAAGTTAAAAATACACACACAATAATCGCGTTAAGTGTTTAAGATCATATTAATAAAAAAAAATAACTATATTATACGCATAAACAAAACATGATAGTATAATAATTTTATTCGTTATGCATCAAAAAGTGAAAAATGTTTTGTTATCAAATAAAAGTGGAAATTTATGGCAAATTTTAGATTTAAGGCGTCATTATTTGAAACAATCACCGTTTCATGACAGTTGGGAAGAATATGATTACATTCCTTGTAAAAATAAATAAAAATAACAATAATAATGATTGATTAAATTATAGAGAAGAGAAAAAAACTATAACTTGAATATAGCTTAAGCGCTGAAGAAAATATTGACAACAGCAAACGATATAAAATTCCGAATTCCCAGAGAAACCCTCTTATTCACTAGTTTGCAAACTATCACTTCAAAAACTGACACATATGATAATCTCAATGCTCGAGGCCACTTAGGATTTCGAATATTATTTTTTGGGGAATAAAACTAGAACAAAATCTTATTTAAATAACTCAAATTTAAGTTTCAAAAATAGCAGAATTGAACTGAGATAAGAATAGAATCGCAAATCATGACCAAAAGAGAATAGGACACTTAACGCTGTATCAAACGAAACGATTTTGAAGATTGTATTAAGACCAAAACTCAAAAATCGAATAAAAATTGGTTCTACCTTAGGCACTTGTTTTTTCATTCAAATTCATCGATTTAGACCGGAGAACTAACGAAGAAACATCCATGTAACGCAATTTAATCATTTTTAACGTTAAAAAATGTAAAATTTTTAGTCATTTTTCCTTTTAAATGGAATGAAATTTCAGTGTAAACCAACTGTATGAATATTCGGAACACTACCGAGCTTCTGTCAAATTCAAACATTTGAAATGACAATCATTCCAAACGACTCTGTGACAAACAAACTGAATAAACAAAGATCTCACAAGAATTTCGATTTGTGTATGTCACATTAGGAGCGTGATTTTGGCACGAAAACTTCTCTTTCATCGCATACAACGCAACACAACACAACCGACTCATTTGTTACTGTGGCTTGGTGTTGTATTTGTTTATTTTGGTTCCGTTATGAGATTATATTTCGCATGAGTTTTTACATCGACACCAGTCAAATCCGAATTTCGCCACGAAAATTAGCGTGTTGATGAGAGTTGTCACAAACACAGTGTGCAGATTTGTGTCTGAGGTATATTTGTTACAACCAAATTCAGCTTGATGTGTCAAACCGATGCCGCTTGCATTCATTTTCGTCCGAGCTAAAGGTGTCAAACGGACGGACTTACCATCTTTTCAGCCCGTCCGTCCGTCCGTCCAGGGCTCTTGAAATTTTTTCGTCCGTCCATCCGTCCGTTCAGAGCCGGCTGGCAGACGGACGGACAACAAAATTTCGTTTCTCATTGATTTTTGACGCAAAAAATACAAAAAAAAAATTTAGTAACTGATTTGTAATCAGCTTCCCATTTGAAACAGCTGAAACCTATTTTCACGTCAAAAATCAATGAAAATTTTCCGTCCGTCCGTCCGTTCAGGACCCTCAGAAATTTCTAGCGGCTCTGAACGGACGGACAAAAAAATTTCAAGAGCCCTGAACGGACGGACGGACGGACAAGGTGCTTGTCCATTGACACCTTTAGTCCAAGCATTTGAAAAGGCAAGTTGATTGTTGTGAATATAGTTCGATTTATAGTGATTGTTTTTTTCCTTTTTGTTCAAATTGAGTAATTTAGTCAATGTTTTTAGGTAGAAAATACATTATATATGATTAATTTTCCTCATTTTTTTTCGTTTTGGTGTTTAGTGAATCTCATTTGTTCGTGTTGATCGTACACAGAGCGGCATTAGCATTCTAATGGGATTGTGAAATAGTCTAGGGGCATTTCTCACGAAAAGAATGAATGAATTCTTATAAATTTTGAAAAATTTCTTCCGTTCGGTCCGATTCGATCAATTTTTATCGATTCGTGTAAATAAATGTTCATTTACACTGAACTGTGTTCTGGAAGTGGGTTTTGATTTCGAGAGCAGTTCTGAACGATCCTTGAGATCCACTAAAACCTTCTTCCAGAACACTTTTATTCAAGCAATATCGTCATTTCAGTACATTTTCTTACAATTTCAATGAAAAAGAAGAAATAATAGACATTTTTGCATGAGACATTTTTTGTGTGAGAAATGCCCCTAGGAAATAGTCGTATGGTATTGCGAAATACATACTTTCTGCTTCAAACAAAACGAAGAGTCGACACTTTTCTTTCATTTTATACAACACAACAGAACACCATACAACGGACTCATATTATTTTTTTCTGTTTTTTCTTGCTCCTGAATTACCAGCGCAAAAAATCAAGGAAGAAGCCGAAGCCAATTGTGATGCTTGATCCAGACAAGATTAAGGACGACAAAGATGAAAAGGACAAAGATTCGGGCATAAGAACAATCAAAACGCAGTTACGTCCCATTCTTCGTCCGGACTACAGCGACTTGTTGATTGACATCACCGACAGATCAATAATGGCAACGAAAATTTGTGCACTTGCCTCGCAGTTGTTCCTAATCCGTTGTGAGCGCGCTTTCGACGACAATGACCAAGCATTTTTTGAACAGAATGTCGAAAAGGTGATTCGGTCGTGTTTTTTTGTGTCCTTAAGAAAAATATTTACAAGAAGAAGAAAATGCCGCCGGAATTTCGTAAAATATGCATCAGCTGGACGATAGCCATCGAGTGGTTTGGTCCAACGCAGACTGTTTCGGCAACGGAATGAATGATATATTAGATCCGTACGTAACGAACGTAAAAAACAACTTGAAGACGCATAGCAAGAAACACTTGCGCGAATGGCTGCGGGTAAAAGTGTTCGATTCTTCGTTGGTTGTTCGATACGAAGAGGCTGACATCGACCGTGTGATTAGTTTGGCAATTTATGGCAATGACGATATTGAAATCAATGGCATGGATGATGTTGCCAAACGTGAGCGGCGTACGTTGTTGATGAAAATGGTCACGGACAACAGTTGGTGGGACATACCAGACAACAACATCGGCCGAATCACAAATGGGGAGAACTGGTTCAAGAGCATCGCATTCTGGATTTCCCTCCAGCGGAAAATTGATGATTTCAACACCTGCGAGGAATATCGTGAAGAACGCCGATGCCAACGCGAAGAGTTTGAAGAGCTGAAACGATGCCGACGTCGAAATCAACGTCCGTGCACTTGCCAGCAGCCAGTTGATCGAGGCCAAAATGGAAATGAGTACATTGAGAAAGGGCCGCCGAGAGTGAAAAATCTGGCAGTGATTCCCGGTCGATTCTCTCCAGCCCGACAATTTTCGAAAAATGAAAAATCCT